CCTCTAAAAAATATTATTCATAATATTGGATTAAACCCGTTTTTTGTTCACTACTGGACAAATTTTCAATTAGATATTTATAGGACATTGACCAAAAATGAAACAGCTACGGTTTATATTGATGCAACAGGTAGTATTATAAATAAGATAAAGAGGCCGGATAATTCAAAAACGGCTGCAATATTTTTGTATAACTGTGTAGTATATTCACAAATTAATGGTCTTTTTCCCGTGTGTCAGATGATATCGGAGAGACACAATACAAATATTATTCAATACTGGTTGATGGAATGGGTAAGATCTGGAGCACCACGACCACGTGAACTTGTATGTGACTATTCCCTAGCTTTATTAACAGCGGCTGTACGAAGTTTTACAGGTTATTTAACTTTAGAGGAATATTCAAATGCTTGTAAAGAAAATTCCTTACCTTCGTGCTATATTCGAATTGATGTAGCTCATTTTATTAAAAAATATGTAAATTTTTTGAAAAATTCTCGTCCCCGAATTAAAAAATTTTATTTACACGTAATAGGACAATTGATTTTATGCAGGAATATTGAGAATGCAGGGAGCATTCTAAAAAGCCTATTAATTATATCACGCAGTGAAACCGAAGGTAATACGAATGATGACATTGAAACATTATGTGAAAAACACAAATTAAAACTAAATGAATTAATTAAAAAGGGTTCTTTTGAAGAAATAATAGAAAATGCAACAATTGGCGAAGAAACTGAAGAAGAGGAAGAGGAAGACGAGGAAAAAGAAATTAGTAATAAATGGAGTAGCTGGGCACAACGGTTAGATAGTGAAATTAACATTTTGTTAGCCGATAACGAAGGAGATCGAGAAAATGCACATTACATGCCACAATTAGCTAGCTACGTTTTAAAAGATATTAAATTATTTCCACTGTGGTCTTGTGTGTGTCGCGATAAATTTGGATTTGGTAGAGTACCAGCTAGTAGCGCTGCAGTGGAAAGTGATTTTAATATAATTAAAAATATTTTATTAAAAATGGAAAATACACCTATCCGAGCAGATGATTTTGTTGAAAAACATGTCAATTTTATAAGTGGACGTCTAAAATTAAACCAATCAGCTGCAGCCCTTGAATTGGAAACTAATCAAGATACTAATAAAGATTCTAATCAAGATACTAATCAAGATACTAATCAAGATCCATCAGTAGTCGAATGCCCAGCTTGCAAAAATGGACACGAAGCACAAGGTGGACACCGATGCTACATATGTCAAAAATTTGTACATGCTCTGGAACAGTGTTCTAAACCAATTGGCGAAGAAGGCTATGGCCAACAACGCGTATGTACAAGGTGTCAAGGTTTCAATAATATACCACAGATAGTTGCAACGAAGGAGATTGAAGATTGGCGAGGCTTGGCTAGTTCCGGAACTAAAGGAAAATATTTACAACCAAATTGCACAGATATTTTATTACAACCAAAAATTCATAAAATACCCATAATTAAAAACGGAACTAACTTGGGATTAAAATCAGTAAAAATTGGAAAATATAAATATTCATTGACTAATACTTGCGCATTTGACAGCATATTGCAATTATTCGTTGCTGCATATTTTGATACAGCAAGTATTCAAAATTTAATAAACGAAAAGGAAATAAAATTATTCGAATTAGTTAAGCAAATTGTATCTGGCGGCATTAATTTAACATCATACAAACATCGAGTTTTAATATTGAAAGATATATTTTCCAACCAATTAGTGAAAGAAAACTGCATTTTAATCGATTGCCAAGTTTCAATTGGATATATATGCCGAATGCTATTTAGACCAAGTCCATCATTTATTGAAATATCCAAATGCGAAAGCGAGTGTAAAGAAAGAAGGAAACATCTACCAATAATTCAAATAAATATTTCAAATTTATTGGAAAGCAATTTATCAGAATTAGAAAAAGATGCATTTATCCTAGAACCACGAGAATGTTGCCGACCAGGATGTAATGGATTAGAATATACCAACATTTCTTATATAGGTAAATATATCTAATTATTAATAAAATTACTTAAAATTTAACCACTTCAATTTTTATTTTTAGAACAATTTATTATAATGGAACTATATTCAGATGTTGTGGAGGCTGAACAGTTTGCTGTTCCTTTAAAAAAAATTCCAAAGAGTTTAAAATTTTCATTTATGAAGGATGAGTATTCACTTGCTGGAATCATAAATTTTACGGCACCTTCAAAGATCGGCACCAGAAGATCGGAATGTAATGAGATGGGACATTACACCGCAATCGCCAATCGGAAAAACAAATGGATTCAATATGACGACTGTAAGGAAAACGAAACCGTTTTTAGTAATAGTTATGTTTCATGTCCACATGTTTTATTATATGTTGCATAAAATTTTAATATAAATTTCCTAAAAAAAAGATTCCTTCATTTATTTCGAAACTACACTCACCGTCACAAAAAACCGGCAACCCTTAATTAACATAATAAAATTCGTTAATTTAACTAGTGATTACGGGGTGTTCAAAGTTCAAATTTCATACTTAGCAAAGAGCAACAAAATCATTCTATATATCATTGAAAAGGGCATTAAATTACGAATAGTTTGATATAAATAATATCCTAGTAACAAAATGTTTTACCCTTATAAAAAATTAAGAAATCTTCTCGAACCGTAATTCAGTCGTTCGCGCAGTTTGTTTTTCTTAGTTTTTTCATACTTAGCAAAGAGCAACAAAATCATTCTATATATCATTGAAAAGGGCATTAAATTACGAATAGTTTGATATAAATAATATCCCAGTAACAAAATGTTTCACCCTTATAAAAAATTAAGAAATCTTCTCGAACCGTAATTCAGTCGTTCGCGCAGTTTGTTTTTCATAGTTTTTTCATACTTAGCAAAGAGCAACAAAATCATTCTATATATCATTGAAAAGGGCATTAAATTACGAATAGTTTGATATAAATAATATCCTAGTAACAAAATGTTTTACCCTTATAAAAAATTAAGAAATCTTCTCGAACCGTAATTCAATCGTTCGCGCAGTTTGTTTTTCTTAGTTTTTTCATACTTAGCAAAGAGCAACAAAATCATTCTATATATCATTGAAAAGGGCATTAAATTACGAATAGTTTGATATAAATAATATCCTAGTAACAAAATGTTTTACCCTTATAAAAAATTAAGAAATCTTCTCGAACCGTAATTCAGTCGTTCGCGCAGTTTGTTTTTCTTAGTTTTTTCATACTTAGCAAAGAGCAACAAAATCATTCTATATATCATTGAAAAGGGCATTAAATTACGAATAGTTTGATATAAATAATATCCTAGTAACAAAATGTTTTACCCTTATAAAAAATTAAGAAATCTTCTCGAACCGTAATTCAGTCGTTCGCGCAGTTTGTTTTTCTTAGTTTTTTCATACTTAGCAAAGAGAAACAAAATCATTCTATATATCACTGAAAAGGGCATTAAATTACGAATAGTTTGATATAAATAATATCCTAGTAACAAAATGTTTTACCCTTATAAAAAATTAAGAAATCTTCTCGAACCGTAATTCAGTCGTTCGCGCAGTTTGTTTTTCTTAGTTTTTTCATACTTAGCAAAGAGCAACAAAATCATTCTATATATCATTGAAAAGGGTATTAAATTACGAATAGTTTGATATAAATAATATCCCAGTAACAAAATGTTTCACCCTTATAATAAATTAAGAAATCTTCTCGAACCGTAATTCAGTCGTTCGCGCAGTTTGTTTTTCATAGTTTTTTCATACTTAGCAAAGAGCAACAAAATCATTCTATATATCATTGAAAAGGGCATTAAATTACGAATAGTTTGATATAAATAATATCCTAGTAACAAAATGTTTCACCCTTATAATAAATTAAGAAATCTTCTCGAACCGTAATTCAGTCGTTCGCGTAGTTTGTTTTTCTTAGTTTTTTATTAAATAAAGAAAAATACCAAAAAAGTGTTTTGGATTTCTTAAAGCAACAAATTAGCAACAAATTATGGTATGTTTGTTTTTTGATTTTGATTATCCGAAGACATGGGGGTTGCTAGCTTGACGACAAGCTAGCACCACCAACTTCTTATGTTATTTTTTGCTAAATCATTGGAGCAACAAAATTAAAAATAGAGTAACAAATTAGCACATAAATAGCACTAAATCTCCTGCATATTAATTTTTGATTTGGTGATGGTGGGGGTGCTAACTTTATATACGTATTTTTATTCTTATCTTTGTTCAACTTATAGAATTGACCAAGAGAAAAACTTGGAAAATATTTTCGGGAAAAGATATCGGGATGCGGTTTTTGCGAGTTTGTTTAGGTAACATATACCAATGCATTTAATTTTTTTGAGAAAATTAACCATTTTTGTCGAAATATCGCAAAATATGGTCTACTAGCGACACGTGAATCTAACAAAACTTTAAATAATATAACTTTTGTAGTCCAAGAATAGCTGTTTTTAACTAGCCCAAGTTTGTTAAAATCGGCACAGCCGTTTCAAAGATACAGGATGTTTTTTAGAGAAACATTTAAATGACACTCACCACTTTATTTTTAGAGATACAGCAAAAATTGTTAAACAAAAAAGGTTCATTATACTCGACTTTAAAGATCTGGTATTTTTTTGTTAGGTTAATATAGCGGAATTCATAGAAATATCACTTTTTTAGTTTCAATATTCCAGTTACACCCCTAGCGGCCATTTGAGAAAATTGGAAATATTTTGCAGGTCTTTCTCTTGGCCGTTTTAGTAATAACTTTTTTAGCGCAATCCTCTACAATGCATAGTTTCCCAGATACAGTACCTCGCAATCTTAATTTGCCTGTACAGGCAATTTGCACTACAAATAATACACTATAATATGTAATACACAATAATACAAGTATGTAATAGTTATTTTTATCTACAGGCAATTTGTACTGGAAAGTACCAGATAACGTTATTTTTAGATTGCATGGTTCATTTTCCGTATCATTAACATTTATTGCAAACTACGCTAATATTTATCAACTAAATAAGACCATGTAACTAACGATTTTTTTTTTACTACAACCCACACTGTTCTGTTCCAGTATCCAGAGTCCTGGCTCTAAGCCTGCTGGCGTCGATATTCCCGGTATGGATGGGGTGCGTGTGCGCCCTCCATTGGGGCGTAATGTCCACGTGGCTGGCTTTGGGGCAACACCAGACGGCGGCGTGCGGTAACAGATGCGAGGAATTGCTGCTGTCGACCGCCCTGGGCCTGGCGTACGTGCTGGCGTTCATTTCGCCGCGGGACGGACAGACGAGGTACGTCTATCTGGCCTACTATCTGGTCTGTTTTATGGAAAACACGGCGGCGTTGGTCGTGTGGTGCGTCACAAATAATTCCGGTGATAACCCGGTGTTGTATTACGGGGCCGCCGGCGGGCAGATCGTCACGTTTTTGTTGGGTATAACGTTTTTACTTATCTATTACAAGTGCTGTCATCCGGCTATGGCGATTAGGTCGAAGATACCCAGTTCGGATTCCGATTTTCTCGAATCGGATCGACCGGGTTATAGTAAATCTTATAATTTACGGTCGAGGTCTTGATCTTTGTCTTACGTCTAATTGGACGTAAGTGATGTTTTTAATCAAAAGTATACATTTCTAGCCCTTACAATGTGTATTGTTGAGTTTTTGATACTGTCTTGAGGATTAGGTATAACCAAGTTTTGTTAAAAGCACTGAAATATTTTTTTTTTCATACTGAAATTCTTAAATATCAAATCAACTCGGTAAACTATAACTTTTATTGGTTAAGAATATTTGCATTTTTTATATCGTATTGAAGTAACTTTGGAAAATCTATACCTCACAACTATTACCAAAATGTATGTAAAAAGTAGACTGTTTCGTTATACTGATCATATGTAGTAACATTATTTAAACAAAGTGTCTTATTACTTCGTAAATGTCGAATAAATTAAAGGCTTCAATGTGGAAAGTTTTCAAATTGCTGTGATATTGGCTAAAAAAAATATAAATTGTTGAGCCTTTTTGCCTGCAAATGTGCCCTATTATTGTTTCTTTACAGGGTGTTTGATGGTCTTTTAACCCTGTATAAATAATCGTAGAATATTAAAATTTGTAGTTTCTCGTATATATTTGTAAATTATGTAAATTTTATATGTAAATGTACACTGAGGTTGTTAATTGTTTATAGCACTAATCTGTTAAATCATTGCCTTTTTGACTTTTCTATATTGTGATGTTTTTAAATCGGATCCAATGAACTATAAGTAATTAATGAAAGTAGGTAGTGTTTATAAAATGTACGAAAACTTGTGTAAATTTGATAAGTATGATGATAATTGTGCAAAAAATGCTTTCCCTGTGCATTTAACTTTAATAATAATTTTTTACACAAATTATAGGTATGATTGCAACTATTATTTCGGGCATATTCTTTCTAAATGCTTCATGTTTTGTAAGTATTTAGGAGAGAATAAAGCATAGTTTCTTAGAATGCATTATCATCAAATACATCAGTTCACATATTTTTAAATGTACAATAAATTTCATTTGATCGTTAATAGTTTGGCGCACCAAATAAAGACTGCCAAGTGCCAACTTCACACCCTTTATAAAAAAATGCCTTAAAAATACATTTTACAAGAGATGTTCTAATTTATTGTTGACGCTTCAAATTTTATTGTCGAGAAAAATTGATGGATAGCCTAAAAATAGATGTTTTTAACTGCCCACAGAAATTGTATCCATATCTGACGAATGCGTAGAATATATACGGGAGAGAGCTGGTGAAGTAATAAAAAATAAATTATTGATAGCTAAATTTTTATGTGCTGTAATTTCAGCATGGAGAAAATTTTGTTGTTTTCGCCAGCTTTTTTCTTTATTACCTTGCTGATTAATTTGTAAATCCGTTTATTTTGCTATATGAAACAAATTGTAACCGTCGAAACTAACAATTGACTCTATAGTACAAAATTCTAAAACCACATTACAATGTTGCTTAAAAAAGTGTCTTTTATATAAAATATACTTTTTTGGATACTTACTCCAAATTCATGTTGATAGTATTTAAGTAACAAAAAATATGTATGCGAACAGGCTTCAGAAGATAAATTTCATTTTCATTTGTGTACTTAATTCAAATTAATTTAAAGCTAAAAAGATTTTTTTTGTAATATTTTTGTACATAACTTATATACTAAGTTAAATTTCGACAGTATTAATTATTAATTTATTGTATTATAATCAGTTTATTAATAACGTTCCTGTTGGTTATCTTAAAGTGATCTGTTCTGCGATAAAATGTACCTTAATACCTAAATTTATTATTGCCTAAAAGAGAGCTATAAAAGAATAATGGGAACAATATTCAAATATACGCTAGAAATTATTTATATTTGTATCATATTCGAAAATGTAAAAAAAATTGCAAACCTATTACATCATTATTGCGTTGAGTTTGTAAATGAAAGTCTTACTTGTAAATTATTTTTTATGTATAAATAAAAAAATCAAATTTTTAACATTACTCATTCTCCGAACTACTGCTGCCCTGCGTCAAAAATACCTGCTGTCCCCCCGCGCTCGGCTGAGCCACCTGGATTAACTGGGACTGCTGGCTGGTAGCAATCGGAGCAGTTTGGATTATCACAGGTTGCGATGAATTGCCCTGCAATTGCATCTTAATCAATTGCAGTTGTTGCGGAGTCAGTTGAATCTAAAACGAAATATAATTTTATTAATTATTATGGCGATTGTGCTGCAAAGTACTTACAGGTATTTGTTGTATTTCTCCCGTAGGCGTGACGATTTGTTGGATTATTTGCACGTTTCCTTGATTCTGTGCTATTTGCCCTTGCTGTAAAATTACTGGTGTTTGGGCTGGGCTGGTGCTTGTTGGAGATGAAGTATTTTGAGCAGTCTGAAGAAAAATTTACCATTTAACTTGGAACAAACAAAGGGAACTTAATTTTGAACAAACCTGTTCGATAGCATTAACTTGCACTGTCTGCACTTGCTGTGGTTGTACTATTTGAATGGTACCTTGCTGTGGTTGGCTTCCGCTTGGGGTCGAAGTAGGCGACGTATTATTTTGTTGTAAATTAGCATGATGCTGTTGGGCAAGTTGAAAGTAATAATGCACCTGAAAACGTAGCTCGTTTACTTACTCTACGATAGTCTAAACTAAAATAAACCGCGTACCTGATCCGGATTCGAACCAGTCCTGGTCTCATCCCTGATTTTAGTGGGTTTTATGTCATCTCTGGGGACAATGTCGATTAGGAAATCGAACTGATCGTATTTAGTAATTGCCATGGCTATATCGTTCCTCTAAAAACAACATTATTAAGTACACGATTGAAACGCTAGCATATAACATATACTTGTAGTGTCCTTCGTTTGTTATCTTCCGTGTGTATCCAAGCTCTTAATGTTAATTCATGTATAAAAATTTCAGCAGCTTTCGCAAACAACAAGGGCGCTTCTGCACTGATCATTTTAACGTCTTCGTCTAGTTTCATTATCTTTTTAATACGAGCTAATGGCAACACTTGCTGCTTTAAATCCATCTAGAAAGAAATATATTTAAAGGCTGTTAGGGAGACGTATTGTGCAATAAACGCTTACATTCTTAATAGCCTTTATTTCTTCCATAACCTTTGGCCAAAATTGATTTAAAGCTTGTTGTGCTTCGCTTTGGGTTTGAGATTGATCATCTACGCATTGCGTATCGGATTTATCCTCGTTGGAATCCCTGTAAAGAAACGATCGGTGAATACGATGCAATTAGTTTAATTAATGGTGTACTCACGCATTAACGAAAAACAGCGAGGTGGACATCTTCGTTGCTTATAAAAATATTATTATAGTAATTAGAACTATCCGAATATTGAAAATTAAGGCGCCTTTAAATAGAGCCAATCAGTTTTTACAAATGATTATTTTCCCGTCCAATCCAATCGAATTCACCACCATAACCAATACCCACAATCATAACAAATCACAACAATAGTGAATGGCGGGTTGCAGATTCGACGAAAGAATCGAATGATAAATCGATACTTCGTGTCTTGTGTTGATTTTTTAATTTTCTTGAAAGCAGAATTATGTTGAACAATTAAATGCATCTGACCTTGATTTTACGGTAAGCGCATGATATTAATATTAGAATTGATAGTATGAAAAATGGAAAATAAATACTGGATGTAAAAGGGCGATCGATTAATCGAAAATGACATTTGGAAATGTCACACAAAATGACATGTAATTTGTGAAAAAAAATTGGCCTTTGACCCATTTAGTTGGAAGCACTAAATGCATTACTAAATCTTTGGCCGCATTTTTTTATTCAAGTTGCATGTATCCGTTGTAGCGATAGAAGCTTTTACCGTTTTTTAATGCTTTAAGACGGCTTAAAGTATAAGGATTAGAATGACTCTTGTTTTATCAGGCTGCAGTGTGAATTTATAGGATGTAACCGTTAACCTTTGTTACAATTGTTTCAAGTTACAAATAACATTCCTTTTTACAAAAAAAAGACATATACGATAATTCATTACTTTTTTTTTAATTTACAAATCTTTTTAGACTGTTTTAAACCTCTCTTTGGCTTCTTATAACCGTCATCATCGGATTCTATAGATTCGTCGTCTTCATCATCAAAAACATTCTCTACAATATAAACAACACAAAATTAACCAAAAATGAATATAATTAATTTTGTTTACCTTCCGTTTTGTCTAAATTTACCAATTCCGTTAGGTACTGGTTGATGCTTAACTGAAATGTTTTCAATGTATTCCGGTATTCTTTTCTATCTTGTACATTCGCTTTTAAATAGATGCTCTTGTCCTTTATTTCATCTGCTGTTTTAAGTTTAAATGAAAACATTTTGCGAAAACATTCAAATAGGAACAAAACAAATAACCTAAAATACCGTAATAACAAGATGTCAAAGTCAATGTCTAAAAATTTCTGTTGGCCTTTTTCTCTATTACAATTCAGGTACTTAATTAAATTTAATTTGAATACAGACGTAAAAATACCAAATAATCTATACAACTTTTGCAATATACACAAAAGTTGATTTATGGATTTATGCAAATTAAAAAATCGTTTCTTTTTGAATTTCAAGAATGTCAAAGTGCTTATTATGCATAAGTCCGTCAGCCCTCCGCCAAACTGTCAACAAACAACAAAAATGTTTTGTGTTTGTAAAAATAAAAACGCTTCATAATGAAAATGACTTGTTCAAATTGATTCATCAAAATAAATTGAATAAGTGCACCGGGTAATTCCTCTTTATTTAATTTGTCTCATAAAGGTCTACGTGTGTCGTGTACAGAGCCCGCTAACAAGTAGAACGTACCTCATCCTCGCTGTTGACGTGTGGTGTGTATAATGTATTGAATTTTTAAATTTGTCCAAGATATTATAATTTTATTATCTTATCTAAATAAACATTGTAGTAAGAATGGAAAGCAGAATGTAATTCTCCATATTATTCACGTATCATGTATTGGAATAATTGAAGAAAATGATGTTTAGAGAGACAATAAGCTTCGTTTTATTGATATTTGCAGTTAATGGTAAGTTGCAGTAAAAAAAGATTATTTTTAAAAAGTAGAATGAAATAAGTATCAATATTTACTAAATTTGATTTCTAGTTTTCTAATTTTGTACTAAAACTATTATGTATTGATTTTTTATTCATTAAATTTTTGTGTTATGATAATAGTAGCTACTCTATTTCGAATAGTTAATTATGTACTCATTTTTTTTAATATACCAATTTTTTACCTTTCTAAGAATTGAATATTTTTCCTTAGGTCAACAGCGTAAATGTAACTTTGCCGATCTCGATAAAGATGTTGACTGTGGAAAGAATGAAGTTTGCGAAGAGTCAGGATGGTGCAATTGTTTACCAGATTTCCAGAAAAAAGACAATGAATGTGTTTCTGTTGCCTCCGAAGACATCAAGTCATCTAATTATTTAAATTTAGTTAATAATCAAGGTAGCGGTTCTATAGTCGCCGGAATATTGATTCCTTTATTTCTAATAGTATTTGTAATGTGCGGAGTTTACGTAACGAGGAAGTACCACTTACTCTCGTGGTTTAGGAACAGGTTTCGTCGAAGGCACGAAAATTACGATGAATTTATGATAGGGCAAGACGAAGACGACGAGCCTCTCAGTTAAACATGCTTTTGCTGCATCCTTTTTGTATTTTTATTGTTTTAACTTATTCTCTCCTAAATAGCACAAAGTACAATGATTCATCTATAAGATAGTAAATACTTTTTTTCATATTTGTGGTCAGTGATTAATGTTAAATACTTGCCAGAAAGATCCTTATACTTTGCAAGGAAGATCCTTATATTTTAAATACCTATAGTAACTTTTAAGGCCGTTTGTATTTTGTACATTTAGCGTTGTATGTTAGTCTTCTAAATGTTACAAAAACTCATACCAAAGGTAAAAAAATACTGTCTAAATAAAATGCTATTATTATTTACATTATGCTTTTATTTTCACGGTAATGTAATTTTTTAATTAATGAAAAAAACACATTGGATGTCGTTTTAATAACAAAAAAGGATACCACAGATTACACAGGATACATTTACATTATTTTTAATCGTTTTCGATTTTGAAAAACGACCCAAAATTAGTAGCTGCATTGGTCGCATATTAAAGGCCACATTTATGTCAATTTAATTAACTAATTAAGAACAGAAGAAGAAGTTGCGTCAAAGTTGTCAAATGGCAAACAAACAAGAAACAACTAAAAATTTTAATTAATCAAAACCAATTTAATTCGAAGAAATTAGTAATAGTAATGCCTAGGCAAGGAAGGACGCCGAAAAAAGACGGACCTGAGTCAGGAGAAGACTCGGATGAATACAGAAAACGTCGGGACAGAAACAATTTGGTAAACCGCTTCGACTGAACGTCGCAAAATAAATAAAAATCCTTTTTTTAGGCCGTTAAAAGAAGCAGAGTTAAGTCCAAACAGAAGACGCAGGAAACGTTGAGTAGAGTGAACGAGCTCAAAAATGAAAATACCATTTTGGAAGAAAAGGTCAAAACTTTGACGAAGGAGCTAGGATTTCTGAAAGAGCTGTTCCTTGCACACGCATCGAATAGCGCAGATAAAAGTAAATTCGAAGGCGTAGATCTTCAGAAACTCTTGCAGGATAATTCATCTGAAGGTTCGAGCTCCAGCCAAAATAATACGTAGCTCCTAATAGAATCCCTATTGTTTCTAAAACATTTCATTGGCCTTGTTAAGATTCTGTTACTTTAACCGTAATCACACTATAATAGCATTTTGTTGGTATTGTTTCAAATGTACAGCACATAGTTATCATTAGATTATTCCCAAATGTGTCTGTAAACAACAGGTTTATATTTTCAGCATTTTTTGGATTCATATTTCTTTTTTTCCAGAAGATTTTTCACTGTATAAACGAGAATAAGTAAGTGATTTTCCTTTAATTTTTTAAACGATCATTTTTTGTGTTTCTTATCTTTCATTACGACAAACAGTATATATTTTTTTTAATTAATCATCTATCTTTCACTGGGCTAATATGCTTTATCTCCAAAACTATATCCTGTTATACATTTTGAAATTTTTTGAGTTTCATTATAAAAGTTAAGACATGTACATTTTATTATAATTTGTAGTAATTTTTTATATTACGTTTTTATATGTATATTTATCGGAAATAAAACTGTTGTTTTAATTTCGTTTTTTTATTAGTCACTAAATAAAAAATAATTCTTAAAATAAATTAATTAAATTCCTTTAAAGTACATAGATGATTACTGGAAAAGAAATGATGTAAAACTGAAAAGAAATAATTACTCTAAACTTAAATGTAAACTCTCTTTTAAAACCAGTTTCGTTTATTACAAATTATGAATATTATTACTTATTCAATTGAATCTAGTACTTTTAAGTTATTCTTAATGTACTGCAAAATTTGATGTAAGTATTCCCTATTACTGTCGTTACTTATACAATCTAATTCTAAAACGACCTTATTTTCAGAAAGTTTGAGACTTGCAACGAATTTAAAAAATACGTCTTCATCTTCACTGGTAATTCTTAATTTTTTGACGAGATTTCCTCCAATGACATCCACATCTTCGTGTGTTCTTTTTCCTGGAGATTTCCCTCCTGAAGTTTCTTCTTCCTGAACAGACAAATCGTTTTCTCCTGATGAATTTAAAGTTTCGCTGTTTCCATTTCGTTTCTCCCTTCTTTTTCTTCTTTGGTGTGACCAGGTGTTAGCTGAAGCATACACGAAGTATCTTATCACATCTTTCTTCCTCGAAATTTCTTCGACGCTCATTTTCAATCCGTTGAATAACTTTATTAAGCTATCTCTGGCATTGTTTAAGGAAAACTCGTCGCTTTCATCTAACAGTACAAGTGATAGAGGCTCTTTCAATTTGGTCTTCCGTGAAATTTCTTTAATGTAGTCAGGGCACTTTTTCAGGTCGAAATGCGAACAGAACGTCCACGCTAGGCCCCATCTCGTCGTATTACCCTGGCAAAATTCAGTCTCTTTGAAACTGCACACTTCCGCTTCTCTCAGCAGTTTCTTCAATTGCGGTAAATTCTTTTTACAACCCACCATTGTCGAGTATATTTTGATCTTCATGCCTAACTCTTTGCTTTCTTCGATAAGTTTACTGAGAAATTCCACTTCTCCCCCTTTTACCACGACTTCGTTTACAGAGGCGCAGAAGGAGTTCTTCGGTTTCGGCCTGCTTAGATTCCTCGATTTGGAGTTTGGCTGCAGTTCCTGGACGTTGCCGAAGAACGGGGGATTGCACATGCAGAAGTCATATTCCTCCGATTGAACTAATTCCTTCAGAATAACATCTTCCGTGACTTTTTTAACCTGTACGAGTTCTTGCAGGTTATTTCTGTCGACGTTAGATTTAGCGCTCCTGACGCTCTCTTCGTCCACCTCCGAAGCTACCATGTACCAGCCGTTCTTCTTGGCCCCGAGAAGGGGGTATACGCAAGAGGCACCCGTCCCGATATCTATTCCTTTAATTTTCTCCTTGTTATCAATCAGTGTTAGAAGGTCTTCCAGCCATAAAATGTAATTTATCCGCAACGGTATCGTAGGAATGAGCTTGTTCAATGGTATTTCCACTTCCAATCCGAAGTCTTTTTTTAGCAAAATAGTTGATAAACACCGCAGTGATTTAGTATTCTTGAAATCAAGCGAAACTTTACCGGTGACATCATGTGTAACGAATTCTCTAAATTCTGGATAATCCAATGCGAGTTTCTTGAAATTTGGTGGTGTTTTATAAATATTTCTTGGGTGCATATACCTACTTACAGCCATTTTTTGAATAAAAAAACAGTTTTACCAGTTTTTAAAGATGTTAGGTTAACATACTTCTTCTTTCTTTTTTCAACTAGAACTGTATCTGCATTTGGTTATTTATACGGTGAAATTCGGTTAAATATTCATCTATTGAAATGTTTTGACTACCTTTAATTATTTTAAGCTCCAATTATGCGTTTAGATAGCTCCAATTTCGTTTAAAATAATGCTGAACTCCTAAACATTTGGTAGGTAACCCATTATTGGCTACCTACCTACTCAGTCAGAGATTATTGTACATCAACAATTCAACTTATTCAACATATCATTTAGAAAAGTTAGGTTATTGTTACAAGTTTAACATGCTATCTTAGTTCATTACAGAATAAAATTGAAAATAATTATGTCGACAGACGGAATTTGTAAAATAAAACCTGCGTAAGTACGCCTGCGTTATAATAAATTAATGAGACTCAAAATGAAATAATTTTAGTTACGTTATCGAGGCACCCAAAAAAGAAATCAACTTGGAGCATGTTTCTCAAAAAGATAAAGACACCTTAGAAGATAAAAACGTTACAGAGGAACCTGCCGCGAAAAAACCTAAGCTCAATAAAAAGAAATTAAAAGGCCAGAATAAGTCGAGAGGCCCTACGTATCACGTCGATAAAAAAGACGAGCTTTGTAGCAATTTAATTAACGCGGTTTCCGGAGAAGCTATTCCTACGTGCAATAGGAAAAACTGCGAATTTTTGCACGATATTAAACGCTACTTAGAAATAAAACCGAAAGATATAGGTGACTGTTGCTATAATTATCAAGTTTCCGGTAAATGTAGCAGGGGATTGGCTTGTAGGTTTGGCACCGAACATATATCTTCGGAAGGTACCAATAAAATAAACGAAGAAAAACACGCTGCATTTAATGCAAATGGTTCGCAAACCATCAATTCAATGAAACATGAAATCCAAATTGCTCTTAGGAAAAGAACATATGATTTCAATTTAGCAGAGAAATGCGTAAAGTATATAGATACTTTGAGAAATGTAAGTTGTACTAAATTTTCTAATTTAATAACAAACAATTATGTATGTTTAGAAACCTGACGTAATCGAAGACGATCCCAAGCCAACTACTGGTACAGTAACAGACGAAGATATTATTAAACTGTTGAGTAGAGAGAAGACCAAAATCGATTGGAAGGATAAACTATTCCTAAGCCCCCTTACTACTGTGGGGAATCTGCCCTTCAGACGTGTCTGTAAGGAGTTTGGAGCTGATGTAACATGCGGTGAAATGGCAATGTGCTCGTCATTATTACAAGGTAACCTCCAAGTAAATAATGTTTAACAGCCTTTAATAACATAAAAATTTGCAGGTATGCCCCAAGAATGGGCTCTACTGAAACGCCACCAAAGCGAAAATTTGTTTGGGGTTCAACTTTGCGCCAACAATCCGCATCTTCTAACCAAATGCGGGCAGCTATTACAAAACGAAATAGAAGTGGATTTCGTCGATTTTAACCTGGGTTGTCCCATAGAACTCGTTTACAATTCCGGAGCCGGTTGCGGTTTATTAAGAAGGAAAAAGGTTTTGGAGTCGTGCATTAAAAGCATGAGTACAATCTTGAACGTGCCTTTTACTGTTAAGATGCGAACTGGTGTTTACAGTAGCGAAAAGATTGCGCATACTTTAGTGAGTAATTTGTAGATCATTAGATGTATATGTTTTAAGAATTAATTGTTTTAAGGCACCAAAAGTTAGAGAATGGGGAGCAAGTTTGTTGACAATTCACGGTAGATCAAGAGAACAAAGATACACAAGACAAGCGAATTGGGAGTATATCGAAGAAGTCGCTAAAGTTGCTGCACCTTTACCAGTATTAGGTAAATAAATTAATTACTTTACGCATCCAAAAATTAATGCATTGCCAACGAAACCATGCTAAGTGTTCATTTAATTTTAGGGAATGGTGATATTTTGAGTTACGAAGATTATGTGAGAGCTAGAGAAACAGCTCCTAGTATTTCAGGTGTGATGTTAGGCAGAGGTGCTCTAATAAAACCGTGGATATTTACGGAAATAAAGGAGCAGAAAATCTGGGATATATCGAGTTCCGAAAGATTCGAGATTATCAAGAAATTCACAAATTATGGACTGGAACATTGGGGCTCCGATAACAAAGGCGTCGAAAATACCAGAAGATTTTTGTTGGAATGGCTGTCTTTCTTGTACAGATATATTCCTGTAGGAGTTTTGGAAACTCCACCGCAAAAAATCAATGAGAGACCTCCGCTTTATAGGGGACGCGACGAATTGGAAACCTTGATGGCTTCTTCGTCTGCATCGGATTGGATTAAAATAAGTGAAATGTTGTTGGGGCCGGTACCTGAGAATTTTAATTTTTTGCCTAAACATAAAGCAAATTCATATAATTAATGTTTAAAATATATTCTAGTTAAAAAATTTATAACATAGTAAATATAAAGCATCGAATCGATATTTACTTAACATATTCAATAAACAAAAGTTTTCCACCATAGATAAAATCTAATTTTATTGCCGAAACGAGTATAGAAAAAAAAATGAAAGTATCGAAGGAATTGTAAAACAAACGAGGTGTAACGCAAATAGTTTTTTACAACAAACATACAACATTAAAATATGCCTTCACAATTATTCATATGCCACATTGCTAGTGTTTATTATAATACACCGATATAATTGCCTATTACATTACTTGTGACATAATTAAGTCCCTATATAGCAATTTACACAGATTTACGCCACATATTAAAACACAGAAGGTTTGGAATGGTACAGAATTATTCCGTAATCGATGGTTTTTTTTTTTAAGTAAAACTGCAGCAACTGTTTGTTTTTCTTGCAGTCTTATAAAAAGCTTTGGACTGTATACTTAAGCCCTCTGATTTATTTACCAAGTCGTCCAGTTTCTCGCCTCTTTCCAGGACTGCTTGAATTGTGTTATGCTGTAACAAAAATAAAGATTTTAATTAGCATTGTTTATTAAAGCTTTAATAATTAATTACCATCAGTTTAACCTTAGATAAGTAACGCAATATAATTGACATTTTTCTCACCAGAATAATCTTGGTTTCGTCAAGGTCCTCCTGTATTTTAGTCATTGCATCGGCTTCCTTGGGGTTCTGGTATTTGGTAAGGTAAGTGTTTAGCTGTGGAAACGTGACATCTCTCTCCTGCAAGGTAGGCCAATTCACAGCGGGTATTTTAGCAGCGAATTCGTCCAAAATTTTCGTAATCAGCGTATGCGATACCCTGGAGGGATATTCGTGGTCTGATATTACAACACCAGCTAAGTTATCATGTCTTACATAAACATGACACATGTATTCTGCAAGACAATTCACAATGTTATTTACTAGGTAAACATGCTCAATGCTATCACATAGGTAAGTAGATAAATCGTTTCGCTGTTTCTATGTTAAGGATTAAAGTATTACCTCCTTCTTTGACGGATTGTCTCGATGATGGTATGGTCCTTTCCACAATAGTCTTACAAAAGAATGACATAAACTCCTGTACAGACCCTCTTTGGAAAAAACTGAAACTTTGTAAATCGAAAGCGGACTTCAACCACGTAGCGTATGTAGTATCTTTGTAGAGAATACTGATGCAATATAATTTTACCATGATTTAAGTTGTACCTTTTGGACTTTCACACAATGCCTAATCTATTTTTTTGTCATATGGAATAACAATGCAGATGGTTCCCAGCATACAATTAGTACAAATAATTTAATTAGTTCGTTAGGGTACAATCACTTTCACAATATACTATTGTTTTTCAGTATTTTAGTACATGGCTATAAAAAAACTATCAAATCACTAACCTAAAAAAATGACATGAGATATGACATTTATGACACCTAGTAGGATAAACAAACTGTTCTGTGAGTACTCTTTTTTTTGTACATAAATTTTATGTTGGGAACAATGGTAATGAAAACCGTTCACCTGTCAATTCTGTCAACATAACATGATATTTTGACGTGACGTATATGTCAAAATCGTTGAATGTTGAAATAAATTAGTAATTAACATTGGGTTGTTTAAAAATGTTAAAATGTATTTAGTTTTGCTGTGTTATTTACATTTAAATCCACAATGGATACACTAAAGAGTTTAAGATTCGAAAAAGGTCATACTTAGAATATGAGTTGAATCAATTAATGGTTTCTTTGTATTTAGTTTGTAAGTATTTAACATTATTTTTATTCGTAAAGTAATTACATGAAATGTAGTTAGTACAGTAATATGGTATGTTTTACAGTTATATCTCAAATTTTTAGATTAAAAATCTGTTAACAGCTAGCCTCTCTTCAGGAGATTTTTTAATAAATTGCCTGCTCATATCTGCACTTCTGTGTTCTAGTTTTATGAAATAATTTTAAACGCTTAATTACCATGATTGGTAATCAGGTAATCTAATCTCAAGCGTGCCTTTGTCTTTTTAATACAATTGTATATCTAATTCTTACAATTAGTAGAAGTAATTACCCTACATAGCTGCTATAATGTTTTTTTTAGTGTTAATTATCCAAAATTACTATGGATAATAGCTGTATAATGTATATCTAATTTTTATTTTGGTTCTAGTTAAACTCAAGATATTTTCAATTTTATTAATGTGAAAGTAAAGATATGTAATGAAAATCTAATCTAAAAATTAATTGGGTGATTTTGTTATTTCGTTTTTTTTTTAATTTTAAAATGAAAATTTAGGAAATTAGTAAATTTAAAATATTTATTACTATCTTTCAAAAGTTTGCTTATTAATATATCAGTTTATATGTATCAAGTGTTTTTAAACGCTCCTTGATTTATTAGGTAAATTATGTTATTTTTATCTTGTTTTTCTCTCTACTTTTTTCGTTACGTGTGAATCACTAATTATCATTAATTTTGCTTAAACGTGTGCTATTTGATCAGTATCGTAATATCGCTTTTCTCGCTTTCCGAATGAAATTTTCTTATTGTGAATTTACCCGCTTTTCAAAATATTTGCCTTGGAAATTTGTAAAGGAAGCCGGATGTAATTTAACTATTCCAGTGACGTCTCGAATCTTGGAATATTTTTAATTTCTAACAAACAACAGTTTTGTGCAGAAAAAAAACTAGATTTCCCTAATTTGTATCTTGTTCCAACTATTTTTCAAGCATAATTGAAATAGTAGAAAAAAAGCAAAAACAAATTCCACTTTATGATTAACGGAAATATCTTGGATATTCAATTCGACGCATTCCTTACAAATTCGCCTGTTTTTTGATTATGTCCTCCAATTTTCAAACGGCTCAGTACAGTCGAAGAAACTGGTACATAATGATACATTGCGTTAAACCGATACAATATATTTATTTACAATATTGACATGTGCTTGTAGGTAGTAAGTTAGAATAAACCGTAGATATGGCAAGAGAAAGGATCACCAGAAAATGGGAAATATTTCAAGGTAGAAACAAATTTTATTGCAATGGAAGAATCATGACAGCACCAAACTCTGGAGTGTTCCTTTTCACATTATTTATAATAACGCTTACGAGTATGTTGTTTTTTATATTCGAGTAAGTATTATTTATTAATATTTAAAAGCATTTCACAAGAATTCTCGATTAATTCACCGTACACAAAGGAGTCGTTATAACTCTTATCTAATTGTCTAATTCGCAATATTTCATGAAAAATATCATCCATTCAAACGAACGTTTCAATTAAACCGATAACAGCCGCATTCACACTATTTTCTCTTTTATTACAGCTGCAAATATTTAGCCGAGAATGTAACGATAGCAATTCCGATAATCGGTGCAATGTTGTTTCTATTTACGATGTCCTCTTTATTGAGAACGAGCCTATCGGATCCCGGCATCATCCCCAGGGCTTCTTCCGAAGAGGCCGCTTATGTTGAAAAACAAATAGGTAATTTAAATTTTGTCAAATCTACTTTCAACAAAATTTTAGTCTGATTCCAAAGGAACAAAATCTACCCATTTCGGAGCACCAGTTCCTCATAATTTAGCCGTTACGGCATCTGCATTTTATGACACAAGATAAAAGATATTTATGCTCGATTAAAAAAGACTGTTCCCCATTTTTTAGAAGTGACGAATTCCGCGAATAGTCCAACGTACAGGCCTCCTCCTCGGACGAAAGAAGTGCTAGTAAAGGGACAGACGATTAAATTAAAATATTGTTTTACTTGTAAGATATTTAGACCTCCTAGAGCATCACATTGCAGTTTATGCGACAATTGCGTGGATAGGTTCGATCATCACTGCCCTTGGGTGAGTTTGTTGCCCGATTTGAGATTCTCGTTATAAAAATTTTAAATTTTCAGGTGGGTAATTGCGTCGGTAGAAGAAACTACAGATTTTTTTATATGTTTATTATATCGCTGGCGTTTTTAGCTGTATTTATATTTGCCTGTGCCGTGGCGCATCTTATTTTAAGTAAGAACGCTGGAGTTCCGTTAAATAGAACATCGGCAATATTTTAAATGTTAAATTCATTTTGAATTTCAGTGACAAAGGATGATCGGGAGTTCCTAGATGCTGTGAAAGAATCACCGCCCAGTGTGATAGTTGCTGTAATTTGTTTCTTTAGCGTATGGAGTATATTGGGTTTGGCGGGCTTCCATACTTACCTCACAACAAGTAATCAAACTACAAATGAAGATGTAAGCTTTGTGTTTAACAACAAAATAATTACCAAATTTCATTTAATTCTTTCTGCTATATTGTTTGTTTCAATATGAGGCCTTGCTTGCTTGATGTGTTAAAATTTCAATTTGTTTCAGATAAAAGGTTCATTTACGAGTAAACGTGGACAGGACAATTTCAATCCATATTCAGAAGGCAATATTTGCTTGAACTGTTTTCACATTCTGTGCGGGCCGGTCACCCCTTCGCTCATTGACAGGTAAGCCTTGATTTATCAACCATAATTTCGAAATATAATACATACAAAAAACTTTGAATTAATTTTAGACGAGGAATCGTAACCGAAAGTTACCGAAATGAGCAGAGCCGAAGCATTACGAGCGCTCCGACATTACCTTTCAAAAAATTCACTGCACCAATCCAAGTAAGTTATTCCTACTGCATTAGATTGTCTCCCTTATTCAAAAGTTTTTTATATAATCATATGGTTTTGTAACCTACGATTATATATTTCCGAATTTTAAACGTGGCAACGTTGCTTATTTGAATCTTAAACAAGATGAAAATAAGTTTTCTTCATTCTTCTTCCTCCAAACAAGGCCTGGGTTTCAAATTAAAGGTATTTGAACCTGGAGTGAAAAGTTCTAGTATACAGGGTGTGTAAAATAATTGTGCAAAGTTCAATTAAAGGACTAGGGAGCGTTCTAAATGGTTCTGAAGCGTTCTAAATAATTCTACACAGTTTTGGAGCGTTTTAAATGGTTCTGAATCAATCTAAACGGTTTTAGACAATTCTAAATGATTTTGGAGCGTTCTAAATGGTTCTAAACAGTTCCTAATGATTCTGGAACGCTCTAAACGGTTCTACACAGTTCTAAATGATTATGGAAAGTTCTACGATGGTTCAAGATAGTTTTAAATGATTCTGGAGTATTCTAAATGGCAGAAGAATGACAAAAAACTAACCTCATGTTCATCTTATTTAAAATTAAAATAACGTTGCCATGTTTAAAATTGGTTGGTTACAAAACTATTTGATTATAAAATACTACTGAAGACGTGGGTGTAAGTTAATAAATTTTCTTTCAGAACGGTCCTCAGCTAGTTTCGCCGGAAATGTCGGGGATCTACCGCCAAACATCCGAAAACGTGGGTACGTATGCGCCATTAAAAAAACAACTATTCGAAATGCAACAGATGATTCCGTCCAAAAATTGCGCCAACCCGAAAATCATACCATCGCAAATGTTGAGTTACAACGTGCGCGAGTCCGCGCCCGGTTTGTACACGTTCCGGAGCGGCCAATCGGTGTCGCAGTTCAACGAATTCGTAAACAGAAACGGCATTCTGAGCCAAGATCCCGTCGTTCAGTTGCCTTTCATTCGAATGGTCGATTCGAAGGCGGGCCGGAAGCCCAGACCGAAGAGCAGTTGCGTTTACGAAAACGTCTATCCCAGAGAGGATTACTGCATAGTGCGGATAAACAGCGAGAGAAATTTAACGCATAATTTGAGGGTCGATAGTTTCCCCATGCCCGAGTTTAATTATATGTACATACAGAATAGGAATGATTGAAACAGTTGGTTCGAATAAAGGGTGTTTTATGAGATAGAAGAGCTTGCATAGCTCTTAGAAATGTCCTGCAATTTGAAGGGATTTTTGACGTTCGAAATGTTTGAGGCGTCTGTGCAATACAATAAATTCTTTACAAGGGAATAGGTTGTTCAAAGGATTGCTTTTAACTCCATGTTCATACATAAGATAAAGGAGCTTTTGAAATAATCCATTTATCTTTTCAAATAATGCTTCAAAATATCTATTTTCAATTCCCTTAATCCTTTTTTTTTCGATAGAAATCTTTATTATTACTTCTTCAAGTTTAGAATGTAATAATAGAATTTTAAATATTTAAATGTTAAATAATAGCGTTTGGAAAAATAGAAGTAGTAATTTTATTACTAATGGAAGAATATAATAATGTTGATATGAATGGCACAATTAGATTGTGTTATTTTTCGTTTGAATAAGAAAATGATAGAGGGATAATGTGTATTAAGCGTTAAAGGAGTAAATAATATGTACAACATATTCATGCACGTTATTGTGTATAGTCATGAAGAATGTTTACTCTCAATTAAGGTAGTTTTTAATTGTTTAAATGAAAAAAAAAACTTTTTTGGGTTTATATGACAAGTACTAAATTCAAAATATACAGGGTGTCCCACATGAGAACCAACACAGAGCAGAGGAGTGTAGGGGAGCCCAAAATATGTTGTTTAACACAACATCCCCTACAAACCCCTCCTCTGTGTCGGTTCTTATGCGGGACACCCTGTATATATTTTTGCATGCATATAATTATGGCGTGTAAGGGAAGCAAGATTATTAAACTTAACATTTTTCCAGTACATTTTTTTTTTTTCGAATGGAATATTCTCTGGATTCACAAACCTCATTTATAAGGCATGATGTAACATATTTTGTACATATTAAACGACTTCAATTTAAATACTCAACGTTTAATACATATTTTTCATTTCATCTCTTAAACAGCGTGTTTGACAGGCTTTGATAATATATTACGACTTGTTAAAACATTCCGTGTAACGGTAGATATTTTATTAGAGTAGTTGTAAGGATATTTTTAATACTTTTTATTCTTGCTTTCCTTACATTGATGGAAGTTTACTGATTAGAATAGCGGTAAGTTTTATTTCTGTTGATCTCAAAAGAACTCTCGATAAACTTGAACTTTCTGCATTAAATGTGGCCTTTTTAGAAAGACTTTAAAGCAAGGTATTAATCCTATTACTGCATAAATAATCTACCATTTTTACATCTTGTTTATTTTTATTTTTTTCAGAAAATAATACCGGTAGTGTAGCTCATTTAGTCCCCAGCGAACAACCTTTAGCTGTTATTCCGACGGCGGTACACCGAAAGACTTATCGCGAGGAAGAAAACTTTAACAAAGTGGTGCCCAACAAGTCGCATTTGTACAACAACGTCCTTCCTCACATCAGGCAGGTGGAGCAGAAAGGGCCGGACAAAAGTGTTGAAAAATCGCCCTCTTTCCCTAAAGAGACTGTAAACGGGATGAAAGATATCGCAGTGAGCGTGGAGGACCTTCACTTAGATCCGATCATATTGCGAGAAGGTCACCTGTTGGCGACTTACAACGGTAAAAGTCGCTACGGTGACTTGAAATTGGATAACGATTTGACGAGGCAGGAGAAAGAAAATAATTTATTCAGTGTAAGTAGGTTGCGGCTGTTGCAAGATACCACTATGATCGAAAGTGCCCTGGACTTGGATTCGCTCGACGGGTCTAGTTTAGGTACAAACAGTCAAGCCGGACTCATGAAAATAGAAGTATAAAGATTCGAGAATACATATTTCCATTCGACATAAACTTTTCTCGATTCCGTTTTTTGAAATAGCATTTATCCGAGTTTTGCATCAAAAAGGGCTATCTCATTTTTTTAAAGATATAACGTTGTTATGAAATTGTCAATTAAAATGTATATTTTTAACGCAAAAAGCGTTACTCTATTTTATATATACGAAAGAAAATTATTATTAAGCTTCTAATCGTCTAAAGTGCATAATGCATGTGTTAAATTGTTATAACTGTAATTAATTGCTACGCTGAACAACACTATTCCAAATAATAAGCAATGCAAATACTGAGAAGAAACTTTTGTGGCAAAATTTTTACTTTAGACCCTGAAATATGATAGGTCAACGTACCTTGCCAAAATATATATACGTACTAATGTATTATTTTGTTCACTATATTTGTTTTTTTTCTCAGTAAATTTTCATTATTATTTAATTGTAATTATTTATAATAAACAATAAATGTATAAAATTTTAGACATCTAATATGACCTGTACTTGGTTAAAATGTGTAAATAAAGTTTGTAATTTATATAAATACTATTAAATTTATTGTGTATCAAATCGAAATTATCTCTGACTTTTATCGAATAAAAAGTATAAACAAGAATTAGGTATAGAACAACAGAAAAATATTTATTTTTTTTCTAATAATATAACTCGGTTATAATTTAGAATAATAAATGCATTAGTTGTTTTGTAATTACGACCTGAAAATGTCGACCATCTCCCTGGGAGGCGTGCTCGTCCTCTGGATTCTAGAAGGAAGCATCAACGACACCGTTTCCCCTTTACCAGTCGAAGCCCGACTTAAAACCGGCCCGGGAACCTTCCTTTGGCCGTTCTCCCGCTGCAGGAACTCCATCAAACTCATGCTCGGCAACCACGATTTATCCTTCACCGCCGTAGCCACGATGTTCCTGTTCGGCTCCATGTCGTAGGCGGCGCTTTCCACTCCAAAGTGCTCGCAGTACTCGTGTATGAAATGCCGCTTGTCCCGATTCATCGATTCGAACGAGTACGACCTGCTCTTCTGCTTGCTCATTTTGGCCAGCTGGACGAGCTCGGACAGTTTCTCGTGCACCTTCTGGCAGAAACGCGGGTCTTTCTTGCCCCATTGCTTCAGAAAGTCCGAATATCTCGGCGTTAATTTTTGGCTCAAATCGGGATTTCGAATTTGCAAACCGATGGCTAGCCTTCGGTTGCGCTCCAAAACGCGACACTCCTCGGTGCATTCCAATCTAAAATCACACAAACGTTAACTTTCATCACTCTATAAACTGAGCGCTATTACATTTTCAAAACGTCCGGTCTTTTGCTAGTGTTCATCAGATCGGATAAATCTACTGTTGAGTTAGTCGACAAATGGCTCATCTTCTCGTTCAATTTCGCCATTTGAATGTTGTGAAATTCATCGGCCACTTCTATGCAAGGTTTCGTACTTTTTTGTAGACCGCACGGACATGTAACTAAAACGTTATGTTTACAATTGCTTTCGGGGCAAGGTGGATCGTGGCAAGGCCTAAAAACAAACAAATCTTCAATCTATTTGAACTTATTACAACTTTAGTTGCATTCACTTACTTGCCGCAAGGATGTCCGCACAAATCCCTAGGAACCGTACATGGCTGTTTGCAGGGCGTAGGACAAGGCCCGTCGTGACACGGTTTAGCGCATTTATGTTTCCCACACACCATATCCCTTCCGCACGGCAAACCACAACTGAAATTCTCCTGATGACAAGGAATTGCGGACCTTTGTTCGTGATGACCGAAACACCATCTTTTACAGAGAACGGTGCAAGGGGGACAGGGTCCCGTGTGACAGGAATGGTTGGCTTCGTGACCGCAAGGTCGCCGTCTCGAACACGGGTTGTTACACAACGGTGGCTTCGTGCCGCAGGGAATCGGCGGGTACAGGACGTTAGCGCCGCATTCGCAGTACAATTCGTCGAAACTCGATTCCATGCAAGGCGGACAATGTCCCGAGTGACAGGTACGTTCGCATCTGTGCTGCCCGCAGCTGAGCAATCGGTTGCAGGGAAACGGGCAGATGTGTTCTATTTCTATACAACACAGCTGATTGCATTTGTGCTTTCCGCAGGAACGTTTCTGTAACACAAGAAAAATAGTATATTGTGAGGTACACGTAGTAGATGATCGATTGTATGATAATTCTTACTTTTGTGCATTTTTTCTCGCAACGAGCGTCGTCAGCTTTAGTAGTAAGTTCCTGACAAGGTAATTCTTTATCCATACGTCCGCATCTGCATCTTACCAATGTGGTTTTGGGACAAGGAGGACACGAGCCTTCGTGACAGCGATTCTCGCATACGTGCGGTGCGTTTGGCTGGCCACAACTCAAAACTTTTCCGCATAGCTGCAAAATAAAGCAACCGCTATAAGTACTAGTCTTTTTAAGATGACCAATCCCAGTGGAAATGGTATTTATTATTTACCTGTCCACAGCATAAAATAGGATCCAAGCAGGAGAGCCTGGGTTCCTTAAGCGGCGTTTTCAAACAGGGACACGTTTTGATAACGGTGACATCCCGAGGGCACAGTTTGCAGGAATTTTCATGGCACAATTCCTGGCAATAATGATTCCCGCAGGACAGGAGTTTGCCGCAAACGTTGTTACAACTGTACTGTTTCTCGCCGCTGTAAATTTTACAACATTGTACTTTTCTGCCTTCTTTCGAACAATAACATTCTTGATGTAAGCTTTCCTTGCAAGGTTCGCATTCTCCCGGATGACACGTTTGTTGGCAACGATGAAGACCGCATTCCAATAGTTTGTTACAAGTGGCATTGCAAACGATTTTAACGTCCGTGCAACATTTAATCATCTGTGTAGTTGCACCGCAACCGCAAGACTTCGACACCATGATAACGCACTCGGGACAAGGGCCCGGATGGCACTGCATGTTGCACTTGTGCTTGCATTTGCGGCTCTCTCTCAGGCACATGTCTCCGCAACTGTGCGGTATTATGCTCGGATCGTGTTTGGGTTCCACGATTTTGCCGCAGTAGCATTTGTACTTGGTGGGTACTTCGCTGCAGACGTTTTGACAGGCCGGGCATCTCCAGCCGTTCTCGATTTTGGAGGATTTCGCCCATTCCACGACGCATTTCAAATGGAATATGTGATAGCACAACAAGCAAGACCAAACTTTATCTGTGTTCTTGATTTTGTCGCAACAAACGAGGCATTCGAGTTTACGCCGATTTATCATTTCGACCAATCGTTCTCTCTGTGAGGCTGCGTTCACTGGAAAAAGATAATCTGCATATAATACTTGTTTCTAATTAATGTAGTATACTTACTTTTCTTTCGACCGGCTTTAACGTTTTTTGTATAATCCTTTTCCTGGGGAATATCGTCTTTTCTGGTAAATTCTTCATTAGGGTGCAAGTTGTTTTTATAGTCGAAAGTGCTTTTATTTGTTCTTTTTGAGTATTGATACACTTTTCTCGAATCTAAAATCAGGTATATTTAAACGATGATGATTAATATTATTAAGTAACTTACCATCAACATTACCATCTCTGTCGTTGAAATTGTTTCTTGGTTTCCCGTAGAAATAGCTATTTTTACTATAATTCTTATAACCTCTAGAAGAGTTGGATTTATACTGTGGGTAATCAACGTTGGTAGAATCGGTATTGTTATCGGAATACCCTTCGTTAGAATATTCTAAATTCGATTTGTATTTATCGTAGGTGTTTTTCAATTTGCTACTACTATTAAACGATTTACCACCTTCATTTGCACTTCTACTTCTCCAGTTATTATTGTCCCTGCTGTCATTGTACTTGTTGTAATACTGTGGTCTTTTACGAATTGCTCCATTGTGATAATTTGCCGGAACGAAGTCCTGAGCGGTAGGTTTCAATACAGACTGAGAAATGTCCACGTAATTGCTGCTTGCTTCAGCTACATTATTTCTTTTCGAAGACGAATTTCGATGGTTGAAATTTGGTCGCCTTTCTGAATAAATTTCAGTGGACGTGGAACTTCCCGAAGGGTGATTGATCGCTTGATTTTCAGAGGACATGTTTAACGTGAACAACCTAACAACGCACTAAACCATAACTATACCGCGACCATTTTAATAAATTAATAAATGAAATCACATTTTTGTAGAAAGGGTACAAGTTTTGCTTAACATTGTGTAACAATGTTTTTATCAGCGCAATACTGTGACGAAACGCGAAAGTGGATACTTCAATTTTCGAATTATCTTCGGAATACTTGCTTTGTGAAGAACGGAATCAAAAAAAAGTACATGGATAAAATCTGATTATAATTAAAAGATTAACCACAAAACTGACAAAACGGGCTAACTAAATTGACACTTGACAAGTAATTTGCTGTTCCTAATGACATTGACAATTAACAATACTGACAACGTAGAGAAAAAAATTACTATGAACTATTCTTTGTTTGACAAAATTTGAATTCATCCCATGAATTATTTCTCAAATATGTCTTTATAATGATTTCAAATTTTAATAAACTATATTTAATTAAATTCTATAATTCTTTTGATTATTATCCAGTTAAATTAACAAATAATTGGTAAAGAGAAGAAAAGGCGGTTGGCAACAGTTGCTGTCAACTGCGAAAACGATAAATAAAAAAATTCCCAGTCTTACTTTGGGCTCGATTGCTGTGTTCGATTTCGACAACTTTGTGGTAGAATATCCGAAGATGGAAGCTATATTTTATTATTTTATACACCTTTTATTCATCGATTAATTTTATATTTAAGACAAAATCGAGTTTCCAGTTGAAAATACAATGGAATCCTGATTAAACTTCACAGGAAAAGAAAGAGGAATCCAATTAACCATGTAAGTTTACTAAAATTAACTATCTTTTATATAATTGTACACTTATCGTTACTGTAAATAACAAGTCTGCTTTATTTTTCCTTGAATTTTCATTATTTACAAACTATAAGAGTAGTGGCAAATGCGTTTCTAGAAATTTTAACAATTGATTTTGTTGTGCAGATCAATATTATGTGTGGCTAAGTCGTGCTTGACTTACTTGAATCCGAGAGTGTGGCTCGAATAAAATCGAAGGAAAATGGATTCAGTCAACACAGTCTGCCCAGTGTGTACATTATACCTTAGGCCTGGGATCACTCTGAAGCAACATCTGACCTCGCATCCCAAACAAAAAGTCATCGAGGCCTTAGTCAAGCTAGCGGGTGCAGATGATCCTTCGAAAGCCCAAAACGCGGGATGCGTGTCGAATTTCCCGGCTCCCATAACCTGCTCTTCTAGCACCAGCAGCGATCAGACGAGTTCGGCTATCGCGAATCAATCATGGAGTAATTCCCCCGCACCAGTTCAAATGGGGGGTCCTTCCAATATGAACTCACTTCATGGCAATCACCTATTTATATATCAGCAAAGCATGAGTACTTCAAGTCCCCAGGGTAACGCGATGCAAGTTAATCCTTTATCGCAGCAATATGTGTATCATCCTGCGATATTCAATCCTCAAATGATGCCGTATGTCTATCAGCAACAGCAGGTAATTTTAGCCAGTAATTCTGTACATCCCCAGATGAGGGCATTGCCTTTTGATATATCCGATACTGAACCCACTATCACACCTGTTGATGATGGCAAGGAGACTGAGAAAGAAACTGCCACTGTAGCAGAAAAAGACAACAATGTAAACATAGTAATTTTACAAGAAGGCGATATTGAAGAACTAGCGGATGATACGGATGACCCTAAAAAAGAAATAGACAATTTGCACACTGAAGAAGACATAAAAACCATGGAAGATTTTGAAAACGAGCAAACCGAAGCGAACGATATCCCTCCGGAAGAATTCCAAGATAACGAAGATGAAAACAGAGAGGATTTCGATCAAACCGAAGTCAGCCGATCATCTTACTCGGAGAGCACCGAATGGAAAAACGACAATGAATTGAGTAAAGCTTGTCAAACGCAAACGGCCGCAGTTCATTCTCCGAAAGAAACCCTACCCGCAAACGAGGGTAACTACGTTAATTTGCACCAAATCGACTACTTCTATGTGGAACAGGAAAACGAGAACTTCCATCGTGAGGAACACAACACATCCGTAGGGTACACAGTCCACAAGGAGTCGGAAAACTACGAGCAGTCTGAACCGATTTATACCTCTGCCAACATACTACAAGGCAATGATCACTTAGACTTTATGAATTTGGACGATATTGTAATAACGGGCGAGTACACCTCTAATCCGGTGGCTTCGCACGTGGAGCACTTCGATGCCACTTTAAACGAAAGGCCCAAAGTCCTCATGACAATCGGCGAAATGCCCGAGCAAAAAATCGATTTTCACGAGCCAAGAGACTTCGAAGAGAGCGTGTCCAGAAGCAGCTCTCACGTTAACATAAGGTCAGACGAGAGGATGCCCCCTCGCGGCGAACTGTCCGGACAGGAGAGTTTAGGCGGCAACAGCGACATTTCTACTTGGAACCGATTGCACTACCAAGAAGGGGGCTCCTACGAGATAATCGAGCGCGAATCCTGGGAAGCTTCGGACAGCGAGAGCTTCGATATGAACTCTGTAAAGAAGCAAAATACGAGTCGAGCGCCTTCTCGGCAGAATACTTACGAAGACGACATGCCTACGATAGTCAGCTACTTCGGGCCGCCTTTGAACTTCAAATGCTCCACTTGCGGAGAAGATTTCGCCAGTTCTAAGGAGAGGAAGGAGCACGAATTAAACAAGCACCCGGGACAATTAAAGAGTAGGGTAGTAGGAAGCGAAATTGGCAAGAAGACTGTTAAGAAACTGATAATAAAGGCCAAATCCGAAAAACCCGCGGCGGAACCTAGTTTTGATAACATATTCACGAATAAACTAAAATTAGAGAGTACCAATGACGTTGCGAACGAGTTAGCGTCTTTAGAAACTCAGGTTAAGAAGGACGAGCCTGCATTGGAAATTTCCTCCATAAAAGCCGTTTGTCCCATTTGCGATTGCATATTCGATAACTCGGAAGAGCTGAGACAGCACAGAATCGAGTTACACAAGGGCGTTCTTCCGGTGAAACATAAATGCTTAACGTGCGGCGAAATCTTTCCGAACGAATATAAATACACGGACCATCTGAAAGTCCACCCGTTGGAGTGCAGACTCTGCGGGAAGCTCTTTTTCAGGAGGCAAAACATCCGATTGCACATGAAGAGACATTTAGGTTTGAGGCCCTACAAATGCGACATATGTGAAAAGTCCTTCGTTACCAAACAGAAGCATGATGAACACAAAAACATCCATACAGGTATGTCGTTTTTGATTAATTATTATTATTTCATTGAGGCTTATCGGTTTTCTTTCAGGCGAAGCTCCGATAAAATGCAATCTGTGCGACGAGAAGTTCAGGAGACATTCGAATTTGGTGCAGCACCGGAACCGGCATCACTTTCAAATGAAGAAGAAGATCAAGGAGTACATTTGCCACTGCGGCGAAATATTCCACTCGAAGAAGAAATTGGCTTGGCACAAGGAAATCCACGACGCCAAGCCGAAGGCGTGCAGCCACTGCAGCGAGAAGTTCCTGCACGTATCGAGCCTGACCAGGCACATGCGCAGGGCCCACAACGACAAATTCCTGCCAGAGGAGAGCCGCAAAAACGAGAACGTCGAGTGTCCCATTTGCAAAGGGACGTACTTGAAGTCGTCGTTGGACGTGCACATAAAAAACCACAGCGGAACAAGGCCCTACACATGCCTCATGTGCAACAAGCACTTCACGACCAAGTGGAATCTGAAGCTGCACAAATGGACTCACGCCAGTCGAACTTCCAAACCGTTTAAATGTGATTTGTGCAAAGGGGCGTTCATTCGCGAGTCGGATTATACGGCGCACATGAATTCTCACAAGAGCGTCCGGCCGTACACGTGTAACTATTGCGGGGCGCAGTTCATTCGCAAGTACAATTGCCTGCGTCACGTGAAAGAGCACGAAAGCGACAAGACGTTCAGTTGCAACGTGTGCGGTAAAACGTTTCATAGGTCTTATTATTTGAAGGACCATATGAGAGTTCATAGCGGCGTCAGGCCTTATAGTTGTCACATTTGCGGTAAAACTTCCACCACAAAGTCGAATCACAACAAACATGTACAAATTCATCATGCCAGGGAACCGGTCAGTACGGAAAATTAGATCGTGGGTTCATTTTATTTTTTTTTTTTTTAGTAGCAAAAGTATTGGTTGTATCGGCATTTTATTTCATTTTAGCAAAAAAACGGGGTATGATTTTTTTTATTTTCTTTATATAAATTAGTACCTTAATACTTATTTTATATTATACAACAATTTTAGGTAAGGGTTTTATTAGAATTTTTAAATTTAAACTTTTATTTGAATTACGAATTTATAGGTTTTTTATGCACATTTGAGATCATTTTAGTTTGTATTTTATTTTTTTAAGGTAAGTGCGCACAACGTGTTTATTTAGCAAGTTCTAAATAATTGTAACTTATTGGGCTATTGTAATTTTCCCTCGTACTAGCAGTTAACCACTGCCTTTTTATTTTTACTTTTATCACTAATTATTACCTACTTATACTTAAGATTTTATTTTATAGTGTATGTTAGCACATAACTGATAAGTTGTAAATACAGTTTTTTAGGTGTCTCATTTTTCTTTGTATATTAAAATAAAACATATTTATGTTGGTTTATCATTAGGTCCTTTGCACTAACCCAAATCAAACAAATTTATTGGCGTAAAACTTTATCACTTTTCCTTAATGTCAATTCAGAGACAGCGAAATTGAGTCTAGTTCAATTAGGGTGTTAATATTTTTTTCGTATTCGCCATTTTTATCAACGTTCCAGCATTGTAGACATTTTGAAAATAATACAGGATCAAACTTAGCGATCACCTTGAGGCATTTGATCGCAGCTTCCTAAAAGAAAAGATAATTAAATAATAAGTAATCGTTATTTCACTTATAAAGTATTAAATTCGATAATACAGGTATGATAGACTGACATCTGTTAAACTGTCATTTTTACTGTTATCTGTTAATCTATCATTTAGTAAAAAACTTACCTGCAGCGGAATGGGCTGTTTATTGCTCAAATATAAATAAACGCAAGACGACACTTTACTGAACGTCGTATCATCTACATCCAAATTGATGACTACCATTGCTAAATTTTCTAGAATTTTAATTTGAAGTTTATAAATTTGCGAATATCTGTACGCTGATCCCTTGTCCTTTAAGTAACTGCTTTTTGAACTACCTTCCAAAAATTCCAAAATATGCGGCAATACTTCCCTAAATAAACAACAAAAGTTTATTTTTTTAGTGGAATCTATTACATAAATACATACTTTACTGTCCTCATCCTTATAAATTCCTTCGACAATCTAGCCATTGTTACCAAAAGCTGAAAACTGTAATTGATGGTAACAGGATCGTTGTAGTCCTTGAAACGTTGCACCAAAGGAGACCAAATCAGGTGTATGATGGGCAGGAGCTCGTCTTCCCAATCTCGAATCAATTCCAGCCCGTCTGCCAGAATCTCTAATACCAACAATTTTCTTTGTTTGTCTTTCGAAGGAAGAAAATGCAAGCTCCTCTTTAGAATGGCAACTGCAAGTTTTATTTCCAACGGAGGGTCCGGCTTTTTATAGAGATTCTCTAAAGAATTTAAGGAACTGTAATAATTGATTGAGTTATTAGTATACAATGCATTTTACCTTCAGGTTCTTCGTCTATTTCTTCTTCTAATTCCCGCTTTTTTCTGTCCTCCTCGTACATTTCTTCCGCTGTTTTTCCCTCAAATTCATCGTCAGATATATCAACAGTTTCATTTGCACCGGTAACTTTAAACTCTTCATATTCTCGTCTTTTTTCTTCTCTCGTTTTAAAACACTCTTCTTTAATATCGATTTTTAACCAAGATTTCAACGATTTAATAAATATTCGGAAAACTTCGAGATAAGCATCGATATTATTTTCTTTGTATCTATCACAGGACTGCACTAAAACCTTAAAATATGCACCAGTTAAGATATTTTCCTATAATGCATTCATATTTTTAATGCTTACTTCTTGTATAGTATGTGCTAAGTATGGTAAAACTTCAATACTGCTATATTTAAGAACTACGGAAAATATGATAAAAACGTTGTTTTTACCATCAGACTTGTTAAGTTTTCTTTCTATGTGGTAAGTAAAATAATCTATATTTTTGATGATCAAATCTTCAATATCCTCGTACTGGCACGATCTCGATACAATTTTCAAGGAATAAATCCCCGCTGAACGTACCAATGAATTGTTACTACCTATAAAGAACACCTCGATAAAATATTTGTACTTAATTGTTCTATACACACTTTACCTGCTTTCTCTAACAAAATATGCAAAGTTTTCAGCATGAATGTCTTAAAATCCTCTTTGAGGAGAGCCGCTACGTTCCCAATTCCCTCGATTAAAAGGCACACTTGTGTAGAATTATTTTGAACTTCTGCCAATGTTACATTTTCATTTACAGCTAGAGGAACTTGCAGAAAGGCATCATCTGTGTAAGTCTCGATAATATCTGCTATAATTTCCTTATCGACGCTACTCGAATTTATACCTATAAAAAATAACTAAATATTTAAAAAAATGCACATTTACAATCAGTTGTAATATTCACCTGTTATAACACCGTTTAAAATAAAAATAGCTTCGCATCTTTGATGTCGATCATCGATTATTACATCCAACAAAAAATCACAGACCATTTTCAACGAACTAAATCTACCTAATAAATTGCATAAATCTTCAATTTTCTTCCCCAGAAGCTCGTCTTTGAATCGAACGAATTTCTTCCAGGGCGTCTTGGAATTAACACTTTGATTCAAATCTGGAATTATGCAATAATTTTTAACTCGTAATGTATGGTAGGCGAGTGAGGTACCTTTCAAAGGATATTCCTCTATTAATCCAGTCGATTTTCTATCCAGCTCAGAAATATGGCTAATAGTCGTCAATAAATTGTTTAAACGGTTGGCAGGCAACAACACTTGATTGAGCTTGTGTTCTCCGAATAATTTTAAATATCCCATGAGTAGATTTATCGAAGCCACCTGCTCCCTTTTATCTAAAAAAATCAAAAATAATGCAAAAGTAACACTAAATAATGATACACGTCAACTTACCAATTCCATTAAATTTTCTAGGAAGGGAATTCACTCCCTCGATGAATCCTTCCTCTAGATTCTCTAGCAAGGCCTTCAACTTTTCAGTTGAAAATCTGCTCGATAAATTTTGTAAAATAACATGGTTTTCGTTTGAAATATTGTGATCTTCGTCTTCTGTAAGCGCAATGACAATTTCTATTAAATGGCTGCACGATAGTGGCATTGTTCTATAAATAAAATATGCTTATAAACAGGAAAATTATGGGTAATTAAAAGGCTTTACCCCAAGCACTTCTCCAGTATAATTTTGCACAACTCTGTTAGGCTTAATCGAACTTTCTCGTGTGAGTGATGTGCCAATTTCTTAAACTCGACAATCATCCCTTGTAACTTTTTGTCAGTCTCACTATACCATTTCGGGGAAATTTTACCATTGCTTATGTACTCATCGACTTCTTTTTTACTCGAGAATTTCTTTGAGTGTTTCTTTTCTACGTCCAATTCATCCGGATGGATTTTTAGATTTGAAATATCCGAGATAATGTCGGGGGAATTGTAGTTTTGCATTAGAAGGGCGACAATTCTAGCCCAGGCTCTGAGGGATACCTAAAATAGGAGATAATGAATGGTTTGTTTGGGAATTATAGAATTATTTAATTAATCATACAGCGGGAATTTTGTGGCCAATTTTTTCGTCTTCCAATGCGATTTTCGCTAGGCCACTCGTGATACCCGGAAGAAAGAACAGAAATACTTCAGCAATTTGCTTCGATACCACAATATCGTTGAAATCATCATCAGTGTAAACCCTAGCGAAGCACATTATGCATTCTATAGCGGATATCCTGAAAATATCTGTTTAAAATAAATTCTGTAAATTATTAGGAATTGTTACCTTAATTTTTTTAATTGTTCATTTTTGGCAATATCAATAGCCACATAAAGCATCGGGCTGAGTTTCGTGGCGTTCGCTTTAGTGTATAATTCTAATATTATTTCCGAAGATACTGCTTGTACTAAGGATTTTGTGCACTCTATTATGCTAAATTTATAATCTTCCTGAACTGGCAATACTAAAAAAAAATCTATTTTTGTTTAATTTATTAAATATGTAAGTGCTTACGTTTTTCTTCGGTATGGTCATATATTTCAAAAAGGAGAAATGCGTATACGTTAAAGAAGAGTCCGATATTTTCTATTACGGATTTTTCGAATAAACTTTGCAAAACATCGATTATTCGTTGTTTTTCATTAGAACTGAAACTGAATACATACATTATAAAAGTCAATAGAGCTTACCTATGTTTATTCAAATTTTACCTATGTTTATTTTCTGAAATGCTCTTCAAAACAGGATAAAAGGTAGACAGAACCGTTGGCTGTATAACTTTAACGAACGACTTCGGTGAGTCTTTAATAAGATCATTCAACTTTCCAATGCTCTCGTGATCTTTCGGATTTTGAATCAATGTTCTACACAAATTCTTTAAATCGGAGAATGCCTTGAAACTTGCGAAATTCATCTCCATTTTGTAGGTTTTCGTTCTGCAATAAATTTAAAAGGTCATTATATTCGAATGAAACATTGACAATTTGTTTATTGGAATACGAATTATGCGTAATTTACTTTGATTTTCTGTTGGAAAATGCGAATGTCAAAAAACTTTTTGAAGGTTATGTTTGTGTTTGTATTGTGATGTGAAATTAGTTACAGGTAGAATTGTAGAATAGAATTATTATTGTCAATTTGCTATTAGTGTTGAAGTTACTATCTTGTGATAGGTAAGTAAGTAAAAATGCCAATATTTTATTAATTTACCTTTTTACAATATTTACAAAGTTTGAAGTATTTATATAAAATGTTTAAACAAATAAAACAACAATCGAAAGGTTCATTTCTTCTTCTTTTTATTTATATTGTTTATTTGTTTTTGTTGGTCTCGTACGTCAAATGTTTACAAATCTTTATTTATTAAAAACGAAGATTTTAAATAATGCAAATAAGGGAATTACATAAAATTTATTTAAATTGTGTATAGCTATCCTTTAAATTAGACTAACAGCTTTTGGAATAATTAATTGATACATATTTTTAAAGAAACGTATTCAATTTTTTCATTTCTCAAAAATGATTTAAACATTTTTAAATTATTCTTTTAGCATTCGACAGCTAAAGCTATGAAGAGACAGGCCGATACTTATAAATAGCAGCCATCAACAAGGTTATTATGCATTAAGTAAGTACCTAACAATCGCTAAATTATATATGTATAGTTGCTTTTTGAATAACAAAAAATACAATTGATATATTTGATTAAAAACTGCTGGCTGGCATTTAATACAGAAAACGTGAATTTCAATGAACACCAACCATATAATCGAATACAGGTCGAGATAACCATAATGTTGTTGATAACAACACAGTACATTTACCTTTTCTATCTTGTAAATAAAAGTGGGTACTTGTGCGTTCAAAGAACAGCGATTATGGCTATGGGGTTTAATATTTAAAATTTTTTTTTCGACTTACAAAAATGTTGATGGCAATTATTGCTTACAGTGTGAACAAAGATTTACATTTTAGATAACTCGCATTTGTTGAATTCTACTCTAATTTTTATAGTAAATCAAGCTTCATTGAATATTTTATACTTTTTAAGTTTTTTTTTTAATTTTAACATCATATTTGCAACTTAATTTAAAAAAAAATGGAATTTTCTCGGTACATAAACCGTTCAAATTATCTATTTACGTTGTTTCCAGATAAATAATGTTTACCTAATATTATATTTCATGCTAAGTATGTAGGAAAAATATCAGCAAATTCGCTGTGTTAACAAAAATATTGAATAGTTTTTGCACAACATTTATTTAAATAAATTATATTACAACTTTATGATACATAAAAATAATTACATGATCGTAACATAAAATAGTCGCTTGTAATTCGAAAGAAATTTGATACAATTGTACCTACATTTTTCACAAAACTCACTCTATTCTACAATTAATGTAAAGTACAATAATTTTTATGCGATTTCTTATTAAAACATAAAAAAATGCAATGAATGCAACATCCGAAAGAGATAATAATTACAATGATTTCTTCAAGAATGTGTTTAAATTTATTTATAAAATATTTTTATGACATGTTTGTTTCAACATTCGCTATAATCGCCACAAACACAGCGATTGAAAAAAAAATAAAGTCTTTTCAATTAAATATAACTACGGAATTGTCTTTATCACATCAGGCTTAGCTTTCTCTCTCCCATCGAGAAAAATCGCTTTCGTTATCGCACGGCCGTCGTCATGGGCCTTGGAAAACTATTCTGTCGCTTTTTTACGAACCCCAGGACGTTTTTGAAAGGCAATTGCAAGTGATAGTAGGCGCAATAGGGCAGCGGGTCCCACATGGCAAACAGCGCCTCTCGCTTATCTAGCACCGTTCCAATCAATCTCGTCACAGATTCAATGGAAGGATTGCTTACTGTTTGCAAAACCGTTGAGGGCATCTTGTAAACTCCGTTACCGTTTACCAACGGCCCGGAATTTTGCCTGCTGAAATGCTTGCAGGGCTTCCAAACGAGCCTCGGATGAACATTCGTGTAACAAATATACGGCAAAGACACACCTACCCTACTGCTCAGCGGTATAACCGTACCGGATTCCTTACAAACGACGAACCTGAAGCTTATGTGCCCCGAGATCGGCTTCAACAAATTAATCTTACCGAAGAATTGCGTCAGCCATTGGTTGATCTCTTTATTCTCCTCCGGTATGAGCTCGTTGTTGTTCTTGTTCATCTTGCATGTGACGTTAGCGATCACCTGCGATTCCTTCACAGTGGTGCAAGTTAAGTAGTGGTGCCCGTCCAAATTCTGCACGACCACCCACGGCTTCTGCTCGCTGATGTCGTTGGGGATCTTCAAGTCGTCCCTGGACAGCGGCAGCAGGATCTTGGATCGCTCGCGCAGCCCTCTCGGCCCCACGGTCGACATCACGTACATGCCCCGTCTGATGGCCCCCGTGTCGTAGAGTTTGATCACGTCGTCCCGCGACGTTATGACGTGGTAGAGAGGCGTGGGGATGTGGTTCGCCTGGCAGCGTTTCAGCACCTCCAGGGTGTCGTCCAGCACCCAGACCTCCCGGATGCCCGGGCAGAAGCAGTTGCAGCCGAGGAGCTCGAGGTGCGGCTTCGCCACGGCGTCGTAGTAGGCCGGAGTAGTCGCCGCCACGGGGATAAAGTACACGGCCTGTTCCTTGTCGACTATTTCGCACAAGGCTCGCACGTAGTTTTGCTGTTTGTCGCTGGTGGGTTTGGGAACGGTGTAGAATTTACTTACGGCCGTGGAGTATTTGGTGAGAGCGAATAGGCCTTCTACTTCGCACACGACCACTCTAGCTCCCGCCGAGTAGAAGTTTCTGGCTAGATGAAGGGCTTGTATGGTACTTCCTCCGCTTATCAGCACCGTTCTTCTTTTGCTGTTCTTGGGCGCGTTCGGCGATAGGATGAAAGACAGGCAAATTTTGATGATGGTTAAAGGTAGTTGCATGCATTGCGTGAAACACCAAATCCATACGGACACCCACAGCATCGGCAGGGCGAAAATCATCTGCCACCACGTCTGCGGCAGAATGGCCGACAACAGGGCTTTGCCCAACCGCAGGAGAAAGCACGGATACCAACCGATTATCTTCGTCAGCAAAGCGTACCAAACGTCGTACTCCTCCTCTTCGTGGAAACTCAACGTGGGGCTCTGGCTGCGCGAGTCCCTCATCTCCGATCGTATGACGAACGGCTCCTGGATGACGCTGCCGAGGCTGGTGGCCCGGCGGAAGCGCTTCTTCAGCGTGTTGTCGGGCGAGCAGGAGATGGGCGAAAACGAAGTCGGCGACGTCGAGGGGCTCTGGAAATCGGAGCCGGACGAGCTGCCGGCGTGGATGCTCTCGTTGCTCGGCCACGACACCCGGGACAGACTTTCGGACAGCACGAACGGCATCGTATGGCCATAAAAATATGTATAAACAGCGGATTCGATCAACGGACGCGGCGACACGCACTGCGAACTGTCAACAACAACATGAAACTTTTAATTAAATAACCGGCATGTAGCGGTGTTCGACGATCTTATACACTGTGGAATTGCACTCTGCCCTAGCCCCTTCTCCCCGGCGCCCGTTTCGAATCACGTTTACGAGTAACGAGTAAGTAACCAACCTTACATGCTACGTTGAGGCAGTCCGTTTATCTTGTGTACTTTACGCATTTGGATCTGTGCGACGACGTTAACTTCAATATTTTTTTAACTCGTTAAATAATTACTTAAATATTCTGAATACACTGCACGGTGACAAATTTGCGCGGGATAGCTCCCTAGTTTACAGTTGGGTGGTAATTTGCACCATTTATGTAACAAAAAAGATTGTTGAAACTGAGCGGAAATAATATACAATACATTGTAGATGCTTTAATTACAATCATTAGTTAATAAAGAATGAAAATAATTACCTAAGTAGAACATTTCGTGTAAAATGTGTTCTAACATCTTGCATAAAATTACATTTGTTATATTTACATAATTTATTTTGTAAAAGTTGTTACAAGTTGGAAAATAGGACAATTTTTTAATGCTTATTTTTCATAAATGAATAATTTGAAGGGATAGTTTCAAGTACCTACGTAATAGATTTTTCTGTGGGTTTTTGGATATTTACATAAATTTTTTATAATCCATATTACTGTGACCTTTGCCACTATATTCTGGGGTTATTTATCGATTATTAATAACAAAATTAATTTTCGATGACCCTGGACTACGGTTAACAGTTAAAAATTAAAAATATTTCAATATTTCTTTTTAAATGCGATTAAAAATTTTCGACATATTTATAAATACCATCGATTACATTTTGCGTTCGTCGAATCGCGAAGGAATCCCATGCATGCGTGCTGAAAAAGTATTGAAATATCAAAAATTAAGCGTTATTATTGAATGAAAAAGAAAATCAACATTATATTGTTGTCACGAAATCACGCGACCCGACTTTACTTTGGAGATATCCCGAGTTGTTTCGATGAATACCTCCCGATAAGATATTACACCTTTACGCTACTTTGTCGATACTTTTGGTCAGCAAGTTGTAAACTACAAATTTATAGAATCTAGTATTTATAGAATGATTTTAGTGCAATTTTTGATCAATCTTTTACCTCTTAAGTATCGATGACTTATGACGTATTTAAATTGTAAAAAATAAGCAACAAGTACTTAGATAAGTTATCTGTATTGTGAGTCGGGGCACATTATACTTTTGGCAATGTTACCTACATTTAGGGTCACAAATACTTGGTGGTTTAATAAACTAATCCCCACATATAAAATGGTTCTGTTTACGTGTTATGAAACATCTACTCCAATCGTCTTATCCGAACAAATGAGTACACTCAGTGGAGACACCAGATAAAATCTTTTAACATTGGAAAATATGTGATTTCCGAGAAACCGGTAGCAAAGTCCAAAATTCCGATAAGGAGGTTCTTTATTGTGTCAATATTATTCATACAGAATACAGAACGACGGTTTTCTAGACAAAACATTTGCATAGTTTAGGACCGTGCATTGCACAGTCTAAAGTCTAGAGTTTACTCAACCGCCATGAAAAAAATTAGGGGTTGTGTCATATCATAACCGCGTTCAACGGACATAAACCTCCATTTAGATCAACGAAGTAATCAATTGAAATGAAATTTATTCCGGCGAGATAAGGCGTTTTTTTTTTTCAATGAGTTAGCAGACGGTGATTTACTTGGTACGAGCGCAAATGGAAAAATTGCTGCACCACAATTAACTACGAGTTCTTGTAAAAGTCGGTAATTTCGAATCGGATCGTCTGACCCGAGGCGTATCTCTGACCCCGACGGCTCAGGGTCCAATAGGGTTCTAAGAATTTATCAATTGACACGTCTATCATTCAGTCATTCGATGAATAATTTATACCCCGCGAAAGACAAACACAAATACACCCGCGAATTTGAATTTTGCATTGAATTCAATGGAAACGTTATGAATTTTGGTGCGCCGAACAAATCGGAAATCAATATCACAAACTGCTATAAAATGTAACGAAAACAAAATATGCAGGCACAGGTGTCTACAAAAGCTATCTGTTAAATGATGATAGGGAAATGGTGATAGAAAAACAATCTTATTTAGTTATGAAACACTTTAAGATCTGCGATGTTTTATGCAGATATTCTATAGAAAAGTTCAAGGGGTTACGACCCTTTGAAGAAACTAACTCGTAGATTTGTTATCTTCAATTCTACCCTTCTAATTTAAAAAATAGAGTTGGTAAGTCTCATACTGATGGGGTTTCAGTTAGGGGTGAAATTAATTAAAAAAATTAAAGTTGATCTGTTGATCTTTTTCAGCCTTGTTCAATTACACAAATATAACCTCAGATAATGAATTTATTCATTACCTATATTCAATGCCCTCTAATTTATTATGTTTTTGCATCCTTATTGATCTAAAAGAATAATACAAATTAATTAATAATGAACAAAATAATATATTGACTAATCTCATTAATTTTGAGAACAAACAACACCGAATTTAAATATGTAACTATAATTATTAAATTATTGTTTACAAACCTAATGTATTAAGAAATAAAGAATAACTTGAAATATCATCATTGGATCTACCACAGGTCATTAAAAAGTTCTAATTAAAGGATCTGTAAACATTGAGTGCAAATGTACGTGCTGAAATTTATTGTGCACGTTGCTAAGAAGTGCTCGAATTTTTCCACAATATTCTCGAATAAATTATCGAAAAAGTGCATGCCCTTATATTAGTATTACATAAGCTCGATGTTTGTTATTTTGGTAGGCAATCGAGCAAACACGCAACTAATTATTTTGGAAATGTTTCTTGTATTCAACAAAAGTTAAATCGGGTCGCATTACCGACAAATAATGAGCGATTAACAGCCATTATCACCCGCACTGGTTATTACCGGTATTCCTAAACTATGTATTGTAATTGAACACAAAGTATAAATATGAAACGCAACATATTTAAAATTAGTAACTTTTTTATCCCGTTATACGAGGGATGTGTCCAAAGTTCTGGGAATTGTGCTCTAATTAAATTAGACAGAGCTTCTAGGCAAGGTTATTGGCGACAGACAAATATTTATGCAACTATCCAGTGCAACATTGTTCAGTCTGATTCAGGTGTTCAACTGATATAGGCGCGTTTTCATAGTAGGTTACTGTTTTTGTAACCATGGAGACATAGCAATATCTCAAAGAGCGATAATTAATCCACTAATAAACAATACTTTTGGATTCTGTAGACTCACCAAATACTCCTTACAGAAGCTGAATAATAAGTTCTGCCTAATTAAATTAGAGGGCAATTCCCAGATCTTCGGAAACATCCCTCGTACATTGAGTTTTTAAGAACAGTGTTTCCAAAGTCAGTTCAATATGCTTTGAAAATCATCACATCATTATAGTAACTTTTGAATTCTACATGCTTAGAAAACACTATTATTATCGAGTTACACGAGTTAAAAATTTGATTGAGTGGTAATTTTTTTAATTCTTTTTTTATAATAATTTACGATAATAACCTTGATATTATCACCGTGTCTAAATCTAGATCCTGGTGCCAAGGCATTATTAGTACATATCTTGTTAAAATGATAGGTTCGTGTTTTTGACCTGTGCCAATATAGATAGTATTCCTTTGATTAATTATAATTCGCAAAATTTGGAAATCAATAATTAATTGGCCGTTGCGTAAAATTGATAATTGCATCGGGCCTTTATCTTAATTGTTATTCACCTTTTGAATTCATCGAGGAATTTCATCACATAGGAGCTTTTAAGTGCTGTGTTATTCGAGATAATAGAGTCGGTGATATTTATAATAATTATGGATTTATAATTATTGGATTTTACAATTCAATTTTTTCTTTTGCCGTAAAACTTTTGCCGTAATTACCTACCTATGTATAAATAATTAACTATATGCAAGTGGTTTTTCACAATTGCGGGATTATACTTTTATAGCAGAATAGAATAAAGGCGTTATTGTGCAATTTTATCAAAAATAGTCGATTAGAACAGATTTCTCGTTGCAAATTGGCCTTTTACTACATAAACTTTGATCCGAGAAAAATGCGCGTTAATTGCGAAATAACAAATATGCAGAAAAATGCGCGATTTCATAAATTTTAATTTCACATTATCGAAGTTAAATTAATCTATATTTATGTTATATAATCCGAAAAAAAAATTAAAAACGCTAAATCTCCCACATAAATTCGCCGCAGTCATAATAAAATCACGGTTTAAGCGAGTGTGATTCAAAAGATCACGTAAATATACGTATATAAGTTCAAAATTTCTTAAAAATTTCTCATATTTCCCAAATAGATCTCGCTTAAGAAAAACAAAATTTTGTTGCCCAAGGCTCTGTATTTTTCACCTTTGGATAGTTAATTTTAATCCTATGATAACATTAAAAGTTGGCCACAAGTACATTTCATTTATTTGTAGATTATACAAAATGTAAATTTAGTATTATTTGTTGGATACGAAAATGTTTGCCTATACACAATCGGGTGAGGTGAAATTAATTTCATTTTCCGAAATATACTCTGCTTTTCTCCGCTTTGCTCATGCTTTGTTCTACTCTACTACAAAGCTAAAAATGTTCAATTTATTTCAAAGTTTGCAATTAACTCAAATAATCCCTTTCTCTACCAAAAGTATCCTCGCGCCCAGTTCACCTATATTAAAACATTTTTTAAAGTCACAGGTATACAATATATGTCTGCCTTTTTCCCATAACGTCCCAGGAAATAAATATATTTCTGAGCTCAATTTACCAGCGCCGTAAAATTCGACCCGAAATCCTGCCGTAAAAATATTATAAGCGCATTATAATATCCTGGGAACAGTGGATGGCGGCGACTGGCACGCGGACGGGCCGCGCTCTCTCTGCGGGGATGAACCACATATCGAACCGAGATTTATCCGAAGATAGCCAACACGGTTGATGTTTCCCCGCACAATTGACTTACTTACCCTTTACCGGTGTTATGCAATGATCAATCGGAATTAGGACGCTCCGGTTCAATAACTCATACCCTTATTATTACCGAGATACCTATAGAACGTTTTAATCAGCGATAAAATTCGCTTGGTATAGCGGAATAAAAACCACCCTTAAATACCCATTTCAGCTATCAATCAAACGGTGAATCGTAGCTTTTTTGCTAATGAAAATTGACGACTGTAGTTAGCTAGTTAATAAACATTCGTCTCTTTAATCAGAAAAAAATGGCGTGCTTAGACTATCTTGCTTTTCAGTCGAATAATGTGCAGGAAATACATCATTCAATAGTGTGTGTGAAGACATTTTTATGCAAGAGACAGCGCAGGTAGGTACGGAATCGGAGCCGTGGAGTCGATTCTTTAGTTTTCTACGTTATCTGTTCGATTAAATTTATTTGTTTCAAAAGTCGAAGGAAATGCACGGCAGTCGGGAATCGGGGAACTTCTTGAATAAGTTTGCTTTTGTATACTTCCATTAGGATAATGATAGAACGTTTATTAGTGCCTTTATTATGGGGTCATTAGAGCAAACGGAAATAGTTACTACATAGGTGTGGATTGTTTTAAAATAAAATTTTTCTGTACCTAATAAATTCGGTTAATAAATTGAAGTATTTTTGTTAATAAATAAATCCATAATGACCCAATTTTGATGTTATTTATACGCATAGGTAACTAAAACTTCTTTGGTATTGTAACATACCAAATCGATAGGTATTGTTCCTTTGAATTTTACTCCTACAAAGAACCTCAAAGGATTGATTAAAATGTATGCTAGCTAATATTTAAGGCCATTTTCAGTGTGTGAATACTGGTTAACGAGAAACTACGGTTATTTTTCGCTAGTATCAGGAAAGTTTAGTTAAAGGGTATGTGTTGCAAAAATGTTCCAGTTGATTTCCATAGTTTCTTATTAGACTTTCACCAATGTTACACAATGATTTAATTTGTTGCAACTAAAGCCAGGGTTCGGTTAGAAAACATATTTTGATTAACTTATCAATTAATTAAATTAGGATTTTTTGATAAAATGTTTGGAATCAAATTTCTGACTAAATTTAGATAATTAATGAGCTCGTTACAAAAATGTAAATTTTACGTTTTCAGCCATAACATATTTAACTGGAAATTTTTACATAATCATCAAGGACGTGCTTCCCGATGTCCTGGCCTTTGCAGATATTCCAATCGTTTTATCAACTGCAAGAAGCCGAAACAATGTCGTGCTCGATCGTTTCTTCCCCCTTGATTTATTTTTCTTCATCACGCTTATTCATCATAATCTATTTCGAGCCGTTTTGCGTACCTTATACGCCAAAAATATATGATTTTTCCAAAAACAAATAAATATTGTTTGTATGAATATATTTATAGGGAATCTCGTGCGTATTATAGCGGAAGACTGTTATCTAGCTACTTTTATTATTACGTTGTTACTAGAATATTTTTGAAACTAGTATCAATTATTTATTATTATTGTAAATAACATTTAGGCACGTAGTTTCAGATTTAGATTACTCTAGATAATATACTTATTACTGGATTTAATACTGATCGTTAAACAGTAGGAAAAAATAAATAGAGTATGCAACTGTTACCCTTTATTTTCGGTATATAAACTGCTCCACAAAAGTTAAGGAAGTTCGCAAAATTTGCGATTATTTTGAAAGTTACAGACTTTTTGATCGCCAAATTTTCAAATACGCGAAATTAAATGTTTTCTCTCATATCTGAGTGGATTTTTTGGCCCTACCTCTACAACTCACACTAAATTTGGCGATCAAAAAACCTCCAACTTTTAAGTTAATCTCAATATTTGTGAACTTCCTTAACTTTTGTGGAGCTGTATAGTTATTCGTTAGAATTATTAGTAGTAAATTATTACGCCGAAGGACCGGAATCGTTCCTTAACAGCCGGATCGGCGTGCGTGCTCGCGTGCTCCACCGGCGGCGGTGGGTGGGCGGCAGGCGGCAGTTTGTGGGTAAGTGGAGCGCGGCCGAGCGACAGGGGGACATGTTGTGGCACCTCCCGGCGGGTTCTCGCGCTCCCGTCTACGTCGCCGGCTCGGGCGCCGCGTCGCCCGACGCCGAGCGTTTCATTAGGCCGCGAATCGACGTCCGCGACGCGTCTTCCGCTCCGCCGCCTCGACCACCGCCTCCTGCGCTTCTGGTTGTTCAAGGAACGTCGACTTCCAGCGAAATGCATAGAGTAAGTTTTCCATGCATTCCAATTTTTTTTTGGCTAATATCGTTTACTTATTTACGGCCGATTTTATAAAGAGACGTAAAGAATTCTTTAAAGGATCTTTTAGTAAATTTTTATCTTAATTTTAATGTTTTCTTTTGTGAAAGAATTTTGTAATGATTTATTGAGAAATCGGTCCTTAGGTAGGAATAGCATAAAAAGTTTAAAATATGTACTTTACAGTATAACTGAGAAGTTAGGGCACAAAGTGGAGCTTGAAATGTAAAAAAATAAAATCTCGGTAAAATTTCAACTAAAAATATCCAAATTATAATTTATAGTTTTGAAAATATTACATATTTCATTAGGTAACATTTCTGATAAAAAAATCGATTTTTTCAATGAATTCACACGTTTTTTAGCCCTTCATTAATTATTTATGCTACACGTGAGTCACACGTGGGATACTAACGGCCACCCCTGTTTTACTGTCCACGCAATGTCTCATTAAACTGCACTTTAGACCACCATAACTTGTTAATATTAATTTTTTATACCCTATTCTTCTATTCTAGCCAATCGTTAAGAAACCCAAAATTCCCAAAGTAGAAGGAAAAAGACCACCTGTTTACAGTCCTAGGTCTAGAGCAGATGTGAGTATACTTTTTGTACATATTACACTACCAATTTTGCCAAAATAATACTAACACACTCAGATTATCCATTACTTACCTAAATAAAGTATTACATATTCAAACCAGCAAATCAAATGTAGTGAACATACCCCTCTAGTCTACAATACATCTGTATGTTCCACATCTTTTGAGAGCCAGTACTTAATTTCTTTGCTTACGTTTGATTTCAGTCTGCTAGTGAGAGTGTCAGCAGAATGGATAAAGGACGTTTGCGAGGCGAAGGGGGCGGCGGAGGCAGCAGCGACGACGAATCCTCGACGAGGGATTTACACCGGCGGCTCCAAGAAGAGGCATCGCTCTACAAGAAGCGCTTGGACACCTACCGGCAGGCCCAGCAGAACCAAGCAGCGCTCGTCAGCCGGTTGCAAGCAAAGGTAACATCCAGTCACCACCGTTAAACACGAACCAACATCCGATTCCCGTAGGTTCTGCAGTACAAAAAGCGGTGCTCCGATCTCGAAGCGCAAATGGCCCAGAACCAAGTGTACCACGAACCGCCGTCTCAACCGCTGTCTTTGCCATCGTATTCGTTCGCGCACGCGCCGAGTTCGGCGGTCGAACAAGCCCAGCAGCATCTCAGGGATATCAGGGAAGAGAGAATCGCCGACTTGGAGACCGCCTTGCAGAAGCTGCAAGAAGAGCGCAGAAGGTCGGAACGTTTGATGCAACTGAACACTTCGCTCAGGGAGCAACTGGAAGAGTCCCACAGCACCAACGAAGCTCTAACGGCCGATTTGCAGAAGCTCACCAACGACTGGGAAAACCTGCGCGAAGAGATGATCGTTAAAGAAGACGAGTGGAAAGACGAAGAACAAGCCTTCAACGATTATTACAGCACGGAACACAACAGGCTGCTGAACCTATGGAGAGACATAGTGTCAGTGAAGCGACTGTTCACAGACATCCAATCAAGCACCGAAAGAGACGTGAACAAGATCAAATACGACATATCGAACATCACCAAGGAGATGATCATGGCGTGCAGCAAAATGGACACCAACTTGTTCGCGGAAAACATATTTGGAGTGAGTATTTAAACGAGTAATTATCAATTGTACAATCGGTTATGTTTTAGAGCAAGGAGAAGCAACAGCTCGAGCAAGAGGTCGCCGAACTCCGGGCCCAATTGGACTCTGCGAAACTCCAAACCGACTCACGCCATCACGAACTACAAACGAAAGAAGATAAAATCGCGCAACTGGAGAAGGATCTCAATAATTTCGTAAGTATGGCGAATTTTTGGTTGAATGAAATAATGTCGTTTTCTGGATGGATTTTTAGAAAGAAAGGTATTTAGAGGCGGAGCACGGTTGCGCGCAAATGGGGAAAATGCAAGAGGAAATCGACATTCTGCAGGGCGCTCTCAGGGACATAGCTCACGCGCTGATACAGGACGCCGAGAATAAAGACATGGAAATCCTGCAATCCACCCATCTCCACCTCAGCGCTACCACGCCTATACCTCAAAAGTAATTACACTTCTTTTATTAGCGCAGTAATACCATCGATATTAACGCACATTTGACTATTATTTACGCGACAGGTCGCCGAAAAGATCAGCTCGCAGCATGACGTCTCCAGCAGCATTTGCTGAGAGTACAATATCAGCTGTGCAAGCCGCCCTTCATAAATATCAGTCATTCATTCACGAACTACAGGTAACCCTCCATTTCATATGCCACTACTAAAGCTCGAATAACTGCATTTTTTTCGACTCGGTCTATATCCTAACCAACGCAATCTGTTCAAAGGTAAAGCTCCAGTCGAATAAGGAGCAACTTTTGCTAGTTCGCAAGCAATACGAAAATTCGGAAAACAGCGCGGCCGCCCTGGAGAAGCGCCTGAAGGAGCAGGCGGCCCAGCTGGACGCCTGCCACGTTCAATGCTCCCGTCTGACCCAAGACAGGGACATCATTCAGAAGAACCTGGAGAGCGTCAAATCGGAGAAGAACCAGCTCGACAAGAACCGCGTCGAGGTGAACTCGGTGGTGGAGTCCCTGCACCAGGACTACGAGCGATTGCAAAAGTCGCACGGCAAGCTGCAGAAGGAGGTGGACGGGTTGCAGGACGAGAAGGCGTTCCTGCTGTCGGAGATCGACAGATTGAACCAGGAGGCCGATTTGAGGGAGATCACGCTGAGAGGCGAGGAGGACCGGTGCAGCAGAATGAGGGAGGAATTGCTGAACGTTAGAGAAGAACTGAACAAATCTTACTTGTCCTACGATATGCTCGAAGCTCAAAAATCCGAGGCAGATAGTACAATAGACAATCTCGAAAAAATCAAAGGTACATTCGCACATACTCGTTATAAAATTAAGAATTAATCATCGTAAAATTCCAGCTGATTTGGAGCTACAACTCGATAAAGCTCTAGGCGACAGAACCGACGTTCACGATTCGCTACTGAAAAAAGAAGCGCTGCTTTCGAACCTCGAGCAAGACAAAAAGAAGCTACTAGAAGATATAAAACAAGTAAATGAATTTTAACTGATACTGTATAATAAACAGAGACTCTAAATTTTCGATTTTCAGATGGAAGGCGAGAAGAAAGCGCTGCAACACCAGTGCAACGATCACCAAAGCGACATCCAGTCGCTGAGGAAGGAGCTACTTCAAGCCGAACAGCAGAAACTTGATCTGGAATCTGACAAAGTGTCGATGTCGGAGAAATGTAAATTTTTGGAAATCGAAAAAGGAAAGGTAAGTCATAATTAAACTCACTTATCTTTTTGATTGAGATATTACAAACATATTTCTGCAGATCGAAATAGAACTAAACCAAGTAATGAGAGACAGAAACGACCTCAGCAATCAGCTAAGCGTACAGGGGAGAAAAAGAGACGCCCTCAACGAAGAGCTCGTCAGGTGCAGGCAGAAACTGGAACAAGCCAACGAAACCAACGCCAGAATTAACAGAACTCTGGAAGATTTAGTCAAAGAATGTGAAGATAAACAGGTAAATTTTCATACGCTGCCGATTACAGCAACACTTTCTTCATCTAATTAACGCTTTAACAGTGCACCATCGACGCCATGGATAAGGAAATCCAACGGTTACAAGAACTATTAGCCACCGTACGCACGGAAAAGGAAACCTTAGAGGCCGTTCTGTTCGACACGCAAACCAATCTCGAATCCACCGAAGACAAAAAATCCCAACTCGAAAAAGACCAGCAAGAATTGCTGATAAAACAAGAAAAACTAAAAGCCCAAGTCGCCAAGCTGGCCAAAGATTTGGAGAAATCCGAGAAGAAATTCGCCGAAGTCAAAGCCAGCATGACCCTGTCGGCCGGCAACAAAGAGGCCGAATTCAAGCAATCCTTGGACAAGCTGAAGCAACTCAACGAGGACAACGTCAGGAAGCTGACGGAGGAAAGGGAGCAGATCAGGGCGTCGTTGGAGAAGCGCATGCAACAGTCCATGCAGCAACTAGGCAACGAGAAAGACGCCGAAATTCACCAGTTACTCGAAAGAATCGACAATCTGCAGCACCACATCGAAAATTTGTGCCAACAACACGAGGAATTGATGCTGAGAGCCGAGAATGATAAGCAACAAGCTTTGCTTATTGGTGAGTTATTTTTAATTAAACTCAGTTCGCTATTAGAAGATAACTTTACTTCTACTCTACACTTTTACTCACTACTACTCTACTCTTTACTTTTACACTTTTCTCTACACTCTACTCTACACTCTACTTTACGCTCTACATTATTTAGTAGTAGTGTATAGAGTGTATAACAATAGGCGATTCTTTTCTAATCCCAAATAAAGTCACCTGTATACCGTACACAGTCTTCTGGGATATTAAATTGATACTAAAATTATAGGTAGTTGTTATTTATTTATCAAATTTAAGAAGGTTTTATCTCCTGAGGGTGAACGGAGTATAAATTACAATTATACTTTAATAACTAAATAAGTGTATAATTTTTGCACACGAAGAGTAGAAGATCAAAGAGTAGGCATATCGAGATAATGAAAATAAAGTGACTGAGTGAAATATTGGTAAAAGGACATTACATTAGAAAAAAAAACATAAAAATTTTTAATTTATCCTGGTTTTGCTAATGGATAATTATTTTAGTAAAATTTCAATGTTTTTTAGTTTGAGTTCAACGATTTTTCAGAGTTTTTTTTTTTGATAACTATCCAGCATTTTCTATTCTTTCTATTTATACAACACTCGAATTTATTAAAAACGTGCTCATTGTAGCGACAAACGTTCAAAAATAAAACAAACGTATTTATTAGTCAAAAATCGAAAATAAGCGCACCGGTGATTTCATTCATGAAAATAGCCACTATAAAATGATATCATCGAAACGACCGGCGTCTAAATTTAATTTACACAAGAAAGCAGCGCCGGTGTCGCGCTCGCGCTCGATGCGAATACCGAAAATCGAACGGTACACCGCATAAGGCACTCGCACCAATTCATCTTCCAGCTCACCACGACCACCAGGCGTTGCACGACCGGTTCGAGGCCGCCCGAAGGGAGCTCGAAGACGAGAGAGACGGCTCGGAGAGGCTGAAGCGCGAGGCCAACAGCCGCTACGAGCAGGACAGGGCCAACATAAACAAGCTGAAAGAGGAGCTCGGCAAGTGCAGGACTAAGTTGGAGGAAGCCAGGGCGCGAGCCGAGGAGGACGTGCGCAAATTGGAGCAGAAGATCGAAGAGACCGCGACGGAGCGGGACAGTTGCCAAGGCGAGGTGGAGAATTTGAAAACGCAATTGCAACTGGCCGAAAACAAAGCCGAAAGTATCGGAAATCAACTGCACGAAACCATCAGGAAGTTGAAAGAAGGTGAGTTTGTTTATTTTTTTATAAATCCGGGTCATTTTGCATTCTTCAAAAATATATTTCAAACACTTAGTATAGTATTCAATACACGAAAATTTAAACTCATTTAAATAGACATTAATTCACCTAAACGACTATTCTCTATTTTAAATTGAATCTAATGCAAATATTTCAACGGGACATCTCGTTTACACAAAAAACCTGCAATTATTTGCATAAATCCGATAAGAAAAATAAATATAAAATATTCGTAGAAAACAATACCGCTCGTTTCATAACAAACAATATCCGAGAGCGCTGCATATGCGAGTAATTTGCTTATTATTACAGCTGAAAATAATTCCGAGTCGCTTCGTAAGGAGCTGACAGACACCAGGAGGCTTCTAACAGACGGGAACTTCGAAAAGGAAAAGTACCACAACACGAACAAGGAGCTCAGAGATCACATCAAAAAAACCGAAAGCGAGAAACGTGAGCAAGCTAGGCAGCTGGAGGACGCCTACAGGAATATATCAAGTACGTTTTTAATGTACAATTATAATACCTACTAAAATACAGCACAAGCATTACTCATTTCGTCGGATAAATCATACCACATACTTTAAATAGATAAAAAACAATAATACAACCTGACCGGACTTTTCTAAGCGTTATCAAAGATAACACAATCTCGCTTCCTACCTTACAAACAAAACAATCATACCACCTCGAACCACCAACGGTGCAATAGAATTACATAAACTCCTAATTTTCAGACCTCGAAGACGTTAAAGTGGGCCTGGAGAATGAACGAAACCGGCTGCAGAATCAGATAAGAACTCTGGAGGCCGAGCAGCTGCAGACCGAGCACAAGGCGCAGAATCTCCAAGAGGAGTTGCAGCGCAGCCAAGCGGCCGGCGCTCAGCAGCAAATCGAAGAGAAAGAGCTGCAGGCCAGGCTCCTGAACGAGGTGGAGGAGCGGGAAAGGGCCCACCAGGAGGTGCACCAGTTGAGGAAGCAGGTAAAACCGAATCCGTTCGTTGACTACAAGAAATATTTAATTGATTGTACGCTAGATATCGGAGTTGGAGAGAAATTTGGAGCAAACTCGCTTGGAATTGAACAAAACCAGATCGCATTACTCCCACCTGGAGGAGCAATGGCACGCTAGGGAGCAAGACCTTCTGGTGCACCTGGAAGACAGCAAATCCAAGGAGAAGAGACTGGAAGACCAGAAACACAATTTGGAAGTCTGTCTAGTCGACGCTACGCAACAAATACAAGAACTAAAAGTAATTACATCTACCAAATATACAGTGGAATAACTAGTATTTGTTCTAGGCGAAATTAGGGGGCACCGAAGGGAGGGTGAGAGCGCTAGAAAACCAACTGGTCCAATTAGATTCGACCAAGAGGGATGTAGAACAGAAATTGAGCAGCGTGATCGCCACGCTTCGCAGGATAGCAGGAATTCAATTAGATGGCACCGTTACGATGCCTTACAGGCTACTGAGCCCTTCGAGGCGATGGAGTCCTGCTCGAAGTGGGTAAATTTTCTACAAGAAGCTACGAAATCTGAATACTTATCGCTTCTAGATTACGAAGACGGTAGGGACGGAGCAGTAGACATCGATCCGGAAATAGTGAGAAAAGGAGTGAGGAATTTAATGCAGCAAGTAGCTCAAATCGAAAGGGAAAGGGACGATTATAAATTGCAAGTGAGCACGACGAAGAAGCAGTTAAACGAGGCCCAAGAAGGTTTGAGCAAAGGCGATAACAAACTGGCGAAAATAGTGCAAAATGTCCGGGCTTTGCAAGAGGAAAAAAGCGGCTTGGAGGCGAAGTTAGGCCAGAAGAGCGTTGAACTTCAAGCTCAAGTAAAAACATCAAAAATCACGAGTAACTAGGTACTCATTTGTAATTTTTTTCAGGCCCAAGCGCTTGAAAAGAAGCGAGAAGAAAACAAACAAATGAGGGAAAAAATCGTCTCGCTCGAACTCAACCTGAGCAACACCAACGAACAAAAATCACAATGCGAAGTAAGTATCTAATTTTATTAGAAAAATCGAATTTCACGAAATTGTTCCAGGATAAACTCGACAAAATGAAAGCGGCCTTGGATAGACTTGAAGCAGAAAAGAGGAGTCTGCAAGAAGAACTAAACCGAATCGAAAACCGATCAACTAAACTGGAACTACAAAGAATGTCAACAGAAGGGGATCTTCAGCGATTACAAATGATGCTACAAGAAAAAGACGCAAACGTCCAAGTTAGTAACTTCCTATTAACAATTAAACACTTATTAAACTAATCGAATTTGTAGAAACTACAAGAGAAATGCGACCGGCAAAGCCGCTGCATAGCCAGCCTGGAAGAAAGATGCGCCTCCTTGAAATCCACCATAGACCAATTGAGCGTAGCGCTCGAGAAGGCCTCGACCAGCGAATCCGAACTAAAATCCGAAGTCCAGAGCCTGCAAAAAGCCCTCATGGACACCACATCGGCCTCCCACACCGGAGCCGAACGACTCAAACAGGTGATACATCCTGCTAACCTAACAGAAACATCCGTTACCATCCGCGCTTTCAGCTGCAAAAGCAACTAGCCAACAGCGAAAACGAGCGACGCGTCATCGTGGAGAGGTTCGAATCCACCCAGCAGAGCCTGGCCGAGATGCGGCGAAACAACCAAATCCTCCAAGACCAAGTCGCCCGGCTGAACAACGAGCTGGCCAACAACGAGGTCCAACGCGCCGGATTGGAATCCCAGCTGAGGCTGGCCCAATGGCCGTCAGACTCGGGCCTGGCGTCCCATCACGAGGAAGAGCTAAAAGCCCAACTACATTCCGTGCAAAGAGAGCGGCAGGAGCTTCGAGGAAAAATCGAATCCTTGAACAACAAGGTAGATTTAGTCAAACTGTAGGTTTATCTAGTTGATGACGTTATGTTTAGATAAGGCAATTAGAAAACGAAAACCGGAACATGGAGAGGCAAGCGACGAAAGGCGTGAGGAGCAAATCCTACGAGCGAGAGCAGCCGGAGAAGTACGAGACCGAATCATTCGCCGGCGAGAACCGGGAGTTGCGAATCAAAATCTCCCAACTCGAGGCCGAATTGGCCGAGAAGGAAGCGGAAATCGCCAGAATAAAGAGCCAAAGACCCACCCTTGATTCGAAGTTCGATAGGGCGGAGATCGAGAGGTACAGAGCGGCTCAGCTGCAAGCCGAGCGGCTGCTGGAAGCCAGAGAACAGAGCCATAGACAACAAGTGGCCAGATTAGAGAACCAGGTCAGTTTATTTTCTAATAGTGTCACGAATTGGTCTACGAGCGGCGCCCCAGCAGTGGGTTAACCTGGCTCGAGGAGTCTGATGAGCTCAAGTAGAGGATAAATTTAACTTTCAGGTGACTTTGCTGCGCGATCAGCTGAATCAGGAGATAAAGCGACGGCAGCAGTACGTGATGAGGAGCAGCAAGGCGGGCAGGGAGATGCAGCAGCTGCGGCAGGCGCTGGGCGATTCGCTGCGGACGGTGTCGCAGGACCCGTCGTTGGACGCCCTCCTGCTGGAGCACGAGGCGAGGAAATTGGACAACACGTTGTCGAACACTGCCAGTTTGCCGGCGTTAGGTTTGCCGACTTCATCCTATCGGAGGTCGACTACTCCACAACCGAAGTAGAGATGAGGAGCATGTAGTATTTATTTGGGTCGTAAGGTACTTTTTAATTTAATTTTCGACGCGTATTGATTACTCGTACTCATTTAATGCATTTAATCTTGTGTAGATATTAATTTATTAACATTTTTTTTAGAAAAATTAGTGACTTTAATTGTGATTAAACTGATAGGATATTGAAATGTTTTATTTATCTATTAGTATATAAAGTAGGTATGCACCAATGATTGATAATTGTTATTGAATTTCCGAAATTTTTATAATCAATGAACTTCTATTGTCGAGTGAACACATTCACTGCCATTTTATACGTTTAATAACGAAATAAGAATAGTTTTGTTTATGTTAACTCAATTAATTGAATACCTGAACGTTATTTATTTTTAGATTTTAATATTTAGCGGGTTCCGTCCATTTTTATACAAAATATGTAATGTAGAAAAATGATGCTTAATAAAATAATTTAACCACCGATTACTTTGATTGTTTCCTCAACAAATCAAAACATATTTCAATTCGATTGGGATAATAATTGCACCCAGAAAATACTTAAAAATTCAGTGTCTTTATGTACATTACTTTTCAGGAAAAATAAAAAAATTACTGTTCAATTTCCTCCTCCCAGTTTTGTTGAAAAGTTGTACCATCCTCACTGTCACTGTCTTCGTCCATTTCCAATTTAGGATCATCTTTTTTGCTAAACGTTTCGCCCAAATTCGCCACGTATTGCAAAGTGTATTTGTTAAAATCGCAACTAAAAAGAAATTTAATACAGTTAAAACCAGCGCGAATTGCCCCCGTATTCTGTTTTTATAATCAAATGGTTTTGTAACCAACGATTTAGAACCATTTATAACGCTCCAAAACCATTTAGAACCCTCAAGACTCATGTGGAAAGCTCCAGAATCATTTAAAACTGTCTAGATCAATTTATAACGCTCCAGAACCATTTAGAACTCTTCAGACTCATTTGGAAAGCTCCAGAAACATTTAAAACTGTCTAGATCAATTTAGAACGCGCCAGAACGATTTAGAACTCTTCAGACTCATTAAGAACGCTCCAGAATCATTCAGAACTGTCTAGAACAATTTAGAACACTCCAGGCTCATTTAAAATGCTCCAGAATCATTTAGAACTGTCTAAGAAGAAGAATAACAAAAAAAACGAACCTCATTTTCATCTGTTTAAGATTCAAATAAGCAACGTTGCCATGATTAGAATTCGGAAATATTTAACCGTTGGTTTCAAAACCATCCGAATACGGTGGTTATAGTAGGCAAAAACATACATTTTCGAAATTTGCTCGTTCCTCCTGACCAGACTCTTTTCGAGCGCCAACAGCGTAGGTAGCATTTTCTGCGCGTTAATTTTCGGCCCGTGCAACGTTAAAATATGCTGCGTCCAACAAAGATAGTATTCCAAATGCCTGGAATTCTCCAAGAACGTTGCCACGACGATTAACAATCTTTGGATGTATTTCTCCTCCAAGTCTCTCACCAATAACCCAACTGCAATATTACGTTACTTATTATTTTGTTGCGACTAGTAGAAACAACTTACTGTTTTTGACAGGTACGCTTTCGATAACTTCTTGTATCAGTTTCGATTCGTTTAGTTTGAGCGACATCATCAAAGCTACAAGGAAATTAGAATTATATCCTTTGCGATTGATTTATACAAACAACGTACCGTTACTGTAATCTTCATCTTTTATGGACTGTCTAATGGCCGTAGGCGTGATGCCTATTTGTAGTTCCCACGGATCGAAAATGTACGCGTTATTTAGCCCGTAGAGGAGCAACCCTTCGGTGGTGGCTGCCGCCCAGGTTTGACCGGTCGGCGAGAATTGCAGGGAAAACACGCGAACTTCGGGCTTGATCGTTCTAGCTGACATGTCTCCTTTGCGAACACCGGGGAGTTTGATCGCTACGTTACCACCTTCTCGTTCTTCCCTCTCTTCTATCAGAGCGATATTATCGAATTCTGTTAGCTTTCGCCTGTTTATGAAATCCTGGAATATCGTACAATAAATTACGACATAATTTTGAGAACTAAAATACTCACATCAACGGCATCTAGAGATCTATTTTGAGTGATTTCGAATCGCTTGATTATCAACGCTTCTTTAACGTTGTAAATGCACACGTTTTTCGATTGCCCTCCGGCTATTAACGACTCCCCGTCGGCGGAATAACACAAACTAGTAAAGCACCTAAAAATCATTCGATTTAATACGGTAAATCGAGCAAATTTTCGTAACTTCTTACTTTGATTCCAGCGATTTCTTAGCGGTTATTAAATCGGTTTCCGATCTGCCGCTTCCCAAATCGTTTCGACCTTCAATGAACGCCACTTGATCTGATGTTTTCACGTTGAAAATCGATATGTGGCCGTTTAGCGTAGCCACCGCTACTTCCTGCCCGTCAGGCTTGAATCCTACGCATATACCGTCGGAAGTTAATTCGACGGTTTCGTGCGATGAACCCTTCTCGATGGCGTCCCAAATTTTTATCGTTTTATCCCACGAAGCCGAAACCATCACCGTACTGGCTAAAGTAGGGCTGAATACTACGCTTGACTGAAAGCATTAACGATTTTAATGATTGCTGAAGGGTTATTGTACCGCACTTACCACAGGCCCTTCGTGCCCTGCTAATATTTCCAATAGCCTGCCGGTTTTTACAGACCACAGGTAAATTTCGAATATATCTTGTCCTCCGGCCGCTATAAATTCCCCGCTGCTATCTACCGCTACGCACGAGAATTGCACAGGTCTAGTAGAGGTGAACGTTCTAAAATTACGGTACCTGGAAACGATAAAAATTAATATAAAGAGAAATTTTAATAATCAAATCACAAACCTGATTAAATCGAAAGCCCTTACTGTGCTATCGAGTGAAGAAGATACCAAAAATTTCTTATTTCCGCTAAACGTAACAGCCGTTACGGCGTTCGTGTGCTCGCTGAAGGTCACAAAACAGAAACCCGAATGGATGTTCCACAATTTAACCTTGCCATCTTCACCTCCGGAAGCTAAAAGCTGCCCATCGGAGGAGTAACTAATACACGACATGTTGTTGGAGTGACCTTGCTGTTTCATTACATAAGTTTCACCTGTAACGAAGTAGAATTATTTACGATATAAGTAATTAAAAGAGGAATTTACTTTGCCATTCCCAGACCAACAGTTGTCCTAAACCGCTGCAGCCGAGAGCTATCCAATCTCCTGTGTTATTCAGAGCGATGGAACTGATTTTCTGTTCGGATATGCTGAGCGAATGTATTAGGTTCATATCGGGCAATTCGTGAATAAAAAATGCACCATTAGAGTAACCTAAAAGAATATTTCGAGTAATTTTATGAAGTTTAAGTGAGTTTATGCACCTACCAGTTACAAATATTTTTGATTTCTTATGATAACCGGCAGCTGTGAGAATAGCATCTCTATTCTCTTTTCTAACATCATCTGCTAGATAGTGCCTCGCTAATCTTTTGTAGAAAAGTTTGTTAATCGCCTTGTCATTTTCCTGGCTATTTACGTCCATTTCGCTCAAAGCTTTTGTGAGCTCCTCTTCTGTTCTTTCAGGAGCTTTGGTAGCATCTACGTTATCCTCGTCTGATTCGCTGGAATTTCTCTATAAAAAATAAATAATAAAAATCGTGTGTTACGGGATAAATAGATTACAACCTTTTTCTTATTCAATGGCGCCACATCCAGGGGAACCAAATCCTTTGGTTCGATGCTGCATTCCCAAATGCAAGTTTGACCGTTCCTGCTGATCGTGGTAATGTCGTAATTGTTTTCTTCGAAGAAACAACCGACTATACCCTCAGTGTGGTTGCCCAAAGAGCATATTCGGAAATTTTCATATCTTAAAATTAGAATTAACTTAAAAATTTACTATTTAGTCGAATGAAAGGCTTACTTTTCAAGAGGATACAGTTTTGTTGCCATGTCTTTCGAACCGACTGCTAGGATTTTCGAATCGAATGACCAATCAAGGCAAGTAGTCTCATCGTAAGCTCCATGAAACACTCTCTCCATAACAAAAGCGTTATACTCTCCCGAATAGGGCCCAGGAGCCCTGAAAACAAACACTATTCTTTCAATAGTAACATTAAGGGAATGACAATGTTGCTAATATTTACCATTATTTTCTTTGCAAACAGCGAAATGTTTTCCATCGGGGCTGAATTTCACGCATCTAACTTTCCTCTTGAATCTATATTTGTGAATAACAGTTTGGGAAACGAGACTTATCATATGGGCTTCCCCTTCTTCATTCACAGCGATTAGAGTGCAGCCATTCGGGCTCAAATCTAGGGCTTCGTAATTGTATCTACTCTCAATAGGCAGAGTAGTCGATTTATTACTAAAAATATGTAAAATTAGAGAACATGAAGAAGAGAATATTATAAGATGATTACCTTTTCAAATCGAATATTGTAATTCGATTCCCTACGGGACTGATTACTGAATTTCCATCTGGAGAAAATAGTAAAGCACCTTTTCGGTATACTGTACCCAAGAGGTTTTGAAACTAAAATGTTTGATATAGTATGTATAACTAATAATGGACTATAGTTTTGGAAAATGTCTTACCTTATAGTTAAACTTCATCTTATTGAGTTTTTTAAAACACTTATTTGCTTTAAATTTTAACTACAAATAGTCTATACAAAATAATAATAAAATTGTAGTGTGATTGAAAAATATAGGTTATGTTCAAAATAAATGATTCTTCTTTTTCTAGACTGTTTAAAAGAGAAGAATTTTTAATATGACTGACATATGTACCATAGAACTAAAAATTTTTGACAGTGACATTAGTGCTATTATTTTTAAGGTTAATTTATTAATTTTTTATATACATATAAATATATTTATATGTATATGATTTTTTTATATTATTTCAAAAATACTTGTTTTCCACAATTTACAGATAACGAATTTTATGCGTTTTTTATCAGCATTAAAAGTAAAGTTGTTATAAAATTTCTAATAAGTACCAAATTAATAACATTTTTTACTTTTTAGGAATGACTAATATCTAAAAAAAATGGGTAACAGAGCAACTAGGAGTTTAGAAAGTTTCATCGATTTTCAAAATATAATGCCGAAACATTACACATCTGTTGCCGATTTTAAGTTTCACGATCCCTTATATGAAGAAGAAGAATTTAACGGTTTAGTTTTTAACAGCATATTCATTCCTGAAGAAGTCCTAACACAAATATTAAGCTTCATCCCGCCTAAAGAGTTGTTGCCATTGACATTAGTTTGCAAAAAGTGGTGCAACATTATCAAATCCGAATGTATTTGGATGGAAATTTACAACAAAGGGCACACTCACAGGGCGAAACTGCTACCTTGGTACGTCTACTATTTGTATTTCACCACCGACAGCTTTACAAACTTGCTAAAAAACGGTAACGGTAAAGACGGTTTCAAAAATTGGGTGATATTGAAGAATCTGGGAGATCAATTCAAAATCGAAGATCCTCCAAAGGGAAGCGATCCTCTTCCTGAAGGTGTGCCAGACTTCAATGGACACACGAGCTGCTTCGTCACGTCTTATTACGAGTGCAACAAAATCCAGGTGATTTATTTCATTCAAATAAACTCATACGTTTAATAATTACGATTTTTCATCAGGAAATCCAGTTAGAGAATAAACGTCTTTTAAGGTATGTAATGAATAAGTACAGACCACAAATAGCAGCATCTGAATGGGTAGCAGCAAGGTTCGATTGCGGTTGCGAATACAAGTTAACATTTAGAGGATTCGGTCCAAATTACTTGCCAAAGGAACCGAACGAATATGTGGATGAAGAAGAAATTGAAGATGCTCTGTTTGAAAAGCACAAATCTGTTCGATTCGAACAATGGGCCGGAAAGTCTTGGGAAAAAGTTAGTGAGAATAATCATTTTGTGTAGTACTAATACTACAGTACTTTTGTGTACTACTAATACATAGTACTAATTTTACATGTTTTTTATGGATTAATCACATTTTAGGTAGAACTATTGGTGGAAGATTATCCTAAAAACGTGAAAACCTTGGTGTTTGAACATGAAGGTAACGATACACAGTTTTGGAAAGGCCATTACGGAAGCAAAATGGCTGGAGGTGTTGTTAAATTTTTGTTCGAGAGTATTGAATCTGAAAGAGACTGAATTGTAAGCAGAATATGCGTCAATATATCTATTACTAATATACAAGCTTAATATAATATATGCTTAATAAATTTAAGTGTCACATACCAAATTTTTATGAATTTAAAATGTGGTAAAATATTTAAATTTCGTAATAATATTTACTATGTGTTAATTGTTCAACAAATGGTGTTATGTTAAAATTTGCACGTTAAGTTTTTATGAAATTATATTTCCTGTTTTAGTTTGTTACCATTAAAATTATTTAATCAAATCTTATTATTTTTAATCTCTTGTTCTATAACAGTTAATTTACCTTCTGCGTGATAGTAAAATCTTAACGATGATTTTTTCATAATTTTTTTTTATTGACAAATCGAATACTTACAAGTTTTTATAACATATTTAATTAATAAATGGGAAAATTGCTGTCAATTTTTAAGGCGTAATCTCTAAGACCTCCCTTTACATTATACACATTTAAATTCGAATCAATCACATCGTTTTGAATGTAGTTTAAAGCTCTTTGTGAATCATTCCCTCGACGACAAATAAAAAAAACTAAAATAAAAATATCCTTGCTCGAGAGATTTTCAAATTTGTACTTAATATTACACTCACCATTTTCGGTAGTTTTCGCTTGATTTTTTAAAAACTCAGTAAACCCTCCAACGTTTTTGGTCAATTTCGTAAACGGATAATTTATCGTTGACGGTAAACTGCACATTTTAAATTCAAGTTCCGGTCGAACGTCAATAACTAAAGAAGTACCTTTGCATTTTTCAAAATATTCTACGTCTACTTGCTGCTCTGGTTTTACAATATTAATATCGACTACCTACAACAGAAACAACTTAAGATCTCTTCATATATGGGACATTCGTTAATACCTTATCGTGTGCACTTGATCTGCAAAATTGTTCATAATTTATCAAAGTCAAAATAGTAGGGCTATCGCCACAAACTTCACAATCCTTATTTCTTTTTCTGAGCTTTACGTTCCTGAATGTAGAACTAGCTCCATCGAATATTAGGAATCTACTGGTCAAAATCCCTTCGGACTTAATTATAATTTTTATAGCTTCTAAAGCTTGAAGGGTTCCAATCACTCCAGGTACTAAAAATCGTTAGTGAAATCGCAAGTAATTAGAAAAATAGTGCTATTACTTGGTCCTAAGACGCCCCCATCTCCACAATTGGTAACCGTTTCTGGCGGAGGTGGAACGGGAAAGAGACATCTGTAACAGGGCCCGTCCATATAATGGTAAACCGTCAATTGGCCTTCCATTTGAAGGGCACTACCGGACACTAGTGGTATGTTATTCAATACACAGGCATCATTTAGAAGGTACCTGGTGGCTACATTATCAGTACAGTCTAATACAACATCGTATTTGGTTGACTTCATTAAACGTTCAACGGTTGTATTATTAATGAGCTGCCGAAGAGGTACTATCTTTATATTATGATTTAACCTAAGGTAAAAGAAGTCTTTGTAGCGTGATATATGCATTAAACAAATCTCTACTATCACCTCTTTAGTTTTGCATAAGCAGAGTCGACTTTAGGGATGTCGATATTTTCCTCGGAATGAAGTATTTGCCTGTGAATATTAGATAATTCGACTGTATCGTAATCTACTAGAGTAAGTTTGCCTACTCCGGAACTGGCTAAATATAAAGCAGCAGGACAACCCAATCCTCCGATACCCACAATTAAAACGTTACTGTTCTTTAAGGCTTCCTGGCCATCGGTGCCCATTTCGGACATAATCATTTGTCTACTATACCGTACGATTTCATCCCGCTTGAATATATTATTGTATGGACAGTTTTCCAGCTAAAATAGTAGCACGTGAATTTAGCTCTATACACTTAGCCTCGTTTCTTTTGCGATTGTTTAGATTTGTTGGGAAATTTACAAGCGACTTACTGGTTTTTGTTGCAATTCGAAAAGTAACCGCTCTTTTCGCCTCAATTCATCTTTTAATTTCTGTATGTCTTGTTTCAACTCGTCAACTTCGCTTTTTTGTAAATTTCTATCCATAGCAATTATTATATGCAGTGTATATTATTCTTTAAAAAATATTCATTTGAAATTATGATTACAAAATTAAAAACTAGTTGAGGTTATGTTACTAATGTTCTTCTTCTTCTTTTCTATTTTGGGCTTTATCTTTTAAGATAATTCACCCAATGTTACTAATGTTAATGTCAAAGTCCCATATAAACTGCTCCACAAAAGTTAAGGAAGTTCGCAAATTTTGCGATTATTTTAAAAGTTACAGACTTTTTCATTACCCAAATTTTCAAATATGCGAAATTAAATGTTTTCTCTCATATCTGAATGGATTCTTTGCCCCTACCTCTACAACTCATACAAAATTTGGTGTTCAACAAACCAGCAACTTTTAAATTAATCTCAATTTATGAACTTCCTTAACTTTTTTGGAGCAGTATATATATATATATATATATATATATATATATATATATATACTTAGTCCCCATTTGTCATGTGATCAGTTCTTCTATTTTATTATATTAAATAGACTTCAAGCAATTGATTATTTCGACATATATTAGAAAATGGCCAATTTACGAATTACGCATTTGTTTTAATCCCTAAGAGAAATTCAGCAATTCCAAGGTAATAAACTAATTGGGTTATTCCAAATAAAGGAGCAATAACCATGACTCTACAAGCGCCTCCTTTATACAATGCTCTCCAGCCTTCCTTCGTCAATATCCGCCTAAAAATCAAAGATTTACATCAATTTGTTGAACCAATCAACAAAGATAACTTTCACTGTTATTTGAAAAATTCTTCAATCTTTCTTTGTTACAATACACTTTGTATTTACTCGTATACTGATTGCTTCAATTCAGACCGTAACATGGTCCTTTCCAAGAGTTGAACAAAGAAAGATTAATAAAATAACAGCTGTCAGAATGAAAAGTTGCAATGACACAAATGTCATTTTTCTTTTTCCTTTATAAGTGTCTAATGAAAGTTGTCTTTATCGCACCTATAGCCTATATAACCTATGTTGCGATCTGGAATGAAGCACAGTGTATATCAATGTCTGCAATTCCTGACATTGACGTCACTGCTCACCAAGAGCTCTAATTGGCTGGTAATACGGTTGAACCGAAAAAAGGTCATTGTGATTGGCTAGAACATTGACGTCACTGTCAACAATTAGGGCCTTTAGGTATAAATGTGACTTACTTAAACGCGTCAGGAACACTAGAATAAGTTTCTTCGCCCTGTCCTTTTTGGAGAGTTTGCAATCTAGTTTTAATCACGTCAACAGGCGTTAGTAAAAATGCTGCAGTTCCTCCAGCTGCACATCCACAGGCAAGAGAGCACCAAGCTTTCTCCTCTCCTAAAATTTTACAATTCTAAACAGCAGGAGTGGAGATTATATGGCGTAAAAAAATCACAATCCAGAATTGTTAAGTTTACTGGATGTTCCAGGAATGGTGGGTACAAAATATACAGGGTGTTTAAAAAAAGTGTCACAAAGTGAAATGGGTGGTGGTATGGCCCAAAATATGCAGAAAAGTCTTAGTTTTAATAAATTTTTGCCGGCAAATAAGCAGTTTGGGCTGTAGAACAATAGAAAAGGTGGCCATTTTAAATGGAAAAAGGCCAATATTCAGAAAAAATAATTGATACGTAATTCACTCATTTGAAAGTTATTTTTATTAGAAATTTATAGCACTAAATAAGATTATTCTCTAATCATATTTATCTCTGAAAACTAATAAAGCTTAAGGGTGTGACGTTTTGCATTCAAGTTGTTTTTACATAACAAATGCGATAGCCATGTAATTTTATTTATTGCACTATTGCACCGAAATACCTACTAATCAATATAGCTTTCTAATGAGGTGTCACTCTTTCAATTACGTAACGATTATTTTACCCCCAAAAGGGCGCTAAAGTCAAAATTTGACAAGGCAATAGTGGTATTGCTGAATTCATAAAATTACCTTTTCAAAAATGTACAACACTTGGTACTTTCCTTTTTAAATTGTAAGGGTTTTTACCCGACTCCTCGAGGGTTAATGCATTATTGCTGCAATTATGACAGAAAAGTGTCCCCCTAAAAACTTGATTTGACGCGTCTGAGCATTTATTTTAAAAATGTAAATCTCGTGATATTGGCCTTTTTCCTTTTAAAATGACCACCGGCCCTTTCTATTGCTCTACAGCCCAAACGGAGCATTTGCGAACACATGTTTATTAGGACTTTTCTGCATATTTTGTGCCATACTACTCCCCATTTCATTTTGTGATACTTTTTTAAACACCCTGTATATCGATAGATATTTATTGGAAGCTTCAGAATGGTCCTTAGCTTTCCCAATGACTTACCGTGTATGGTGCGAGGACAGAATTCGTATATATTGAAAAATAGCGTAAAATATATAATGGAGAAGAGAACGTCGCGGATCCAAGTTGGAATAAAACCCTGATAGAAGCCGAAAAACCCATTCTTTCGGTAGATATTTCTAATGACATCCCTGGTTCTAAGTTTTGCTAAAATGTAGAGAAATTTTACTGACTGATTCTGGTAAATTGAGTGGTTTAAATGGGCTGTACCTTTGCCCAATCGTCCTTGATCCTGCATTTGAATTTTGAAAAGTTCCATTGGGCAACAAATGAATGCCGAAACAGATGAACCCGTCGCCGCCAAAATTTGCCTACCAAGTGGTAACGATCTAAAAGGAAGCTTAAATGTATTGCAATTGGAAGATTTTGAGTGCGAGAAGAGGATTTACCCATCTTCTTTCTTTAGTTTAAATCTAAACATGTCATTAACGGAGAGTTTAACGGCTTTTTCGGGCATCATGAATATGATATTTATGAAGGCGCCTTGGTACATACCGAAAAATCCGTCTTTTTTATACGTTTTAACGAGAGTGTCGAGTCTAGAAAATGAAATTTAATTGTTTTATGTCTTATGGTGGTTGTTTTAATTAAATACTCACATACTTTTGTACATTCTTTCTCCTGATGGACCGATGACTTGATTTTGCATTCTTGTCTTTACAAGATCTAATGGAAAAACACAACAAATGGCCACGAAACCGGCGATGTTCCCATTGATGACTTTTGGTAAAATACTACAATTTAAGTAGATTTAAAACACTTCTATACCAACAACTTACACAAAGTTATACAGATGAAATTGGTCTTCAGAGCTATATAACTTTCTTTACCTATCAGTTCATTATGAGCTTACCTAAAAGTTTTTTGTTTTTCTGCCGCCATTTATATAAGTACGAAAAATTTTTAATTTTTGCATTCTAAATTTAAGCAGATATGTTTAACGTTCACAATTTACATACGAAAAATTTACCATTTTCGATACGAAAAAAATTTTCCCATTCAAACGCTGCAAATTTTGAATTTACAATTCTTAAAATGTACGTCAAAAAATGTCAAATGATTAATTTTGTAATTTAATTGTCGCATTTTTTTGATGCCTACAGGGTGGTTCTGAAATATTACAGAAAATTCATACCTACTTTTACATTATTATAAATGGAACAAAATTAATATTTTTCATAATATTTTCTTCAGGGTGAATTATTTTGTTTTCATTCTTTAAACATTCCTTTTACCTAAATTTAATACTGTAATATTGCAATATATTCTTATACAGCAATAATAACTATGCAAGTCTATGCTTGAAATTCTTATCTGATTAGGTAGGTATATTCTTAATTAGATCATCATTCTAATTATAATGTAGGAAACTATACTGGTGAATATATGAGTAGGTATGAGTAGGTATTTGAATTTATTTATCTATTAAATTAATCTATTAAATATATCTCAAGTAAAAAAGTGTTCAATTAGAGTAAAATGCTGATAAATCCTTTAAGATTTTTATCTCTAATAACAACTAGGATTTATAGCATGATTCACCTGATAAAGCGTATTGTATTTTTTCCAGATAAGATATCGTAATTACCTATCACAAATAATCTAGTACCAGACCAACTAATTTCGCGTCCTTATTATAGCCATTCGATTCCTGTAAAGAATTTTATTTAGCTTTCTAAACAAAATATGGCGAAAAAGGGTGTTTGGGCAGGCATATTTGCCTACATTGTGCCAATTGTGTTATATTTTTCTCTGACAAACTGTTTTAGTGTCAAAATTTTGGACGAACTCAATTACGATAATTTTGACGGTGTTATTGCAAGTGAAATGCCCAATTACACGAATTTTGTAGACACCAATAAATATTTGTCTGGAAACATTGTTTTCGATCCCGTTGCACTTGCTGGTTATTATCGTTTAACTGAGAATTTTATGAACGCAGTTTTAGATCCTAATTTCATTACCGAAGGTAAGTTTCTTACAAAATACTTAATGTTATAACGCTTGCTTTATAAGACTTGCAAATATTTCTGTTCTTATCCAGATATGATCGAATGGGAGCAGGATGGTGACGTTCAGTACCCGAAATTTACTGGCGATTTTATAAGTGAATTATTGAAAAAAAACTGGGCGTTTGTGCTGATTATTGTGATTACTCTATTAATAGCGGTAGTAACGCCAATCGTTGGGATTATATTCTGCTGTTGCCGATGCTGCGGTAACTGTGGATGTCACTCAAGACCAAGCGATAAGAAAAAAGATAATACCAAAAAGGCCATTTACGGCGTTTTGCTAATTTCTTTCGGTACAATTTTGTTGTAAGTTTCGTCCAATTTCTGATGTAATAGGGTTACTTTCTAGCCAGTAAACTTTTTATTTTTTTTTTATAGAATGACTGTTGTTTGCGTCTTCGCAACCAATAAGCAAATGTACGAAGGAGTATCCGAATTTCCCGATAGCATAAGAGAATCGTACGGAGACGGTACGATGTTTCTTGATAGCGTTAGGGACCAAGCAAGTGAGCTTTTACAGACCAATTACGATCAATTTGCTGAGGTTTTTAACAACACATTGCGCAGTAAGTTTTCGCTTCATGGTAATATTGACTCGCGGTATCAATTCAATATTTTTCAGATTCCGGAGATAATATATTACAGAATTTGGACATTTGGAGTAACGCTTCGGCCATTATAAAATTAGATGATTTCGTTCGTAAAATAGTAGATATTAAAAAGAAAATGCAACAACTGATGGCTGATTCAAATACAATTAAAGGGGAAGTGGTTAAACTAGGAAAAGGTAAAAGAAAATGTTCTAAAATTTTAGTGTGATATGACAATATCTTTGTAGGTTTGAACGACACTAAAAGTTCTTTAACGAATGTACTAGATACATGTTCTGTTAAACAATGCACGGATATGAAGAAAAGTATTTCCACTATTAACCTGAATATTAATATTGACGAGGTAAACCAATTATACCCTACATCACTTTTTTTGTACTCATCGGGACTTTAAACGTTTAATAACGTTTTTATCAGTACATCTATTTTATCAATTCTAATCACAGTAATAAAACTGTTGATCAAGTAATAAAAAAAATAATTATATTCCTAAAATGTTTTAAGTTACCGGATGCCAATGAACCCTTAAACCAGTTAGGAATGCTTAATGTAGATAAACTTATTGAAGCTGCTAATGCTGGTAGTACAGCCCTGAAGGATCTCACCACACGTATTAATAGGACAATAGATGAAAATACTAATAAAGCTTACGAAGCAATCCAAACAGGAAGTGTGTATTCGAATATAAGTACTGTATCACCGACTAAAACCAATGTGTTCTAATTTATTTTTAGGAACAACTATCAACGAGAACTTTGATAACTTTACCCAAGTTATATCAGATCTTCAGGTACAGCTCAAAAACGTCAACAGCACCATGGAAGACAGCTATCATTACATAAAGGATTATTCTCCCTACATTTATTACGGCGGATTAGTAATGAGTTGCGTGCTACTTCTAATTGTAGCATGCATCGCATTCGGATTAGTTTTTGGAATATTCGGACGCCGGCCCGACGGCGGAAAATACGGAAGAAAATTTCTCACCAAGGATACAGGAAGCACGTTTTTAACCAGGTATTGATGAATGTTATCCGCGATTTTATCACGTAGGAATAATATTGTAATTTCGCATTCCAGTTCGGTGCTGCTGATATTTGTTTTTACATGCGTGATAGGAATCCTTACGTTCGTTATGATGGTAGCGGGATTGCTAGTCGAAAGAGGCATTTGCTACCCTATGCGCAACCCCGAACACTCGTCCGTCATAAACATTATCAATAAATTAGTGTCCGATAACGCTACAATTGACTTAAAACTGAACGTAAGCGAAATATTGGTGAAGTGTCGCGACAACGAAAGCCTTTATAACGTGTTTGAATTGTCTAATAAAATCGATTTGGATACTTTAGTTAAAAATTTTAACATCAGCGAAGAAGTAAACAGTATATCCAAACAAATAAGCGAAAAGTTAAATGATATATTACCTAAGAATTTCTCCATTTTGAGTTCAGATCAATTGAATGATTTAAAACAACTGGAAAGCGTGAAACCGAATGTAGATTTGGATGGTTACGAAAAACAGGTGAGTCTAGGAGAAATGGTTTAAATTAAGCTTTTTTCTTCCTAATTTTTTAAATTTTCCATAAACTTTTTTCTTTATGAACATTTGTTTTAATCTCATTTAAAAATATTCTATTTTAGTTGAACCAAGACATCTTAAACGCCGATCTTCAAAACGTGATAGACAGTTTGGAGCAGATTTTAAAGCTTCCAACATGGACTGATGAGCAACTTGCACAGTTAACCGATTCCATTACGAATCTCAAGGATCAATTAAAAATTGTGCAATCTATAAAGACAACAGCAAATCAAACGTTGGTAAGAATAAAAACATGGGTAAATTATTGTATAATAAAAGTTGTTAATTGTAGGATTTGGCCAAGTCTTTAAATGATGATTTATTGTTGAATTCCACCAGTTTCTCCGACGGCGTTACCGACCTTTTAGGGAATATCGAGATCGCCAATAAAGACCTAAAAAACGAAAGTTCAAAATTAGTTGAAGTAAGTGGATTTGGATGAGGCTCTACTCAGCTATGAATAAATATGATTTGAAAATTTTAGGCCGCCAAATCATTTGGAAAATTCGTGGGGAACCTAGTCGAAGGTTATTTAGACAGGGTGGTGAATGTTATAAAGAATGATTTGGGTCAGTGCGGTCATTTGAGCGTAGCAATCGATTCCCTATTGATCGCTACCTGCGATAAAATATTTTTGCCATGGGTAAGAGAATTTCCTCGCGAAAAATGATAGACTAAACCGTGAAAATGTTTCCAGAACGGCTTTTGGGTGGCGCTATTTATAAGTCTATTGGTATTTATTCCGACTTGGACCGTTTCGATTGTTCTGACATCGCTTTATAAAAAATATAAAATTACTGGAGAGTTCAACAGGTAATAGTAATACATTCTATAGAATACGATTAAAATAAAATAAAACATATAATATAGTTAAAAAAATAATTTGATAGATCCCCGAGTAAGCGGTCTAAAAGAGATGTTAAAAAAACTAAACCAGACAATACAAAAAATTATCAACCCGGATCCTTTTATGATGGCACGGCAACCGAAGGCACAGCAAGGTAAATCGGTAAAAAAATCATTCTACCTTCCTACTACATATATAGTATTATTTAAGAAAATGTAAGAGAAAAGCTGAAATCATTTGGAATCAATAAAATATCTCAATAATTTTTTTGTGAAAACTTACACTTTAAAAGAACAATAGATTAATTTTATCGGTATGAAAGTAACAAAAGTATTTTGATATATTTTGTATAAGTAAAATTAAATTGGCATATTTTTTAAATTTCAGCGATTTTTTTGATGTCAATGACAATCAAAAATCCACGCGCTTTTAATTCAGTGTTGTTTTTGTGCAATTTTGTTTTATCATTTTGTCTTTCGTTTTCATTAAGCTTTAATTTTTAAATAATATTTATGGATAAATTGGTAATTCTAGGAATTTTTCATAAATGGATATTTATGTAGCGCATAATACAACAACAAAATGATAGCACAAATGTATAAGATTATATGTACATATTACATGAATATTTATCTGCTTACGCCTCAAGTACTCCTGCATACTTTAGTTTATATTCGTTTTTATTAAGTATTTACTACTCGCTTATTTATTGTATTCCTTCTAATTCAGTGTATTTGCTTTATGTGTGTTATTTTCGACTTGCTTCACGCAGTAATTGGTTACCACTTCTTCATCCCGAGGGATCGACGTTTTCCAGAACTTTAATCGACTATGAGAGACCACCGCCTTATTATCCCGGTTTTTTGTAAGTAATATAGGTACCTAATTGTATTAACATTTTGGATGTAATTTTATTATTTTATTTTTATTTCACATTTATCATTCTATTGATTCCTTCATCCTTGTCTCAGTTCTATAGTCTCTAATTTACATGTGCGATTCTTTGTTTTATTTTGTCCCTTCCGGATTATTCATAGTAACTGAATAATTCGAAATAGATATGTAATGAAACACACTTTCAACTAATGATATAATTGTTATTAATTTTTTTATTATGTGATATGTCTTTCTTTTTAATAGGTTCTTATATGTTGAATATTTTTTAGTGAACTTTGAAATGAAATGAAGGCGAATTTGTGATTGATTAATATAATGAAGTTAAGAAAATTACTTATAGGTTATATGGTTAATAAAAATATATTTTTTTGTTAATCAGGCTTAAGGTACTTATGAAGAAAATGTTAAATCAAATAAAACCTGTTTATAAATATTATAATAAAATTTTTGATAAAACGCGATCTCTTTGTTATATTATCTTATTAGCGAAAGTTAACATTTAAAACTAACAATTTTAGGAAGTTTTCCAGACCAGCAACAGTTTTCCAAACATAGTAGAATAAAACGAATATTTAATTTTATAAATTCAAAATTATTATAATGGTTTATAGTACAAAAGTTTAAAGTTTAATTCTGTAAAACGAGTAGATTACTGTTAGTTCCTTAATAATTGGTATATTACTTAACTGCAAACATGAGGAATTGAAGAGTTATGTATATGTTTTTTAAAACTTATCCTAAAACAAATAAATCATAATCTTTATAGACACAGCATACATGTTTCTGATATAGGTATTCTCTTTTTATCATTTGTTAGAATCTGTTAATGTAATAAGGATTCAATTTATATCATGTAATTATCCACAATAATATGTTATTCTGTTTTTAACAATATGTTATCTAAATAGACATGTATTACTATAAATTTCAGGTCTACGTTTGTACCTATTATTATACCTATTAGAAATATTTGTATTTCCGTAGATGTGCAAATCACAAAAATTAATAAAAAACATATCTAATAAATACATTAAAATTGGATAGTTAAACAACTGATTGAATATTCGAACCAATCAAATAAATGGCGCGTGCAGTACATATCCCGACATTTTTATAAAGAGAAAAATAAATAATGATAAATGTGATAAGTAAATAATGATAGATATTTTAAACGACATTCATTTTTTTAATAAAAGGGGACACCTTAATTTCTGTGTACTATTTTTTATTGTCAACTAGAGAATAGATTTAAACAATATCTACAAATTAGTGTTAAAATAGGCATGTATTATTAATAAATTTGTTTAATATGTATTCAAATATCAAACTGATTATTATATTTTACAAAAAGAAATGTCAAATGTCCACCATAATTTTTTGTTTTCATTTTTAATTCAAATAATGATTACACGACGTGTACGCGCCGTGTTCATAAAATCATGTGACGAAAGTAAATAAAATCAGTCAATAAAGTTTTATTCAACCTCGTTATAATACTACTTATCACGTTTTTTATTTCAATTCTTATTAGCAGGATTACTGTTAACAATCCGTGTAGGTACACGCAAATTTGCAAAGAGCGTGTACACGCCGAATGTTACAATTGGGATCAGTTTTATCAGTTTTGTGGATATTATACCTATTGTCTATATACCCAAATTATTGTGCGTAATACATGGTTAAATTACACCTTCAGATATCTGCAATTATTAATAAATTATATCCATACATACAGGGTGTTAATTAATTGAGTGCCGATACGAACTTTTCGTACAACAAGTACATTTTTAATTATACAGTATGTCTAAGAAAGTTGGCAACATACGCGGGGAACATTTAACTTTTTTATTTGTAATGGTACAAAATAAAGCTATTCTTTATAAAAAGTTCTGCATGGCAAATAAAGTAAAACGGAAATGTCAGATGTCAATTGTTTAAATCGTATACGAGGTTTGTCAAAGAATATAAGACAATAATGTTACAGAATAAAAATACAAGAGTAAAGTATCTTTATTTTTTACAATATCGAAAACTTTAATTATGAAAAGTTGTTCGAAATGGAAAACTATGTTTTAATGTGCAACTAGATTATACTACTTAAAAAAATTATGTTATTTTTACAAATTGTTCTCAAAATATTAAGTGTAATTTTAAGGTGTTGATATTAGGAATTAAAAATTACGTTTAAGTGCAGTTACTAATTACTTCATTCATTATTCCATTGCAAAATTGATAAAATTTGACTTTATCTGTTAAGAATTATCTCAAATAGACAAATACGTTATTAGAATTATTTATTTCAAAATATTTCCTATTAATTTTTTGCAATTTGTGAACACCCTGTACATTCAATGTCAAATGTAAATACCTGAATATTATTATTTTCGAAAGCAGAGATTTTCATAAAGAATAACTTTTTTTGTATAACTTACAATAAAGAAGTTTCCCATATGTTGTCAACTTTTTCAGACATACTGTATACACAGAATCCTATAAATCATCTAAATAAAAAATATTTAATTTTCAGTGGCTGTAGATCCTTTATTAAAACCTACTATTTACCTATTTCTTGGTTCTTTTTTAAGTCATCTCGTACTTTAAGAATTTTTACTCGTTTTTTACTCGTACTTTATTTTTCTCTACTCCTAATATATTCTATCATACTCCTATATCCTATTTTCTTCCTTTTCTACGTCTATAATATGCAATTTGGCATCCCACTACGGAATAGAATGATTAGTGATAGTGATTACCACTTGATGTGTCGCGAATGCCGATGGAATTGGCTGTAAAACAGCGCAAATTGTCGTTGTCGTCGGTCGAAATGAAATACCCGTTGGAAAAGGTGATTTGAAATTTCGGCAATCGCGAATCTCTGTCGAAGGGAACAAGACCTGCACAAATGTAAGTGATTTCTTCTTAATTAATTTATATAACAATGATTTGAGTAATAGTTTAATAGTATAGAGATTATTAGCCATTAATAATGTTAATTTTCATCGAAAATTTTAACCTAAATTAGGTATTTCTAATGCTGGTTCATCTAGGTATTAAAATATTTCCCGGAATTTCAACTATGCACATGTTTTTAGAAATTATTTTTTATGTAATACATGAAATTTTAATTTTAAAATTCTACCTTGTACAGTCACGATGTAATCCTTTATTTCGTGTAACAATAACTCATGCTAATGCTGTTTATTAACTTATTCTACGATTTTATTATAGTCACTTAATTTTACCTACGTACAATTCGAGTAGGTATATTATAATATTAGTCGAGTACTGTTTAAATGCTACCTAAATTATTGTTAAATGTGGCGGTTGTCCTGAAATTATATCCACCAAATTTTAGAAAGTTCCTATTGATTATTTTGAATTTCACATTGTTTATCGCCCGGTTTATCCGCCGGGCGCTTGGGGTGCCCGCCCCGCCTTGTTTAATAACAATATTTAAGTCTTGCAACCTATTTTCTTGCAAACATATTGCAAATATATTGCGTTTTTATTTATTATTATTTGTCATTATTAAAATATAATACCAATTCAACTTTTTTTTGGAATTGTGCAACAGTTTTAATAAAAATACAATTTATGAAAAATTCGAGGTCATCCAGAATGTTAAGAAAACTTTTCCCAATATTTTAACCTTAATGCAAATTTATTTGACAATACCAATTTCTAATGCGTCAGGCGAGCGATCTTTTTCTGCTTTAAAAAGAATAAAGACCTATTTAACGACCAATTTGGGACAGGAAAACCCAGACGCATTATCACTGGAATGGCCAAAGAATTACGAAATAGAGCGACTGAACTGTGATGCAATCATATGGCAGTTTGCCAATGCCAAATCAAAAAAAATTTTTTTTCTTGTTTATTTTTGGAATATGTTTTTTTGTTTTATTGTTTATTTATTTGTTTATGTTTTGTGTTTATTTTGGAAGTGTTATTTTTTAGATTTTTTTCCTTTGCTTTTATAATTGTGTTGTGTGTTTGTTTACCTACAATAAATATTAATAAATAAAGTATGTCATAACTATATTAAAAACAGACAACAAATACTAATGAAGGGAGCCCCCAAATCTCCAGCGCCTCCAGCGCGAGCGCCGGAATAATTGCATCGAGAAAAATATATTCCATGGCCCGTATTCAGCGCCTCTGTTTAACTTTAGAGTGGCTTTAAAGTCGCTTCTCGAGTCCCTAGTTACTCCATAACAACAATGTAAATCTGCCAAGTTAAAGACGCGACTTTAGAGTCACTCTACAGTAAAGTTAAACAGAGGCGCTGAATACGGGCCCATGTATTTACAAAAATAAGTATAAATATTTACGAAAATATAATTATGAACCAATGTGAATACCCATGGTTTTGTGCTAATTTTCATGCTATTTGTTAACCTGATTTGATTACCTACACGTTTTCGAAACATGTACATATTTTACGATGTCCAGGTATATATTTTTATTACGAATTTAAAAAATGCGGTGATAAGTGGAAAACAACAACTTCGATTTTTTATTATTTTGAAATTTGCGCTAAATTGGTTTTTTAATTTAAAAATGTATCTAACCCAACAAAAAAATCACAAAATATACGAGATGGTAATTTGTGAAATTTTGTAAAAAATTGGAACTTAAATAATTAACAGCGAATAATCACCTGTGCATAGTTTAAAAAAAATTAGTAATCATCATAACAATGGTAACAATTCTAATAATGTTAAAAAAGTCTCGTTAAATGAAGAATCGAGGTTGAAAAGGAATTCAAGTTGAAGGTTAGCACTTTCAGCAGTAATGAATTAGATTACATATAATTTACTAATTCCTGTTTAGAATTTGGTCATGGCTGATTGAAGTTATATCATAATCATTTGTTTGCATTAGGATGACACTTGCTCGGTATTCGTTTTTGCTAAAAAAATTTCCTTGGAGTTTTTAGATTTTAAGAAAAGAACAACCCAAAGCGTAATTTGAAAAGTGCCAAAAATCAAAGTCCAGCACGTAAAAATATTTTTATTTTACTGTCATACACTACGAAATTGTACAAAATTACATAATTCGATCCAATTGTTGAGTTTTTCCAAGGTCACTAATTATTTAGTGATATGTAACATAGGTACTCATCTCAGGAAATAGTTTTAATTAAAAACCAATCACTACCTGAAGTTAAATAAAACCCGGTTTTCATTCCCGTTAAGTTTATCTAATTTTCCAGATAACCAAATACAATATTAGGATTAGCAATTAAAAAATAATTAAATATTTAATTGGGTTTCCTACAGATACAACATCGACTATTTTTACTGTTTAATTAGGTACTAAAGCAATAAACCCTACTTTACCATCAAGGTACACTTTTTACTATACATAGTTATTTTCCCCTAATTATAATAATTATATTTGTGTTTCTAATTATTGACTTCTCATATTAATTAGTGTACTACCTGTATGTGCACTAGAAGAGTAAGTACTAGTGTACAAATATACAGTGTATGTATAAAGTAAAAAGTAACCCCCCTCAATTATTGTATGAACCGTTAGAGATACCCGACTAAATTTTTTTATTTGTATTATTTAGTATGTTTACAAGTTTTTTTACGCCATTTTGACGAGGTCATCGTTTCTTTCTCATTTGTTTAAATTACAAAAATTGAAATTAAAAGAGGTCCTCCAAGGGTTCGAAAAATAATTGAGGGGGGTTGCTTTATACACGCACTGTATAGTGTAGAATAGACATAATTTTTATTGAACTCATGAACTAGTATTTATTGTTGTTATGGATTTTTATGATACCTTTAGAGACAAGGAATGCCAAACATTCGTTTAGAAAAGTCCCCTGGAAATGCACGAATGTATAGTCCTTTTCAAGATATAGTAGAAAAGAGGCGTGAGAGCTTAGGGATTATAGCAATAAAGTAATGACTTTCCTAATACCAATACAATGGAACGTTGAAGCACTTCGGTCGGGTCGGGTGGTAAACAGTATTTACATTTCCAGGTTAGAACTTAAGAAATGTTATTTAATGAGTATTTTGCATCGCCGCTTAGCCGCAGCGAACGTACCAAACTTAAAATTCGGTTCTGCGTCCTTCGACCGGCGAGTACGGCGTGTACCCTAAACAGCACCGGGTAGTCATAAACTCATCAGCTTATAAAGTCATTTTCTACTATATCTTGAAAAGGACTATACAACATAACATACAACATAGCGGTACATCAGCCTGCTGATAATACCGTTTAATTTAAGACTATTTTTTATAGAGTTGTACCTATTATGAAAATAATGAAATTTCCGTGACGTTTTCAGGGCGTATTTTGAAATTTGAAAGGGGGTCACACTCTATATATTATCTACCTCTTTAGTTGGATAGCGATACACTAAGTCCTTTTTTTAAACAATACTTTTGTTTTGTCTTAATTAAATTGAAATGTAAAATAAAATTTTGTGCATAAATGTAGAGAGAAAATATTCATGAAAGTAGAGGGAAAATTGTGTGTATAAAAGTAGAGAGAAAGTGTTAAACTACAGAGAAAATTTTGTGCATAACAGTAGAGATAAAATGTTGTTCATAAAAGTAGAAAGAAAATGTTCATGAAAGTATATAGAGAAAAATTTGATCATAAAAGTAGTGAGAAAATGTTGTTGTTTCTTGCATGAGGATGTGAGTACTGAACTCTAGCTTAATAAATCTGTTGTCAAAATCGATCATTTCTGGGATACCCAGTAGCTACAGGTACAATTTTATAATACAGTAACTCCTTCCTGTAACATATACATACATGTATGTTTATAAATAGATTGAACCGATTTGAAAGCGATTTTCTCATTAGTGCAAAAAAATCGCTCGTGGTATGACTCTCGAATTATGATTACTTTGTACCTTGATAGTCACTGAGGTCAAATAGATTGAATTTGAAAACCAACGCTTCGATGAATACGCATCGCCCGCTCCAAAATTTACCAAATAAGTTACAATAAAGGATGCTCGACAGGTACTTTAGGTTGTAAAGAGTTAGTTTAAATGAAATTATTTAATAGCATTTAATCGCAAACCTTTGAAGCCGATTAAATAATTCATTCGACCTACTTTTATATTAGCCTTTAACAAATGTTCGGCTTATTGAAATGTATTCGTTAAATATCTACACATTTTATGAGATAAAAGTATATAATTACTAATAGGGAAGCATGAAATATTATCTTTTACAATATTTGTCCGTTACCTTGTAAAAAAATTATTTTCATATTATGCTGTTTTTACAATACCAATGTATTCCAGTTGTTTGTAAATTGTTGTTGTAAATGGAATTTTCCACTGAAAAAAATGGTTCGTTTTAGCGATCCTTGGGTTTTTAATGAGATACCTATCAGTTAATTGTCTATAATACTTTAAGAAGAAATTAAAAAATCATTATAAGAGCCTAACAAGTTGTGGTAATACTTTCTGTAACATAATTCCTTTTAAATTGGCAATATTTATCCAAACCGATTCCAGTAAACATCAAAAAATTCACTAAATTGACGTTGTAATTATTCTTTAGGTGGAAGTTATTAGATGCTAACCAACTTCTAAGTCATTTCCACAGTTTAATCCGCCTACTGAACGCCCTTTCTCGTAGTATAAATAACTATTTCGTAGGACTAACGAACCCACCAAACGACACACGCATAGCAATGAATCCGCGGCCTACGATAACGAAAATTTTAATGGTTCAACAGTCACCATTGCACCAGAAGAAAAGAATTACAGCAACAATTATTTAGGTAAGGGCAACTGGCAAAGACTACACTGAACCAAAAAAGTACGTGCAGATAATGAAAAAATACATTAATCCAAGAAATTTTTACATTAAAAGTCGTCCAATAAACGATTTCATTAAATCAATGAACGTTTGTTCATTAAGCGATGAAGAGGTACATTTAGTGATGTATAATTCGTTGATATGATGAAATGAAAATCATTGTTTCGATGAATTAAAGTTGCTGACCCAATAAAGAAGTACATTAATTCAATGTAATATTTTACATTGGTTTAATGAACGGTGTACACTGATTCAACAAATTTTAGATTTTTTCTAATAAATGTAGTACATTGATTCAATGAAACGCTTTCATAGAATCAATGAAACTTAGATCTTGGTTTAATGAATTTCTTTTATTGAATTAAGGATTTTTAGCTTTTGAATTAATGAACGCAGTACATTGAATTAATGAATTTGATTTATTAAATTAACGAATTTACATTTTTTGTATTATTGCTTGAAGAAACTGGTCAATCTTCGAAGAATTATTTTCGAATTATTCCATAAAATTCTTTGCATCATACGCTGGGGCGAAATCCATATCGATCTAAAAAAAATTATGGGTTAATATAGTAGACTGTAAATTCCTATCTACATATCCAGTAAGTATATAGATTGCTCCATTGTTCATTGCAACATAGGCTATGGGTGCAACAAAGATAACTTCAATTAGACACTTGTAAAGGAAAAAGAAACAGTATGATAATATGTCATTGCAACTTATCACTCAACTTATCACTGTTATTTTACTAATATTTCTTTGTTCAACTCATAGAAATGCTCATGTTGCAATCGCGAATGAAGCACGGTGTATAGGTAGGTATACTATTGAAGGTACTCACCAAGATATATCCAGATGGTCGTTTGTAATAAGTTCATTTTATCATCTGAATTTTTGTGCGTTTTTTATGTCACTCAAGCGAAGTTCCAATACATGCTGCATACGTCGAACTCTTCCGATGATAAATTTTCAAACTTCAGAAGTCTTATGCACGTTTCACAAATGTCTTTGGGGCCTAAAAATTTAATATATCCAATAATTTAATGAGTTGTAGTAAAAACCATAAAAACTTACACACATTTTGTATGAATCTTGAAGTTGTTGCACTTATATCTCCCTTAGGCTTTACGTTTGTGTTTAAAATTAAATCCTAGAAATAAAATGTATAAGTATTAACCTATAGTGTACCGAATTAAAAAATGCTTACCTCTTAAAACAACAGCGCTTGAATTTTCTTCCTTCTTATAATACAAAACGAAAACGAAATTAACTAAACAGAACACTTCCAGTTCAACGCTTCAACACGAAATAACAGGAGAGAAAGAGGGGTAATTAACGGTCAACGCGATTTTCGAAAGCGTCTCTATCTATTTCTTTTTTTCTAATAGAATAGAACGGCATAGATTTGCACTCTAGTGTGTATTGCCAAAATCCAAACTGATATTCATTGACTTAATGAAAAGTGTTCATTAACTCAATGAACTCGAGACAAGAATTTACGTATCCAGTTTGTTGAATCAATGTACGGGCTACATAAAAAATTGCGAATGTGGTTTATCGAACCAATGTATATGCATTCATTGTCTCAATGAACTCGAACATAGAATTTATGTATTAGATTTGTTGAATCAATGTACGGGCAACATTAAAAATGCCGAATGTGTTTTATCGAACTAATGATGTATATGCGTTCATTGGCTCAATGAACTCGAACATAGGATTTATGTACTCAATTTGTTGAATCAATGTACGGGCAACATAAAAAATGACGAATGTGGTTTATCGAACTAATGTATTAATGTTTTTGGTTCAATAATTAAATTTCATTAAAAGAATGAACAATTCGTTATATTAATGTACAAGTTACTTTGATTTAATGTATCGAATACATTAACTGAAATATTCGCTTTTAATGTACTAGGTTATTATATTAATGATTAAATTTCATTGAATTAATAAAAATTGTTATTGAGTTAATGAAATTTTACATTAATAATTAATGTTACAAGAAACATTGAGTTAATAAATGAAATCATTAACTAATGAATCAAAATTTATTGGATTAATGTATTATTTTATTGAGCTAATGAAAACAAGTTGAAAACATGGTGTTCATTGATATTATGTACCAAAATTTTTTCAGTGTATAGAGTAACATGTTTTCTGTTTACGGAATGTGACAGAAGATAAAAATACCTATAGTTATAGTAAAACCAATTTTAAATCCATATCCACTTATCCACATAGTAATTAAAAAATATGGTTAATTGGTCGAACGTACTATAACTAGTTGTAGAAATATTAAAGAAATTAGTTGATATACATAATTAACAAGAACAACAACTATTTTATTTTTATTGCTACTCGTTTATGCAAAATATTAGTATAAATGAAAATTGTAGGTATGAAAAATATTAATTTTTTGGTGCATATCTCGAAAATTCCACATATTTGTTTCCATTTGTAGTTATAGAAGAAGATGCTCACAAATCTTCCCTAATTTATACCGTTAAACGAATCGTATCGAGCGCGAAAAACAGAATAAAAAAAGGATGTACGAAGAAAGTTCTACACAAACGGCTGCCGATCTTGAATTGGCTGCCCAAGTACAATGCATCCTGGGCGATCGGGGATTTCATCGCCGGCATTACCGTCGGACTGACGTTGATACCGCAGGTGAGCTTCGATTTACAACACCTGTTATTCACAAAGCTGATCCCGATCGATTGCAGGGGTTGGCCTATTACACCATTATAGGTTTACCACCGGAATACGGCTTGTACAGCTCCTTCTTGGGTTCCTTCGTGTACATATTTTTCGGAAGCTGCAAAGACGTCCCGTACGGCCCTTCGGCTCTAAACGCCCTGCTGGCCGCCCAGTCGATAAAAGGCAAAGGCCCCGAGCACGCGATTTTGCTCTGCTTTCTATGCGGCCTTATCCAAATTATAATGGGCCTAGTTGGTCTGGGTGAGTCGTCACTCAACTGAATTCGAATGAATGTTGAATTCGACGGGTGTTTTCAGGCTTTATAATCGACTTTGTGTCCGGGCCTGTGTCGTCCGGTTTCACGTCAGCTGCGGCATTAATAATCGTCACGTCCCAAGTGAAAGATATCTTAGGCATAAGGCCTAAGGGCAGTACTTTTGTGGAGACTTGGACGAGTATCATTCACGAATTTCCTAACACTCGAACGTGGGACGCTGTGATGGGATTTTCCTGTATTTTCTTACTCATTGTTATGAAGGTAATTGAATCGCAGAAAAGTAATTTTTGAGCTAATTCTGATCCGATTTGCAGATAATAGGCGCCCAGAAGGTGGGCACAGCAAATGAGAAACCTTCCACTTACCAAAAAATATTGAACAATGTACTATGGACGATCGGAACAGGTCGCAATGCAATACTAGTGGTAATTTGCGGGTGTATAGGATATATTTACTGCGACAAAGGAGACTCTCCGTTTCTTATAATCGGAGACATTCCCCAAGGTTTGCCCGAAATCAAACCGCCGCCTTTCGGCTACGAAACCCACGTAAACGGCACCACCACCTACGTTTCCTTTTTCGAAATGGTCTACAACTTAGGCAGCGGCATCATCATCGTCCCAATCGTCGGGATATTAGAGAACATAGCGCTCTGTAAAGCTTTCGGTATGTCTCAAACAATAATAAAGTGCACGTTAAACCTGATCTGGGTATTTTTTCAGCGAAAGGTAAACCCGTGGACGCCACGCAAGAGCTGATAGCCATCGGTTTGTGCAACGTCGGCAACTCCTTCGTGCAAGGATACGCGGGCACCGGCGCCCTGGGGCGCGGCGCCGTGAACAACGCCAGCGGCGTCAGGACCCCCTTCGGAGGTCTCTACACGGGGTTGCTCGTTATAGCGGCTCTCTTGTTCTTCACTCCCTATTTCTACTACATACCTAACGCCGTCCTGGGCGCGGTCATTATAGCGGCTACAGTTTTTATGGTGGAAGTTAAGGTGATCAAACCTTTATGGAGGACGAAAAGTAATTGAGTTTATTGAGGGAGTATGTATGTTATAACTAGCTTACTTGTTTCAGAAAGTTGTTTTATTATATTCATAGTGACGTTTGTATCCTGCCTCGTTCTGCGATTGGAAATTGGCATTTTGATTGGAATTGGTATAAACATTTTGCTGATACTGTATCATTCTGCTAGGCCAAAGATTTCAGTAGAAAAACTAAAAGTAAGTTCCCAAAGCTATTCACCAAAATATAGCACCAAAGTTACTCTAATAAATCTTTGTAGCTCTTTATTGACGCAACTTATTTATAATATTTTTAGACGAATGGTGGGATAGAGTACCTCCTCCTGGCGCCGGATAGATGCCTGATATTCCCATCGGTGGAGTACGTGAGGAATTTGGTGACGAAGCACAGCATCAGGCAGAGTGTGCCGGTGGTGCTGGATTGTTCGCACATCTACGGCGCCGATTTCACCGCCGCCACGGTCGTGGAGACTCTGATAAAGGACTTTGCGACGAGGGACCAGATACTGTTCTTCTACAACCTCAAACCGTCGGTGTGCTCGGTGTTCGAGGGATTGTCGCCGAAGGGGTTCGTGGTTTATTACAATCCCGACGATCTGGACGAGTTGCTTGTTAAGTATATTAAAGGGGAAAATGTGAAGAGAAAACCCGCAGTTATCTGCACTTATTAGGCTGTAATTATGATTATTTATGTTTTCTTAAATATTAAGTATTTACTGTTTCATGTTGAATTTTTGTTTTATTTATAACCAAAGATCCATAGAACCAATTTAGATGTTGTTCAGTTGTTGAAAGAGAGGTCGAAGTTTTATTTTTTGATAAATTCGAAGTTATTATTGACAATTTATTCGAAATATTTTTTTAAACCTATTTTTTGTGGAATGAAGCTGGATAGTACTACTATACTAAGTAGTGTACTATGGAGAGTACACTATAACTGTTAAACTGGAGAATACATTTCGTTTTCGGAGCTTTTCATATCATTTTCTTCTGTTTTGTATGGGAGTTCCTAAAATAAACAGAAGAAATAAAATTTGCTTCAGATTTCAAGACTATTCCACTCTCTACTCTACTATTTTTGTAGACACTCTTAATATACCTGTAGATTTTCTTCGTCCTTCAATTCATTCCTCGATAATTGATTTACTATTGCTACAGTATAACAATCGCCTAGCATATTATTTGTTGTACGGAACCTATCTCTGAAAAAAAATTACCAAATTTTATACAAGATTATGATACCTATTGTAAGAAAAACTTACACCAGCCAATCGACTGCGAACAATAAAGGTAAATTTAGCTGGGAAATCCCAATAGAATTCAAAATCATTTGTACCAATACCAAAGCGGCACTTGGTATACTTGCGGAAGAAAATGATATTATCGTGCAAGTCAACCTAAAAGCAAGTTTAATTTAATGCATTAAATAAAAATTAAATACACGTTCCCACCAAATGGTCACTAAAGTTCCAATATTAAGCGGAAACCCGCTCATTTGTCCCATAAATATAGTGGACACGGATAGGAACATAGCAGTACCGTCCATGTTGATGTTACATCCTATCGGCATGACGAACCTCGTTATGGCAGGGTTTAGCTTCAATTTATAATCCAATATATCGAAATTTAGAGGCAAAGCAGCGGCCGCCGAAGCCGCCGCGAACGCCGTAATTGTACTCGGCATAAACGAGAAGTAATACTTGAAAGGATTCTTTCGCAGGATAATTAAATAAATGAGTTGCAGGATCACCAGCTGGTAGAGGTAAACGCCGACGATGATGGTCGCTACGAACCATCCCAACTGTGTTATCACCAGCAGGACGTCGGCGACTGACAGCAATTTTCCTGCTATAATACTAAACAAACCGACGGGAGTCATCCAAATAACGCCTCTGACCATCTTCATGACCACGTCGAAGATGGTCGAAAAAAACTCCTTCACCCCATTTCCTTTGGAGCCGATTGTTCCTAATATACCGCCGAAGGTAATGCAGAAGAATACGATACCGATGTTATTCACACCTAATCTACAAATTTATATACAAATTTTTAGTGTTTTTTACAAAATCAGATGGATCCGTACGTACTTATAATTTAGGTTCCTTTCTGTTTTATTAGCTGCACCAATGGTATAGTTAATTTTCTCTACTATATCAGTGTGAGCCTAAAATTATATGGAATTATACATATACTTTATTGTTGCAATAAAGTCACACGTTGGACTAAAATGAACATTGTAAAAAAATATATTTTATTGTATTTACGCAAAAATTTCAGAACGATATTTAATCCTTCGCATACGAGGTGAATCTTATTAAATTATATAACTAACTCACCTGCTGGAAGGTAGCTTGAAATATATTGTCCGATATTACGTTTCTAAAAAAAGATATTTTACCATGAAAAGATAAAGATAATAACTGTATGAGTATAACACTAATTCCCATCTCTACACTGAGAATAGTGTCAAACGTTCTTGAATTAAAATTACCTGCCCAAATCCAGCAAACTATCCATCACTGATGCTTTTTCATTATTTCCCACAGCATCTCCTACCGAGATACCCACGTTTATGTGGCCAGGGCGGATCAAAACCGCCAGTAAAACGCCCAGTAGCGAGTTGAAACATGAAGTTAGGAAGAAGCAAGTGAAAGTCCGAAGAGCTATTTTTCCGTTGAGTTTAGCATTCAGGCTCGCAGTGCCGCTTATTAAGCTGGATATCACCAATGGAAGGATCAAAAGTTTCAAAGCTCTCATGTACAGTTCGCCGGGATACGAAATTAAAATGATCGTCGTTTCCGATAAATTGAGCTTTCTTAATGGAATTCCTGAAATTAATGAGTTCATTTTTGCGAGTCGATACGATTGGACTTACCAATAGCAACGCCGAATATCACGCTGAAAGTTGTGAGGAAAAACAACGAGTTTTTCTTCAGCCATTTACACATTACTCTGGTTTTGAACTTGCAGTTTTCCTGCAGTTTTTCTGATTGATCGGCGGTGGGACATTCTTTGTACTGCTTCATTTCGAATGCAAAGTAATATAAAACTGTTATGTTTAATTATAGCTTTCTTTCGCCGCTTCAAGTGTTTAATTATAGCATCAAAAATTGGGTTTAATTTGTTAAAACAATTCACTATGGTGCGGAATGCGTCTGGTAATTTCAATTAAGCAACCTCGTATTTGTTCGTGTAATATTTTTGTCGATTGGTATCCGTCTCTAGAGAAATTATACTAATCTCTGAAAGCAATTTTTAGTTTGAATTTTTGATGAGTTAAGCGTCCAATATCATACCTTTAGTCGCTTCCAAAATTTTATTCAAACTTAGATAAAGTGAAGAGAAATTCTTGCAGTTATAGTCGAATTAAACCACCTAACACACATCTAACGACTGACTTATTTAAATTTTTATTATCTTATCTAATGAAGAAAATAGCGGGCTATACAAATGTTTGTTAGCAAGTTATCTAAAAAGCACTAAAAAAGAGTAATATATTATCTACGGTATTTCCAAAAATTATATGTGAAAATGTGGAAAAGTCACATATAAATGGACTTTTAAATTTTGTAAATAATTTTGCAATAGTAAATTCGTGAATAAGTAGGAGGAATAGTCTATTATTTAGGTTCATGAGCAAATTAATACCGGATGTTTGGATTTTGAGATATTTAATTTTTTCCAAACCCCTACATTTTCAGAAATATTCAAATAAATCAGAACACACTGTATTTAGGTATAGGGACCCTTTATGAAACTATAGTTCATTTTTCAAGGACAATTTAAAAATGTCATTAAGTATAGGGTGTTCCATAGGAAAAAATATAACTTTGATACACCACACTTTTTTGGGACACCCTGTATGGTTCAAAATATTTTTAAAATTTAGCCCTTGCCGAGTTGTATATGCCTGCTTCAATAGAAATCGAACCATATATACCGTAAGATTCCGCGGCGTCCGTCGTGACTCACCCTGTATAAATATAAAACTATAAAGAGGCTTTTTAGAGAGACGTTAAATAAAGGCAATTTTATCGAAAAATTATATGCTCAAAAATCGCTAAATAAGAAAAAATTGAAGTACTCGTAGATACTATTGAATAAAGCATGAATCCCCAAAATACAATATTCTTCAATTAGACATAACTACGTCAACGTGAAGTAAATATTTTATTATTTTAATTATCCTTTTCAAAGTTGATAGGCTCCTACCCATAAATATTTCATTGTCGTGTCAAGTTTGAGAAAACCCCCCGTTCGTGCATCCGAAACATACCTGTTTACTCCGGTCGTCCGGACTACCGCCTGCGATGTAAACAAACCGCGGAAAACGCGGAGTTTCCTTTGTTATTTACGCTCGAGAATCGCTTTAAAATCGGTCAAAAACAGGCAAAAACCCAGCCCGAAATGGACGAAGACAACGCCTGGGTCTTCGACTCGCTAGTCACCTTCCTCAACGGCCCCATCTGGAACGCCCCGCTGCAAACCTTCATCGAAGAGAAATCGCTCAGTACGTATGAGATATACAATAGAAACAATACCAACTTTCACTCTCAAAAATGTTGCAGTATTCGAACCGAACGTCGACGACAACGAAGACTATCAAAAAATATTCGATGAATTCAAAAATTTGGTAGGCAAACTTTGCTATGTAGTAATCTCTTGATAAAACCGCGGTGTTTTAAAGGTGGACTTCATGCTCGGCACGTTCATGGAGGACATCGGCATCACATCCGAACAATTCGAAAACGCCTGCAAAGAGAGCAGGAAATACCACGTAGCCTTCGATCCTGTAAGCATCATTTTTTTAGAAACTTCCTGAACATATTTACAAACGAATTTTTAAGAGCTCGTTCGAGCAAGTCTGGGCGGCGAACGACTACGAAATGTTCAAGAAAATGATGACCCAACGGAACGTGGAGCTGCAACTGCAGGCGCTGGAGCTCATCGAGAGGAAGTACGGCATCACCCCGCAATCGTTCGTGCCCAAAGAGAGAGCCGGTAGGGAAAACGCGGGCGTGACACGCGAGATCCCGGTGACCGTGGAGAAATCTTCTAGATTGGAAACCGATGTTATGGAGGAGGTGTCCAAGTAAGATTACACCATTCGCGCGTTAAGGGAATTAATTGTAATTATGCTTTAAGGAGCTTTTCGAAGGAGGATATTGAGCAGCCGTCGGCACCGATTAGAGTTGAGAATATTTTGGAAGAGAAAGAACATTTATCAAAAACTTTAGAGGAAACTAAAGGTAGATTAACGCTTATTGAAGTAGTATCAGTATTGAATGTTTCTCGTGTTTTATAGAAAAATATTCCAAACAGGAGTTACCAAAGAAAACCACCACCAAATCCGAAACTAAAGAAGAAATTGAACAAACTAAACAAATCGAAAACAAGCAAAAGGTACCACTTGACAAAAACATAACACACATACAAATAAACGAGGAGTTTTCGTTCTCAGGTCGACGCCATAGAGTTGAAAAAGCGGCAGGAGTACCTGCGAGCTCAGCGCGACAAGCTGGTGGCCCTGAAGAAAGAGGTCAGGCGCAAGCAGCTGGACTCGACGGCGTCGACTTCCAAGACGGGCGCGCGCCCGAAATCGGCCAAAGCCGCCCAAGTGGTCCTAACCGGAGGAGCGCCCAACGTGGACACTCATCAGTTGCAGCTGCGCAAAACGCTGGCCGAGAGGCTTCGAGCTGAAGTGGTCGCTCCAAATAATTAATATGGTGGTTATCGGGGAGATGTAGTACATTCATTGAACTTACGCGGGTTTCGAGTTAAGAGTTTGCGATGAATTACAATGTGGGTATCTACAAATTTTATTTTTTCATTGGGTGAATATGAATTGGTCAAATTTATTAGGAATAAAATCGAAAATGTAAATTTAAAAGTTATATGAAATTAATCAACCCGCTTAGTGCAACTGATCCGAATTCTGGAAGAAACTGACCATTTAAGACCAATAAATCTTTTAACCCGAAACCTGAGTAAGGTCAGTGAATGGACTATACTATTGGTAATAATTCCGGAGTGCCTGTATTTTTTTTAGTTTCCGGAAAAAGTAAGTCACAAGGTTTAAAAAAGGTTGCACTGTCCACTGAAATTGCACTGCTCTCATTGATGTTACGGATTACGAAAAATAATCTTAGATATTAGGATGTTGCTAATGGAAAAAAAAGGAAAAATAAACGGCCTTTTACTTATTATTTATTACCTAAATATATAACGAGTACATTTTGTATTTTACATTTCTTTAAAACTGATTTGTTACATAAAAATGAATATTAGAAAAATGGCTTTTCATGTTTTATTTCTTTATTTAAAAATGCATTTACGGCTTGCTCGTATAAAAAATATGGAAGATGATGCCGACTTTACGACTGATTACTTATCAGTGGCGCAACCAAAAGTTTTCTACTAGCCAATTGTTCCTCTACAATGTTCTCGTAGCATCGATTAACCGATGGTACATTATAATTAGTCAAAAAAGTTACGCAAATTCCAATAAGTCGAACAACTTTAGCGGAATTTTTATGTTCATTCGCTCGTTCTGAAATCGGGGTATGTACAAGAGTAAAATAACTTCGAACAGGAATATATTATGTAGTTGAAAACCTTTTAAAAGCAACGGGAAATCATTTTACTCCACTAAATTTCTTCGAGCAGTGCACAGAAGTAATCGTGTAATATTGCTGCTTGATGTATCCTTGAGCGAACTAAACCTTTCAAATAAATATTATTTACACACTTTAAGTCCACTTCGAAAAATGTTTATCAGTAACCAAACAGTCCGCGGATTTATCAATAAATCGCATTTTGAATGTAGATGACGAGTAACGTTTAGTTTGCATTAGGAGAGATACAACAGAAATTAGGGTCATTTAAGTAGCTGTCATTGGCTAATGTTTGATTATAATTTATTTACATCGGTAGTCATTTTTCGTTAAAAAAATCAGATATTTAGTTTTTATAATAAACGTCACAAGTCAATAAAGTGCTCAAATTCGTGTTAAAATTCTAGAGCAAAATTTTTAATTTCGCAATGTGATCTATAAATAATTCAAAATAAAGTTTATTTTTAAATAAATTGGACAGAATCGAAATTATATAAACTTTATTGATCACATTAATTACAAAATTATAGTGGAAGTTAAAACATTTTTTTAGTCTAATATTTATACTTCATACTGCATGTTTTAGGAGCCTACTCAACAAACTCATCGAATTCGATAAATCAAAATTGTTGAAGATATTTTACAAAAGCGATTCCTTGCACTTTTTGAATTAGGTTCGTGTCATTTTCTGTCATAAAGTGTGAATTTTTTAAAAATTAAAAAAGCAGGACCCCTCTCCCTCACCGCAGAACCCTCTTAGAATTAAAGATATCTAAAATTGTGCCAACATTTTTTGACTTTCTTTTAGAACTAACAAACTTTATGATAAAAAATAAAATCCACCAACATCCCAATTAAAACGATTTTTGTAATATTGTTCTCATTGAAACACACAATCAGTATGAAGTATTAAACAATCTAAGCACTCCAATGACACTACACATTTTTTTAGATATATTCCATACTAAATGCTATCTACTGCTAGATTTACCTTACTCTACATTAAATTTCACAATGCATAGAACCTCACAGTTATAAACAATTCAACGCCTTGCTTTCATTTTTTACCCCTTTTAAATCAATTAAAAACATCCATTACTTTTTTACTTAGTACCACTAAATTTCTCTCTTGAACACACAACATATTAACATTGCAATAAACTGGCGTTTTGAATAAATAAATTTTAATGCACATTTTTTGTAAAAATAAGTGTTACCATAATTTAGAATGATTTTATTATTGTAGTACATTATAATTTAAAAACAACAAGGGTATATCAAGTAGCAAATGACATTAAATTGAGTACATTAAATTTCTTGTTTGTGCAAAATGTATTATAAAAAAAACAATTAATTTAACCTTTAAAAGCAGTCATCAGAAAACGATGCCAAAAGTCGATGAATCTGTACCGCTATTCGTAAATTCCTTGTGAAATATAAACTTTTCTCATCAATTCACTCAATAATTCATATAATAGTGAGCTTTATTATACAACTGCTTTTCTCTTTCAGAATAAACATGATTTATCTTAGGATTCGACATCAGGAGCTTGTATAAACATTCCAGCAAGTTTTCTTATACGACAGAGTATGATTATTCATGTGAATAAAACAACAAAGGACAAAAATAAATAAAAATCATTAATAACAATTTTTCAGTCCATAACATCACAAAGTCAGTAAGAATGAAAAATCATTAAAAAAAATTTTAACAAGTTGGTACGGACTCGCAGACATTAATTCACATTTTAATTTTACAAAAATTTACTTACTTATCAATACAAACGCCTTAAGATTAAACAAAATCGAGGTAAGCTTTAGAACAAACCCAGAAAGTTACGATTTTTATAATGGATTCCAAACGATAAGAGTTATGAAACATGTTTGATTCAAACCTGAATGAGTGCTGTTGTGTGTGCTAGAGATGCTAAAATAAATAGAAATAAATACAAATTGGAAAAAATCATTCGTTTTTGGTTATTGTAAAATACAAATAAATAAGTTTAATTTAACAATTTATTTTAAATGTACGTTTTAACCCTACACCTTATTTTTTAAATTCCTTAAAACACTGATGTTGATAATTGAAACAAAAATGGTAAACGTAAAATACCTAAATTATTCAGTCTCTTAAAAAAAAGGTAAGAGGAAGTTCATTCAATTAATCAGCACAAAAAAATTATATACAATCGTCATTCCTTCTCATTAATTACCTATAAGCCAATTAAACGTTTTCTTTTAAGAGAACGAATAATGTTTCATTTAAATATAATTCTCATATATAAATAGATCGTTATCTGTTAAAAAACTCTAAAATTCATATACATGGAATTAATCTTTTGTTTTTTGTTTTTTTTTTCAAAACCGTACGAATTCCTAATTTCGGAAACGATAAAAGACAAAAATCAATCTGCACCAACTGATTCTTATTTGATCTTCAACAACATGCGTGTATTTTACCTTTTCCGAGATATACTTGATAGTTATTCATTTGTACCGTTAAGCTAAGTCAGTATATTACAATTTGGAAGTTTAAAAAAGTTGTGCCTTTTTTATAAATTCAGTAACTGCAAACTGGAAAAAACAAAAAACAACGTAATAAATATATCTCTTGTCCTCTCACGACAACCACAATTTTAAGTGTTTCCATACAATTCCATTAGAATTAACAAACTGAATGTCACAATGTCCCTTTTGTCATTTAAACAGCTGCTTTTTGCCACTGGTAGATTAATTGACCATTCGTGTTTTTTAACACATTTTGTAACGTTTTTTTTTTCTTCATTTTTCACTATGAGATCACACTTTTGCGATACGTTACCGTTTGCAGTAACGTACTTACCTGCAGATCGTGTTACTCGACTATGACAGTCTCGGCCTCTTCGCCACCTCGCCGTTTTCGTCGTCTTCCTCGTCCGAATCGCCCCCTTCGTAATCAACCAGGCCCTATAAACAAACAAACATATAATCTCCGGAGACGGCTCTTGTTTCGATTAAAAAACTTACTCTTTTGATAAGCTGCGTTTTGTTCTCAGCGAAATCGATTGGACTCGCCGCGACTTGTCCGCCACCTGTCGTTGTATTACTATTGTTGTTATGAACTTGCGGCGATTTCGGCGAGTTGTTGTTCATTTTAGGACCGTTCGCTTCCGTGGGAGGCCTTTTTTCCATGATCTTACCGATGCTATCTAGATCGGGATCCAGTTTCTTTAGTATATCATTGGCAGCGGGTAAGACTGTTTCGGTGTCTTCGTAATCGTCGTCCTCGTTGAACCAAATCTCCTCTTCCTCGTCCATTTGCCTTTGATCCCTGCGGTAACGGCTGTTGCGTAATATAGACGGTACACTGCAAAAATTATAAAATAAAATTACCCGATTATTGCCTCATTAAACAACAAAATCGCTTACCCGTCCAAACTATTCCTCTCCCTGTCTTTCAGCTTGTCCTGGTGTTGATCGTACCTCATTTTGAGCGATTTGAACGTCTTAACGTAACAAATGTCGTCCAAACATTTCCCGTAGTTTTCCACGACGTGCGAGCACAACGTTTTGATATCTTCCACTTGGATAAATTCGAACATTTCGATAATCGCCGAATCGAGCAGGTTGTACCGGCCGTTGTTCCTCACGAAAGCGTCGACGACCGGCGCAAAAAGATTGCCCTTAATAATGTACCTATAGAATACATACGCCGATTAGAAAATCTCAAAATAAAGCGCGAATTTGATAAATCACCTGTTATAAAATTCATCCTTAAGAGCAATGAGCTTGCGCATGAATCTCAAGGCGCACAACACCAGAAACTTGTGTCTCGATTTCATCAAAACCAAGATGCGCCTCAACAAGTCCTTGTTTAAGATGCAGTTTTTTATGTGATAAGTGTGATGTTCGACGCAAAATGACAGCAACTCCAGGATGAGACCCAATAATTGGACGCTCCTGTAATCCTCCTTTTGCGGCTTATCGTGTACAGTATTTTCCAATAATGGAGCTGAAAACGCAGAAAATTGTCAATAAAATTCCATAAATCCTTAGATCAAATTTCTTACCTATAAGGATATGAACACTGTGTTTGTAGAAAAAGTTCAAGAAATCGGTTTTTTCGGATTTGTTAACAGACGCCAGCATGTTTTCGGGATCCAACAGAATTCTCAGCACGCCCATTAATTGAACAGCACCACCTAATTCAGCGTCCGTATCACAAATCATTTGTTCTATTATTATATTGAGAAGCATCTGGTCCTGAAAACAGAATGCAATTATTAACCAGAAGAATAGGGACAGTATCATTAACAATCTATTAGGCACACATATTAGAATAGAATCTGTTAACAACATCTTACCTCATCAGTATTACTGGCCTGCTGTAGAGTGTACTCCCTCACTACAGACGGTGAAAATTCTATTATGTAGGTAAGTATATCGATAGAAGCAGTCTTTGTTTTAAGGTCTTCCATAGCAAGGGTGATCTCGAGCGCAGGCAGGATGCCAAGAGAAGTGAGCGTCTTGTAAAAAGATTCCTTCGCTTGGGGTTGTAGATTCTGAGAGTAGTTGCAGAATTCCTTGAGGAACAGCACCAGATCTCTTCTCTTAGAATCGGGCGTGTGTACGTCCGTTAACATGGAGAACAATTCGGTGAGGAACTTCTCGTCTTCTTGTACTAACGATACTATTTCAACTTTATTAAAAAATATAAAACTACTTAACGTAGACAACATGTTCTCTTCGAAAACCGATGGTGTTGGTAGGACAACGTCTTGAATGTATTGTACTCTAAACGTTTGATGGATTTTCGAGAGCAGCTCTACGTTTTTGATGGGGATCGCTTCTTTGAACGTAGCATGTCGTTTAAGGTACTCCCTGTGTCTCTTGGGAACCGGAGAAGATGGATCATATTCTAAGCAACCGACCACATCGAAAATTAGTTCGTCACTAAACATCACATCAAAGAGTACATTTTTGTTTAATAAAAATATATTTTTGAATATGTCATATAAGTGGTGTAGCCCGTCCATACTCTCTAAATCTTCGCACATATGAAACAAGTTTATCAGTTTTCTAATGTACCCCTCACTCTCGATGGCGGCCGCTAATTTTTCCTTTCTCATCGGGGAACTCAAACAGTTACTTATTAATTCACTGATGTCTTCTAAACGGCCAATTTCACAATTAGGTAACTCGATCGGCGGCGCGGAATCGGACATATCATCGAATCTCTCATCCTCGGACTCTTCGACGATGTCTTGGGTGATTTCCACGGAGGGGTCCTTACCCTGCACTTGGCAAATCTTCTCCCAGATCTCATCGCAACCCAATTTTTCTTGAAAACTCAAAGCTAAATCGAAATTATCGCCCTCCGACCATACTATTAGAGTGTCCTGTTGCTTCTGGTAGGCGGTGTCCGGTTGAATTTTCGATTCCAACAATAAAGACCCGTCACTTTCGGCACGCACTAATAATGATATACCTTTCAACCGATCTACGTACGATGAAGAAACATGTCCAGTGCCTCTATCATCCCATTGTCTATCAGCATTCAATGCGTACAGTTTTACCCTTCTTCTCGTATCAGTCATGATTGGAATTTTTTTCAATCCTTTACACTACACTGGCAAATTTCCCACATTCCGTCTGTAAAGAAAATTCAAAAATTGACATAATGCAATCATAAACATATATATTTATGTCAGATGATTGAGTCAATAAACAAACAAATACACTGAATTATCGATAGTATTGAAGGGTAGTAAGTAAACATACGAACCTGAATAGCCAACAATTTGCCAATTAGTGTTGGGAAATGTTGATTTCTTTTAGACTATTCGACTAATAATACTATAAATGCAAACACGCTCAAATTATTTCGGCAGCGAATTACGGGGAATTTGAATATATCACGTGTCGGTACGAGTTATAGAATATAATAATCGCATAATACACTTTATCTACTCAAACGATTAACTTCGCACTTCATTCCGATTTCTTTTTGTAAATGGACACAACATTAACTTTCGCCATATTGAATTCACAACAACGCTCATAGGGGGCAGGGAGACGTGTAGTTTGCAAGGGCAAACGAGCCTCTTCTGCGCATGTCGCGCCGCCAAATTCAATTGCGAAATTTATTTTCCAAAGAAAACTCCATTATAACAACTTATCACTATCGTAATAATGATTTGAACATTTTGTATATAAGCTATTTATATTTCAATTTGCTAATATATCGATTCGTAAAAACTAATGATTCGAAATGAAGAAATAATTATTAAAAATGTTTCATTAAAAAAATTAGTTTAATGTAATAACGTCTTAAAATGTAATTACTTCTTATTAGTTATTTGTTAACAGATATTTACGCTTAATTGAAATGTGATTTCATTATAATCGCTCCTACTCGATTCTATTTTCAGGTAATTCTTAACAGTGTTGTCAGATTCTTTTGACAATTGACAAATCATGTGGAGTTTCCTTTGTTTGAAATTAATTTACCAACAAGTATTTCTAAAAGAAACTTGTACAAGTGCATTTATATAGCAAATAAAGCATTAAAACATGTAAATAATAACACAGAACAATTTATTTAAATCCCCGAATCTTTTTATATTAAAAATGTGGCGCCATTTGACAACATTGGAAAATTCTATACAGACAATAATATAACTTATACAATTGATTTCCTTATTTCCGGCTTATGGTATTATATTAATTATTGGGTGTCGATTAATATTGTTAAATTTTAGAAGTCCACAAACAAGTATTTCAATTAATTAAAATTTTGAATTTAGACAAAAAAACAATACTGTTCTGTTGTAGAAACGCAAACGCAAAAGACTTACGTCAACTGTCACCATGACATATGTCAATGTCACTATTGCGTTTGTCAAAAACGTTGTTTTTATTTTTAATTTCAACGTAAATATGAACACAACAAACATTTATTAAAAGAATACGTGAGAAATTCAAAAACTCGGTACAAATCTAATTGTAAGTAAACTAGCAAACATGGCTTCAGTACAGGAAAGACTTCAACTAAAGAGAGAGCCTCTAGACAAGTGGTCAGTTAGAGAACAGTTATGTCTCGCTTCGGCCGTTTGTCGCAGCGGCGACCAAAATTGGATGTCGGTGTCGAGGGCTCTGAAGCCGTTCGGTGAACCCAACCGGCCTGCGGATTGGTTCCACCAAAAGAACTGCGCCGCGCAGTATGGCATGCTTTTAGGGAACGTAGAAACGCCGAAGAGAAAAAATAAAAAAGGTAACGCAGAGACCGGCATCGAAACGCCGGCGGAAAGTATATTGAAAAAATTGGTAGCAGAAAGACAGGCGGAATTGAAGAAGCTACTCGCCGATGAAAAGGCCGAGTACCAAAAATTGCAGAAAGAAATGTTATTACTCCAATCAGGTACTATTAAAGGTATCAATTAGGTTCGTTTAATCGTTGAAATTGTTTTAGGTAAAATAACCGAAGAACAACTGGATAAATGGTGTCAAGAAATAGAGGACGAAGAGAACCGTAAAGAACAAGAAACCGTTACACATGCTCAATGGCTGAAAGAGCGCGAATTGCGAAAACTAGAAATTGAGAAGGCCTGGCGACCCGTTAAAACACCTGTTGGGCAGAAGCGTAAAAATTCCGATATTTTAGACAATCTCATTGAACAAGAACATACAGAAGAAGTTCCTCAACAACAGAGTTACCCTCAAACTCCTGAACCTTCAAAACAGGCCATTTCACCTTTACTTACTAGCCTATTAAAATCGCCTTCACAAACTCAAAGTACGCCTATCTTACACACGGCTATTACAATTAGATCAATGCCCAATACGAATCCAATGATATCAAGTTTATTAAATTCTTCAACTGGTGTCACGGTAATTTCATTAACTTTATTGGAATTAACTTTAGAAGTAATCGTTGTTATAAAATGTAGGTTTCCCAAGGTTTGCAACAATTGGTAATTTCTGCCATTGGCCAAGAAACATCACAACTCATCCAACAACAACAACAACAGCAGCAGCAACAGAGGCAACAACAACAGACTCAACAACAACAGACTCGTTTTGAACAAGTTCAACAACAGCACCAGCAACAACAGGTTCATATTACAAACGATATCCTAGACGATGCCAATTTACCCAACATAAAAATAGATGATTTGGCTAATAGTATTTTGGTTCAAGACGGCCCTCTTCCAGAAATTAAAAAGGAGGAAGTCGACGACATTATTTCAGAAATAATACAAGGTACATTTGAAGAATTTGTGAAGAAAAATGTACAACTAACGCGAATTTTTGTAATTCCATAGCTGATCCTGAGCAACATCTCCAACTCGATGGAAATGGAGACATAAATTTAGGGCTCGATGATTTTGATGATGATGAAGCATTGGAAGAGTTACAGCAACAGCAAGAACAAGAACAACAACAACAGGAACAACAACAACAACAGGAACAGCAACAACAATCTAAGGAAGAGATCAAAGTTGAAAGCAAAATTGAAGAGAAAGTACAGAACCCAGTCGTAGCACCTACTCCAGCAGTCGACCCCTTTGAGTTTCAAGAAGATCCAGTCATTCACATGGAATCATCTCTTAAGGTAAAGTAACTATTTAAAATTGATTGAAAGTGAATTAACTATTTATACACCTTAGGCGTCGTCAATAAATAAGCAAGATAATAAACCGTACGTACCTCAATATCAACAACAAATTAATCAAGTTGAAGTTAACAACCCTGTACAAGCACCTACAGAAAGCTCGGAGCAAAGTAACATTCATAACGTTGAAATGGCCGAAGAAATAAAAGAACTAAAAGAAAGCAACGTTGATCCAAAACAGGAGGTACTTTAATTTTGAAGTTATTAGTTTGGAGTTAAAAGTTTAAACTTTCAGGCACAGCCTTCGAACGAGCCTTCTGCGCCCCTTCCTCCTTCACAAGTTGATACACCAGAGATACACACAGTGAAGGTTGAAGAATCTACCGCTGTACCTGGTTCTGTAGAAATTGTAGAAGTAGTTGTCACCGATGAAGATGATGATACCGATAAAGACGCAGTAAAGTCTGAAATTCTGAGCTCCACCAAATCGGATGATTCTGAAGATGTTAAATCTAATCAAGCTGAACCTGAAGAAAAAGTCAAATCTGAAGAGACGGAAGATAGCAGTCCTACGGAAAGCAAAGTATTGAACTCGTCATGTGCATATTTTTCGAATTGTACTGTAAATGTCGATACAATTTTTAGGATACAGGTTCTGTTGCTACTTTCGAAGAATCATCGGAGGCATCAGATGTACCATTGGAAGTGAAGAAAGAAATTATCGAGTCCAACACTGATGGACAAGACAGCGGCGATGGGAAACCCGAATTAGGCGATGAATTGTTCGATGAACTGAACATAGAAGTGAAATTTGACAAAAATGCGAAAAAAAGGGATTACACAAGAACAAGAAAGAAGGAAGATAAAGGTTTCGATATCCTTCTTGCAATTGAAAAAGCTCATCTAGAAGAATCTGAACTCACCGAAGAAACGTTATCTGACGCTACCACCGATACAGATAAGAAGGACGTGAAATCCTTGAAAATTAAATCAGATGTCGATCGATCGAACAGTCCTTGGACGGAAGAAGAAGACGGAACAAAGGGCGGTAAAAGGCGATATTCGACTCCGGTTACACCAACTGATTCTATACCAAATTCCCCGGCCTCGTCTTCCGCCTTTTTGGAGGACGACAGGGAATTTAGAAACTGGAAAAAATCTGTGATGTTAGTGTACAATCGGTTAGCAGCTCATAAATACGCTTCGCTATTTTTAAAACCCATCACTGACGATCACGCACCAGGTTGGTGATGCACGATGTATGTACTCAAATGTGGATTATAAAATAATTCTTTTAGGATACAGCAATACCATTTATCGTCCAATGGATCTTCTCACTATTAAGAAAAACATCGAGAACGGTACCATTCGATCTACGCTAGAATTTAAACGCGACATTATGCTGATGTTTATGAACGCTATCATGTACAATAGAACTAATAGTTTGGTCTACTCGATGGCCTCAGAAATGCAACAAGAATGCATCGAACCTATTGATATTCTCATGATGGCAGAGAGCCATAAAGATGTTTCGCTTAGAAGAGAAACTAGAACCAGTGACGTAGGTGAGTTCAAAAAGAATCCGACCGGTGATAAACCAATTCGTAAGTACAAGTTCGTATTCATTAATTTCGTTGTGTTAAATGAAATTTGTTTCAGGTACAAAAAGAAAGCGAACGTTAACTGATGAAATTTTAATAAAGTCTACTACAAAGAAAAGGAAGGATGAATAGTGGAAGAATAGGCGTGAAATGCTGTTTTTAATTTTGTTTTTAGAATCAAGTTTGAATGTGATTGATGTCATGAATAGGAAGAGTTTTCTTATTTTAAATTAGAAAATAATGTTTATTTGTAATTAGAGAATTACATTTTTTAATGAATTTAGTTGATTTATTACAAAGTGAAATTGCAACAACATCTAAAGTAATTTTGATTGGATCTATTGAAATTGGTGCTGTATGTTCGATTAGTACAAGTCCTCGAAAAAAGAAGAACTATGCCATTAACCTCATTTTCATTTAACCTATAAAAAGTTCTAATTCTTGAATGTTTATTTAAATAAAGCTAATATGGAAACAGAATTAACGAAATCAACTTTTTCATGTAAATTAGGAATTTTAAGCCGTCCAGATGGTTCCGCAATTCTTAGTAAAGGTAAATTTAACACATAAGTTACAAAAAACGCGTATCTTTATTCCTGCAATTTTAGATAACACGACTGTAATAGCTGGTATTTACGGCCCAATTGAAGTCAAACTCCAAAAGCTTTTAATTGATAAAGCCTCCGTTGAATGCCATTATCGTCCTAAAAGCGGTTTACCAGGTAAATGAATTGTACTTAGTCTACTTCGACCATTAACTCTACTCGTTTATTCCACAATTTCCTCTTAACAAAAACATTTTTAACGTAGGTATCGAAGATAGAATGCACGAGTCAATAATTCGAAACACATGTGAAGCTTCCCTAGTGGCTTCGTTGCACCCCCGAACAGCCGTGTTGGTGGCGATACAGGAACTTCAGAACAGCGGGCAATTAATATCTTGCGCAGTCAACGCGGTTTGTTTGGCTTGTTTGCATGCAGGAATTGACATGAAGTTTATGTTTGGAGCCGTCACATGCTTTTCGAACGGAGTTGAAATGTCCCTAAATCCTCCAGCACAAACCCATATTAAAGCAGTGTTTGTGTTCGTTTTCGATTCAACAGAGAAAAGAGTGATTGCTTCTCACACGAAAGGAATTTTTACGAAAGAACAGTTTGAAGAAGCTGTGGAATTATGCAGAAGTGGTAGTGATCAAGTGTTTGATTATTACAAGAAAGTTTTAACGAATTAAACTCGTTTAAATGGACTTATTATTTTATATTAAATTTAAGTTGTTAGATAATTTGTGATTTTTATACCATATTATAAAAAACAATTCAATAGGATATTAAAATACAGAGGTACATAAAATATATATTTATTGTATAAATACAAAATTTAAGTTATACAAACAGCAGAAATGCAATCTGGTTGCTTTTTCCATATTTAATTATGGCATAATTTACTTATATTACAAATTATATGCAGTTTTGTTTTCAAAACAGCGTATTTTATAGTTTAAGTTATGTATTTTTCCTCTCAATACCATAGTTTTTTATGCTAATTTTTAAGAAATACATTTACATGTAATTATGAATTAACCATTCATAAAGTTACTTGTTTTAATTTACTTTGTAATCTATTTTTAAATTATTATGCCATGTAAAAAATGAATCGTGCCGTAACAAACAACCCTACTAGTTAGAAGAAAAATAAAATTACATAAATTATTCAATGCATTCATGGAGCAAATTTTAAGTTATTTTGGTGTTAACATTATTTGTTAATTCAACTATTCATAATCTCTAGGCCGCAAGCCAAAAAACAATTCTTATTTAATTATTTAATCAAAATTAAAAAACGTTCCACTTCTTTCGAAAACAACTAACTGTTAATTAAATTCAACCATGAAGTACATACATGCATTTTCCAAAAATAATTTATATACAATTTCTCTATGTAATTATCATTTCTCCGCGTATCCGCCAAACTGCTTCAATGAATAATCGCTACCATTTTTTAGTTCTATGTACTCGTCGATACTTTAGCAACAACATTCGCTGCAGGTAATAAATGATACGACAACCACCAAGATAAAATGGGCTGCGTAGCTCCTAGGAAGAGCAGAAAATAGAGACGCCTCTTGTGGCCCCCCACAGACTGAGTCCCATAGTAATCTTCCTGTTGGGTACTGCCAGATAAAACTTGAACCTGTTAAATTAATAACCATTTGTAATATATTAAAACCGTGAATTATGGTGAGTAGAGATCTTACCTTTAGACTTCTAATTAAAAAGAACGCTAATGTTAAACTAGTATACAACAAGCAGGAGTAGTATCCTATTTTTCCAGCGACAATGCTGACATCAATGGAGAATATAATTCCAACAAATTTATATCCCGAGTAAGCCAAAAGGTCTAGTGTACTTAGACTGGTTTCGACTTGGATTATATATCTAAAATTTCATAAATTATTTTAAAAATTTTACTCAAAATACAAATGTTTTTACGTACAAAGTCGCCCAATAGATAACGATTTCGACTAACCACCAAGCCAAAGCCGACGAGGCCAAAATTACTATATGTTCTGGAGTAAAACGATCCTGCATTCCCAACGCCAATCCTGCTGTGACTACGTACGTTGCAAAACCCATGATAGGTATGTATAAATCAGGAGCATTTATTTCATATCTAGGCTGAATAGGGCCGTCCTGTTCATATTTAACAGACCAATCCTAAAAGAACAATCAATATAAATACAAACAATATTTCAACAATTACCATTCCTCACTCACTTTATGTGTAAAAGGGAAGAACAGTAAGAGCATTTTGGTCAGGACATAATTAGTATCTACAGCGAAGTAGTATTTTAATTTCGAGACAGGCACGAATTTTTCGACTTCGTTTTTTAACATGGTTTTTCCTGCGCCTGCTAACTGCAAATCAACAGAAACATTAAGCTTATTATTAACTTTAAATAATAATAATCTTTTTACCTGTTGTCCATATTGCATTGCCATATCTTGTACAATAGGTTGACTTATAACGTTCATGCTCGGGGCCGTTATTGAATTCGTATTAAACGCCGGCTGGTTCATATTCGGAGTAACTGAAGGACTTGGATACGAATTCACCTGAGGGTATCCTACAGAAACAAATATGTATAAAAATTTATATAAATAAATGTTAAAAAAGGAAATTTAGTTACCTGCTTGAAATGAATTTACATTCGTGTACATATTTTGTTGTTGGGGTTGCTGTTGAACCTCAGGATGCTCATAGGGCGTATATCCCATAGAGTTTACATCGGCAACCCTTTTCAACTTCCTGCCAAGGGCTGCAATATCAAAATTTTAGGTTGGAATTGTTTGATGCAAATGAAATGGTAAATTCCGGCAGAAATACTTACGTTGCCTGCCCCCCATGTTTGCGTTATAATGCATTACAACGAAATTTGAATAAATTATCACTTAAATAGTTTATATTTATTACAAATTTATAGAAAATAACATAATAGACACGTCACTGTGACATTTGTGCCGAAATGTCATTGTCATGTTGACGCATCGAAAATAACCTGTTGAGAAATTTTTCTGAAATGTTATTTATGACTGAAATATAGTTAATTATTGTCGTGTAGTTATAGCAAACGTATTTTTGTTAATTATTGTTTATTAATATTGATATTTTACATAACCACACTATCTTTTTATTAATAAGTTGGCAACAATTGTTCATATTTGAAGTTGGCCACACTGCTTATACCAAAAATTCTGTTTTCGTGAAATCTAATTTGAAACAGCTGTCTACTAGATGGCAGTAGTTGTATAATTTTTTGTTATTTTCGATTTTTTTCACTACCAGTCGTTTGAAGAGTCGTAAAAAAGTTAATATCCTCTTCTATTGGTTGTTATAGTAGCATAAAAGTATACTTAAAAGAGTTTCCCTATTGCAAATGTGCTAAGTACGTCCGAGAAATTGCATCGTAAAAGAAAAGATGTAATCGTGATCGTAATGACTGTTCGATATCATAAACTTGAATCAAATGGTAAAACTTACGGGGATTGAAATTTTTTGCACTAGTAAAATATTGTAGTGTTATTCATTAATAAGTGGTTTAAATGAAAAAAAAAATTATCGGTAAGAATCACGTGCTAATTTTATGAATTTAATATTCGTGTATAGTCTTTCCAAAGTGAATTTCATAAGTATATTATAATGAAAACGACAATTAAATGTTGGTTCCTGGGGGTATTTATTTCATCGCCTCAATAATTGCAATTATCAAATTTATAGCGAATTTAATGATTGATTTGCTTTATTATATTTTCAGCCCATTTTCAACTGACTTTGGAAGCGCTATAAAATATGTTACACCGAACGAGTCTACGATGTCGTGGAAGCGACATAAACTTGAATGAAACGTTATGATGAACTTCATTTTATAGTTTTTCGTACTTCAGACGGTTTTTCAACGTGCACGTGCGCTGCCTTTCAGGTAATTTTTATGATACGACCATTAAATTCTTCTTTAAGGCTAATATAAAATTGTTTATGTGGTTTTCGGATTGTTAAAACGACTGCGGAATCTGCGGGAAGTGTATTTTCGGTCGTTTTATGTTTTATGTTTTGTTTGCCGAGTGGAAGAATTTTGGTAATGTGTGGAGTGGGTGTGGAAATCTCTACAAAGTTAATTTGTTTCTTGTTTAGTCCGTTTTTCCTATAAGACAAATGCAAAGTTGTATGCAATATGGTCTATGTGAAAAACAAAGGCAACTTCCATTAGTCCCAATATAAAGAAAAAAGAAAGAGTGTTTTCTCTTTTAATAGTTTCTTTGTTCAACTATGCTTTATATATTTTCCAAAGCTCTTCATAATAATATATTCTTGTAGAATGTTTCAACTAAGAAGTTTATAATTATCAATTCATAAATTTTCATGCACACACCCACATATAAAAACTGTAATTGGCAAATTTTTGGGAATTTTAATCGCTGAATTTAGTTGCATTTCATTTACTGCGAAACTCCATTTATGATGAATGGATTTTCGGCCTCTGCCAAAAATTCCTTCCGCATGTTGTAGATGATAGTTATTCGAATGAAAATCCTGTATCCAATTTAAATTTGAATGCATAACTTCAGTGCTACAGGGAACCCTGCTCGCATATGAAATACTAGATAGATATAGGACAAAACCTTCATATGCCAGAATGCCACTTTCTAATCACAGCTACACTGAAAAAATTAATTATCACATTTGCGTAAATTATATTTTAATAGCACATTTTATTTTAATTTGCGATATGTTCATATACAACCTATGATGTTGTGATATGAATTGTCTTGTAAATCTACTCAAATTATAAAGCCCCATTCCGGCGCGTAGTTTAAGGGATGAAAAACTGGATGGGGCCGTTGGTCGTAGTGATAGACTCGAAGGGAAAAGGGGGTGGTAAACACTGAGTTATGTCTGATGGAAACATCTAATAATTCCGTTTCCAGTTCCAGTTACGGAAATATGCGTAAAGCGCAAGGAAAAGGGAGAAAATCCTCCTTCGGCCCGGTTTAGAGAGAAGGAAACGTTTTTTTTTCGGGAATCCGGAGGAGTATTGTGTACGCTTCGATCGCGGAAATATTTTTTATCCCATTTTTTCGTTATTTTTGTATTTTTGTCTAAATAAAACCTTCGACGGAATAAATTAAGCGCCAGCTCGAGCGTCTAATCTATACAATAAACAAGCGCCCGTTCGAAAAACTTTTAATCGAATTAATTACCGCCCGATTTTCGTCGAAATTTCGCCCCGAGCCGAAGGCGATATCGGAAAAACCGGAGAGAAAATCGAGCCGAGCCACCCGCTCCGTAGCGTAGTCCTTCTCTTCCATCAAGCACGCCTCGAAAAGACAAATGGGTGTCGCTGCGTATGTAAAACGAGTCGGCTACGGTCACCCTTCGTTTTCGACTGTCATTTGTCAGTGTCCGAACGCCGACGGGGGCGGCGGGCGTCGCCATGGAGACGGCGACGCGCCGCCGACCGATCCTCGTTTTTCCTTTTAACGCCACAGCTCGATGCTCGACGAACTACATCTCGAGAAAGAGTTTAATGAGACTGGGTGCATTTTAAATTGCGATATGTGCGTTATACAAAGTTTAGACTCGTCCCTGTATATTTATGATAGTATTAGCACGGCGTTGGCGAAATTTCCGAAGCAGCTTCCCCGCGGTCCGGCCGGTGGCGATAAGGATAATGAATCAAAAGGCAGAAGGCAGGAGGCTGCGGCCCGGCTATTTAAGGGAAGCGACACAGAAAGCGTGGAATCGCGCGAGGAACGGCTCCGGAAGCGGAAGTGACCGGCGTAGCTGGACACAATTTCCGGGAGACGTGCCTCCCTCTGGCGACGACTGTCACCGACGCCTAGGAGAGCCAATTTCCACTGACCAATGGCCGTCGTTATATAAAGGAACGTCGTTATAACGGGGACCGAAAAGGGGTGAGAACCGCCCGCGATACGATCTTCTATATAAATTAACCTTCGAATTACCTATACATAGCACTCGATGGGATTGTAATTGTTTATTCTTGGATTTTTCGTTGGAACAATTCCTCGGGCGTCCCCTCTTGGCCGTATAACGTCATAACCATAACGGTTCGAGGGCGTCGAACGATTCCGAGGGTGCAGATTAGAATTTTTCCATTCTCCAGGTGATAAGCAGTTAGTTTTCATCTCGCCGTGACACCGAGCTCGTTTCGGAGATACTTTTTAGACCCCTCATCACTTTCTTATTACTGTTTCATGTTATTGCAAATTATCCATCAAGGTGTAGCGGCAGAACAACGACGGGGTCGGAAATAAGGATGTTTTTAAACTCGCAGAGGGTATAGGGTAGAGATTGACAATATGCAAGTCGACGGGTTTATGGTGCTATTATACATTTTTATTTATATCTAAGCATTATACGAAATATTTCGCTGATATCGCTCGTTTAATTTGTAATAGAATAATGCCTATAAATATAAAATGATCGATTTTTCTATATACGACATTCGAAAATGTTTATAATATTTTGCGGATATTAATTCCGGTTAGTGGTAATGGAAAAATAAATTATATAGTTTGCCCCGGCTAAGAGAGCGGGAGCTTTTTCATCAACTTGGAAGCTTCCCAGGAAGCGAAAAGCATCGGTTAAAAATGAAATGGTGAAAACCGTTCGGCTGGAAACTTAATTATGTCGGATATTTCGATTTCGATGGGGAGATTTACAATGGATAGATGGAACGTTTCAGGTAATAGTTGGATATAGAGGAGACGTATGATCGAGCACCGTGACTCCGAAATTCGCGGAACCTACGCGAACATTATGGGCAAAATTCAATTATTCGTAATCAATTTAAAAAGATAAAATTCGTCGTATAATTAATTAAATTCGCGTTGAACGGAATTAACATGCAGAATCGCATTATCGGGTCGGATATCTCTTTCGATGATTTTAAACGAATCCTTTCAAACCGGAGACCATTTATCTCCCGGTCCGGGAGCGGAGCCCCAACGGTCCCCGTGCTCGGCCATTAGACGGTATCGCTCGACCGTGCGTAATGGACCGTATTTTGAGTGATGCGAGGACTTCAGAAATCCCCTTTCGCCCCGCCCGAAGATCAGGTGTGGGATAAGAAGTTTGCAGCGGGATGGATGAATTTCTGATCGCGGAAATGGGATGGGAACTAGGTCAGGAACATTCACATAAACTTATGTACTCCTGTAACATATTTAATTTAATTCTCGAAAAATCCCTGCTTAGTTAATTATAGCTTGTATGCGAATAAAATTTTCCCTAACTTTGGACAAATAATAAAAATATTTCCCGTATTTTAATTTAAAAGTCTTCGTTCGGACGAGAGATTTAAGTAAAAAAAAATATTCGATTTTATCAACCATCTGCATCCCTTTTTTGTAATTACTTTTTTTCTCTTCGTAAGCGCCGCTAAAGCATTAGAAACTTTTTAAAATTACCAATCTCTCGAATCCCTTCGGTCCAGAGCCGGCCTTTGCACACTGAAATATGCATTTTAATGTAAAATAATTTCGCAATGCGTATGTAATCTAAATCTATTCGATATGGGATAATGAAATGCTAATTAACATCGTGTCTTCTAATATTATTTCATATTTGAATAGTAATTAGCACAACGTAAATTTTACAGTTAATAGTAAATTATTTCGAGTTAAATATTTAATCGTTGCATTATATCTATTACGATTAACAAACATTGTAAAATATAAATTAAATTATATCCTGTATTATTTGTAACCTGAAATTTTGTTAATCACAGTTTAGTTTTAAACCATCCCTGTAGGATTACTGTTAATTGCTCGGCAATTTAATCAGATTTTTTTGCTCGAATTCCAATTATTTTCTTAAATGGCCGGATTATTGTGAAAAAGAGAAGGAGACAAACGTTTAGCGCAAGAGGCGGTGGGAAATCAAAAATATTTTGTTGGATTCTTTTAAAAAAATACAATTTGAAATAGTAGGGATATTTCAAAGTGAACAAACCAATTGGCACCCCAATTTTAAAGACCGAAGAAATAGATAATTTAATAGAGCAATTTAAACTCCTCCTGAAGCACCCAGCTCATCGGCTTCTTCTACAAAGTACCCTCAAATCACCCACTTTCTACCTCAAAAATCCTCGCCAAAAACTACTTAACCCAATCGGCTCTAATTATATTCGAAAGTACATTACCATCACTGATCGAGCACCGACGTCTCTTCATCACATTTAAACGCTCATCAGCAAATTCGGCATTGTACGTCTATCACCTTCCCAATAATATCCCAATCCAAGTAAAGACCTGGCATCATTCAACTTCATCCGGACATCATCAGGAACAGCCTTGTCACGTGGACCAGAACAGACAACCGCATATCAGCGACGTGACAACAGAGAATATTCATACTACCTATTTATGATTAAAAGAGGGACAAAGGAGGAAGAATACTGAAGGGATATGCGGATGAATATGAAGAAGAAATTAATGGAGATTAAAGACGGTACATGAGAAGGCTCCAAAAGAAGGTGCATCAGGAAGGTGTAGTGAAAATGTGATAAGAAGAACGTAAAGAAAAGAGTAATATGCTGGAGGAATTTGAATCTTAATAGAATCTTAATAGATGAGGCTTTGTATAAGGTTCTAAACAAATTAATTGGTTTTCGATGGAATTTTCTTAAATGTGAAAATTGCCGGCAGGACGACGCTGCGGCGTAGTCGTCACTGGTCGAACCGAATGCCGTTTTAGCTGATAAAAAAAGAATTAGAGAACGAACGCGAAAAAATGAATTTCTCTGTTTTTGACAGGCCCTTAATCGCGCGCACGAGAGAGATACGACGGGACGGACGCATTAAAGGGGCACTCGGATCCCTTTAATTAAAGCCCCGCCGGCGTCCCGGAGAGCATCGCAACGTCCCGGCGGCGCTTTTTCTACAGACAAAAGGGGGGCCCGGTATTTACCCGATACGCGACCTCCCCGGGTATATCAATCAATTTTTTTTTCGCCAGTTACTCGCTGAAGGATGGCAGAAACTAAAGTACCGGGGTCGGTTGGAATATTCGCAATTTGCGAGTATTGATGATTTTTAAGAAATTCCGCACCGGAATTTTGACATATTCTAAATATCGCCGGAATGGAATCCGGCGAAGCGTTAAACGCGAGCAAATGGAATTTCACACTTTTCAGCGGTCTCTCCGTTTTTTGCCGGCGTGATCGCCCAAGGAGAAACAATAATAAAAGTTTTTGTTATCGGAATGAATACGTTTCTGCCTTTGGTGCGGTTTCCATGTTGTTAATTCAATTACGCACTGAAGAGCCGAAGTATTTGCGGCCGGGCAATGACTAGACTTTTTAATACAGAATTAGAATTTAAAATTCCATACTTTTCTAAACTTTACACTATTAATGTTGCATCCAGAATTTCGCATTTTTTGTAGTAATAAAGTATATAATAGAAATAAAAATCAGATAGCGCACGCAAAAACAACTTCGCCTCCGGTGATTACATTTTGAATGAAAGGTTTTAATAGTATAAATTCCGGTCGGGTTCCGTCTGCGTCGTACTACAGGTGTGCTCCTAATACAGCGAAGTGTTTTCCACGTCCCGTGGGAAACAAGGAAATGGATTGGAAAACTTCCATCCATTGATTTGTATTCGCTTTGAGGCCTCTCTCGAACTGGGCTGCGGAGCCTCAGACCTCTTCTTTCCACCCTGCTCACATATATTTACTGCATATTTACTTTATTCCACGGTCAGGGCCGGTTTCTCGGTTTCCTATATTCCTATATTTAATGTCCACGCAGAGGAATGGATTCTTTGCCGCTTCGATTGTAAAATGTAAATCGAAATCGTCCGGGTTTTTATCGCATTGGAACAATCGATTGGAGGTCGATCTGATTTAATTTAACGCTCCGGCTGCCTTTTAGATTTAAATTTTGTTGCCTCACAATTTAATTACATAAAGTTGATAATTAATGTTACTATTGATTCGCGCACACATTTCATATACTATTTAGGCTTATTAATAGAGTGCGGTTATTGTGAGCGATATTAGCATATTTATGTCAATTAATTTATAAATATAAGATTTTTTTGATTTCGGTATAGTTCGATTAAACTAATCTCATTTGCATTTTAAAAATGCTCATCAAAATTAAACATAAAGATTATTATGCGTCCGCTATGATATATCGGAATAAATTTGCAATTAAAAAAATTAATATTAAATTGGCTTGATTTATATTATGCGTCGTATTTGTTGCAAATAAATGAAAATCCATTTATATTAAATCCATTTATTAGCCGAAATGGAATATTAAACAACGAGCCTCAATGCCCGTATTGAAAATTTACATAAAATTTAATTTTGACTATAATAGAGAATAAATATTATCGTGGGTTTTAAATTTTAAAATTCAATACTCGTTTCGAACTTTTTTAACTTTTTTATATACTAGACGTTGGTTTTAATTTAATTTTTTCAAAAATTTTCAAAAATAGAGGTCACCTTTACTGGCTTCTATTAATATTTTTCTTCAACTCATCTTCATTCTATTACCTGATGCATCTTTACAATCGTAGTAATCTTTTAAATAAGCATTTTTTTCATATTTCAATACGTCTTAAAATTTCGAAATCCATCCCGACAAATTCTTAGGTTTTACAGGCATTAACCTACCCTAAGCGGAAGGGTTAAGCGAGCGTCTGATGCGAGACCCTGTATACAAAACGTTTCTGGCCGGGTGAATCCGAAGAAAAAGAAACAACTCATCAATGACGAAGTATCTCATTGTTTATGGTTGTCATCTTCCATGCCCATCAAATTTCTCGCTTAAATGCTTATGATATATTCTCTAAGCGGGTAGCAGCGTGCACCGCGCCCGCTGTTCCCAACGTAGTTAGACGAAATTTAATCGCTTTTAACCTCAAATCATCCGGAATTTAACCTGTGTAATTCACACAATATCACGTGCGTATAATATTTGTGAATATTTGTTAGCGAGTAAATTATATTTGAAACATTTCGGTCGATTTGATAGCTCGGGATTTCCGTCCATCTAGGTATTTTCGCGGAAGGGACTAAAAACGGGGAAATGCAGGCTAAGGGCGCGGGGTTTTTAGGGGGACCGAAGGGAACGTTGAAAAGTTCGGGCGGGGGGTGAACGATAACCCGGCAACAATGGTCAGGAAATGTAGTTACAGGGCTCAAATGACACATGCATGATGTGATTACTATTATATGAATATGTATGGAAATGCGAAAACCTAGAGGGGTTACTACTAAATTTAATACTCTGTGTCTAATGCTTTATTATTGTTGGTTCACTTTGGACGGATTAGCGCGAATAATGCATGCAGATAGAAGTCGACGTGTAATCGAATCGTTTCCTTCTCTCGTGGAAATTATCGAGGTTTTGTTTTTTAAAAAAAATTTCGAATTAAGGATTAGGTTTTGGAAAAGGTTTGATAAAAAACACAGTTTATATAAGTACACAAGATGTAGCATTTAATGCTCACGTTTCAAAAAACACTATACAGAGGACACTGCGTTACCAAATTAATTTAGAGGTATTCTCGTCCCATAATATTAATAATATACTTTCATTAAAAGCAGAACACAATTATTAAAAGATTCCTCTTTTTCTCTCTTACTTAGGAATTAACACAAAGGTACGATATTTTTACCATAAAAACCTTCGACTAACCGTCAAAATGATTTCGTACGAACACAAATCCAAACTAAAATCCGATAAAAGCTCGTTTCTTTCATTAAATAAATAATTGCGGTAATTTCTCCTCCTACGTTTGTACAAAAGGCTTCGACGGTTAATCGAAGCGTCTCACAGATCTCTATTGATTTTCTCTTTCAACTTTTTTTATTATTTCTTTTTGTTTTTTTCGTATACATTGGATAAGGCGATGATTTTATTGATGGGAAAATCACTCAATATCGAACAGCCAACATTCTTGCGGAGTTATATACATTTATAATATCGCGGGCGGGCCAAAACGGGTAGAGGCGGATCGCTCAAAGGCGGCTAGTACCAACCAACATTACACATTACACGTTACACTACAAATTGTAATTAATTTCAAAATTTTATTCGCGTTAAAAGCAGTTTGCTGAAATCGATTTGATTGAAACTAATTTATAAAATACAAACTACTGTCGTAAAAGAGGAGGGTTTCTATCACATCCAAGGCACGTAATAGTAAGGTAATAACAATTTAAAGTATTTGATAAAGGTATTACATAATGCACGTTTAATATTAGAATGGGGAACGTTGGTTAGTACGTTACATTTCAGTATACATGTGTTCTAGGCATTAAATTACTTAATACAATATATACAATATATATTTCGGTATACTTCATTTCAAAATATAAAAAAATCTTTAAAATGGTATACAAAGATTGTAAGACCCGTTCAGGCCGAGCACCAAATAACAAAGGTAACGGAGAATACGCAAAATTATGAACATTTAGGTTAGTTTTTTAATTTGTTTAAAAAAACGCTAAGTTTGTTTCGTAATGTAGATACTATTGAAACGAATTAATATTCGTCCACAATAGCAGGGTGTAATCTAACCTAAATTTAAGTAGAAATAAAACGTTCTTTAACAAATTTTATACAGGACTATTGCACCAAATCACCCTGTATATTAGAAACAAACCTGTCGTTTTTTTCCGAAGTTTCACTACACACCTTTTCACCGTTAGTATCCGATATAATTATAATAATAACATTCTACAATAACATCACTAAAGTCGTATACATTGTATGTAATGAAAAGATGCGTAGCAGTTTATTTTTCTAATAATTTAATAAAAAAGGGCAATTGCTGAGCCTCCAAAAAATGAACTCTTTCCAAAAAAATCACTCATATTAATGACAGACTAGAGTAAAAAGTTAATTATAAATTCGATTTAATTTTAAAATGAATTATGTAATTATTCTATACTGTAGATATGACTGGAGTTTACAAAAATGATTACGAATGAAAGTGTATCCAAATTCTTCAAAAACATAATTACACTATCAATAATGTATGTAATTTATAAGGATTGATGAAAATAACAAAATTAAAAAATGAGAGATATTTATTTGGAAACTCAGCAATTGCTTACAAAAATCTCAATTTATAACGCTCCGCTTCAACAATAACAACAAAAAATTTAACTTATCGATTTACCTATCTGTTTAATGCATAAATTGAGATCTTCTCGATAATCTGTGACAAGGAAAAAATCATTTAACATTAAAGAAAGAGGTACAGGTGGGGTAATAGGTACTTCTTGATTTAGTTTCAGTTCTGTCGTCAACAAAATTATTATTAGTTGAATATTCAATGTGCCGGAAAAGTAAATATTCAAGAATAATCAGTCGATTTCGGAAATAAAAATACCCTGTATAAAAGGTTTCTTCTTCGCTAAATTTTCAAAATTTTTCTACTAATATCGCGCTAAAAACCCAAACGAAATCAAGAACGTCTCATAAGGATAAGTACTAAATTGTCTCTGATATACAGGACGTCCCTGAATTTATATCCATCAACTGGTAGATATAAAATTCAAATTTAAACCCCATCAAATGACGTATGTTATAAAACATTCAAGTATACTCATTATTATTTCGTATTATCACATTAAAGTCGAAGTTCAAATTTTTACATGGGACATCCCGCATACATTATTATCAGCCAAATACCACCTGAGTTAACATTGCGACATTCTGTATACTTGTGTATTTGATATAATCCTAGATAAGATAAGATTTTGCATCTAGGGAAATTTACGTATATTGATTATATTATATTACGTACGCAGTCAATTTCAAAAAATTTCAACCATTCCAAAATTCGAGACGAATGAACTCCGAATGAAAATCGGTTTAAATTTTCCGAATTTGACCTCACGAAAAACTAAAATAGTCTTGAGGTTTTTTAGCAAAAAAAATCACAACAAATAGAAATAACAACTATGTTACAACAGCACAACCTTGTTTTTATTTTGTACATGTCGTACTTTATTGATTTTTTTGTATACGATTTGTTTCGATAAAATTAGTACCATTACCTAATAGTTTAAAACCAAAGTCCTAAAGAAGTGCTAAGAAAATTTAGTCTTTCCAAAATAAGTTAGGCAACTACTTATTTAATGACTGATTTTGGACCATGTTGTGATCATTCACTGTAATATTATATTACTATTAATTGTCGATATATCAAAGAAAAACGAGAGTACCTTTTGAAATGGTTTATATCATGGAGTTTAGATAGCAGAATGCTGCACTTTAGGACTTCAGTTTGGAAACTATTCGTAATCGGGACTATTTGTTTATAGTATACTCGGCCAATTTTTCGAGGTACAATTTGGGATGAAGAAGGTAGCGGTGAGAGAGGGTTGCAGGAACAAGTATAGTATTCTCGGAGTTGGGAAAGTTGGCTGATCGGAGCAGGGGTTAGGACGAGGGGCGATTTTTTAGGTAACACATCGAGGAACCTAAAAGCTACGAGACCACATGACTTTACACGTTTGTTTTGCGGTTGTCCATTGTTTCAGCTTCAGTTTTGTATAACGGTTGGTGCAGTATATGTATATATTTATATGTATACAAGTGAGTACCGCTTCCGGGATAGCTCACCAATTATTTTTTCACCACGATCTATGTACAGCAGTCAGCACGAATTTAAATGTCTAATACTTTTTTGTACAAGTTCTCTCCCGTTTATTTTATTTTTTATTTTTAACAAACACTGGGCACTACATTTACACTTTGTACAAAGAATAATCACAATTAAGAGTTGCATATTTCTATGTCCATTGTCGTTGTGACATGAGAGGAGGACCTGAAACAAAGAATTGTTCGATGTTACTTAGAACAATTAACGCGGGTTGCTCGAAAGACTTACCTCACAGATGGTGTCCATAGTACTCGGGATAATGTGCGTATTGATTGTGGAAAGCTGGATCACCCGGTGGTCGGTGCATCATTTGCTGCCCGTCCATCATGTAACCCATCGTACCATCGGGACTGTAACCACTAGGTCCAGCATGAGGTGAAAACACTATAAAACAAATAAAAATAAATTAAACATAATATTAAAAGAATACAACGCGTTATTCAAACATGAGATTTAGCCTAATCCAATTTCCTACTGAACTTTCTGCCTACATAAATCTAACGCTAAAAAGTTAATATTTCCAACGGTAATTCGCGAATATCGTCGGGCCCTGCCCGAAAAGCCGAACAGTAAGGAATCGAAGAGAGAGAATTCGTAGCGCCAGGACTCCCCCAAGAGTGTGAAGCTGTCACTGGGGCCCCGATTGTGTGGACCGCGTGATGGATCGGCCCGCGAGGGTCAATGGCTGCCGCCATTTTTCTTCTTCTGTCTCTGGCAGCCCGAACACAGAAAACTCCGAAATCGATATATGAAGCAGAGAAAGAACATTCTAGCATCCAGCATCGACAGCCATTAATAATCTTGGATGGTTGCTTTCGTTGAAATGTAAAAGAAGGAGTTGAGGGACGTATTTAGGGGGGTTTGTTCGAGATGGTGTAGCAATTTCGTGAATCCTATACGGTATATAGTTTTTTGTATTTTCTAAAAGTACTTCACGTTAACATGAATTTTGTAAACGGGTGCCAATATTATATAAACAATGATATATTACACTAAATTTTAATGCAAGATAGGATGATTAATTAGAAATCTACTCTATGATTAATCAAATTTTTAATCCACTTGTCAATTACCTATATCTAAATACTTAGTGCAACTTAGAGTAACTATATTATAGATATTGGTTGTGAAAAACCGTTTGATAAAAACTTGATTACAAATTGAACGTGTCATGCATTATTATTGATCCTTCTTATTATTCATGATATCGTTTCTTAAAAAAAGACTTAAAATATTGAAGAGTAATTACCTTTCGCGACGTCAGCAATATCTGAAAATAAATCTAGGATGTATAAAATTAGTTTACACAAAATAATTGTTCTATTAAATTAATAAGACGTCTTTTATTTTTGATACGCTTCTGGCATACGAGCAGAACCAACAATGTGGCTGGCGAAATAAAATAAAAGGAAAGAAAAAAAAAGATAACTGATCATAGCGTTGCTACAAGACTTTCCACTTACAAGTCATATAGGCGGATATATCGGGCCGATACTGGTCGGTTGGGGATCGGCCCATATCTCAATAAAAATGCATGACAACGTTAGGCTTTAAAGGAAATCACGATTCATTAAAAAAGTATATGATAACACACCATAACCGGATAGATTTCATGCCCCCGGACCCGTTGGGTGGCATAGGAATAGCCGCATCACCTTCAGTGACAATTTCTAATACACTATATTATTTTTATTATTACGTTATAGTTAGTAAAAGTGTTAATTATTGTATTTGTTAATGTCGGAAAATTTTGTCAGGTATCTACAGTATTTTTTTATAAAAGATATCTGCTAATATTTAGGTGTATAAATTCATCTGTTGGATTGAAGAGTGCATAAAATTAAATTCGCGATAATAAAATCATGCCAAATCGTGCGTATGTCCAAATAAACCCATCTAATCCGGTACCGATTTTTCCGCATTCCATCATATATTTTTTAAAACCGGAAGAAAATAAACGCCACAAAAATATCATCTTACCTGCTCGATTCGACTGGTCTATCATTGGCTGAACGATTCTCCGCCGCGCGTTGATGAACCTGAAACAGAAAAGCGAATCGTGAACGTCATTCGACCGAAAACTGTCAACGTTCGTCAATTGTTCGCGACGCCTAATGCGTCACGACGCCGGAAGCGATTGGAAACACCGACGAATGATTGGTCGCGTATATTCGCCCGGCATTTTCATCGCTACGCATCATACGCGAAAATCAAATAGCGGGTTATTAAGAGACTATATTATACTCTGTTCACTAGCTAGAAATTCTAATAAATGATTAAGTTGTATGCAACAGAGAGCACGAGCGAGTCAACGAAACAAATAAAAAAGAATCAAAACTTTAAGGCTTTTTCTTAGATTTTTAAAGGATAGAGTAAAATTAACAATGGTTTTCATTGATATCTGAATCTGTGTCCTGTGTACTAACGGTAATTATTACAGGTAGTTGTTATTTATCAAATTATAAACTCAATAGTGCCTACTTTTTAATTGTTAAATTTACTGCTTTTATAGAAGGTTTTATTACTAAAACTTCTGATAGCGAATATAGTTTAAATAGATATAATAAGTAAGATATTTTAGATGTTTTATTTAGCCTTTAATGGTACACTCACTTTCAAATAAATTGGTATACGAGTCCGAGAGACATTCGCTCGAATACACATCCGATCGAACGCCATTTTCTCGATTATTTCTGCGGCTATTACGGCGTATTCGCGATAGCCAAACAACCCCGGCGGGTAGCAATTTCTTTCCGGCACGTATCGAACAAATCATCGAAACGTCACGGTGACCGCCGTCGAAGATCGGAAATTGCGTCGCGACGCGCATAGAAATCGCCCGCAAGCAGCTCGCCGGGACGTTACCGAAAAACCACGGTCAATTTCCGTCGGTTTTTCCGAAATGGGACCGACAATTAGGCCTAGCAGATAAAGCGGTCGTAAAAATTCCGGACGGGCGCGGGATTTATCGTTATGCGACAGCACCCCCGGTGATACAAATACAAAAGACCTGCTTGTATGTATATAATAATAATTACGATCGCGACTCACATATAGAATGTAAAAATGAGATTATTACGAAGCATCGAATTACAAGAAGTAGGTATACGTAAATAGATAATACGTCTCGTTCGATTGATAACGATTCGTATTGAAATGCAAAAAAGGCACCCTTATATACATCGGCGTCGTCGCCCCCGTGCATTCCCGCCGCCGAGCGTAACGGAAACGCAAGACTCTCCGATCGGTAATTACATTTTCCGAACGAGGAATGTAAGCGAGACGCTATGCAGATCACATTTTAATGCAATTCCATCCATTATAGTGGCAGCGGACCCATTACGGCGGGCACGACCATTAACGCCCCCACCCCGTGTCCCATCCAGCGGTGGAGGCTCTTGCGTTTCCAAAGAGCTATCTGCGCTCGACAAAGGAGCGGCTCCCGGCGACATTAGGGCCCGCCGGAAAAAAAAGGAGCTACAAGCGGCGGGGCGGGCGAAAGAATGGAAACTTCGCCATCGATACGGAACCGCCGCCGAAACGATTTCGAATTAATGCAAATGCGATAAGATTCGTTTTCCATTGTGCCCTTACAATCACGTTATACTTAAGCATTTCGGTTAAGAGCGGAATCCCGCCTGCGGGATAACCTCGTTTAAATCACACGTCCCGATTTTCTTTTTATCGTCGAGTTTTTTAACGCGGAATTTCGGATCTGTCTGTTAATACGAAATAACGCAAGATATCCTTGCTCTTGCCGTACGCTGTTAAAAGTATACAGGGTCATATTTTGAGGCTCTCTACTTGCTCCCAAGTTTGACCACTTATTTCAGAAACACCCTGTATATCAAACGAACTGTTCGAGATGTTAAACGGCGATTTCATGCCCCATAACTGAAACTTAAGGGCTCTAATAATGCAACAAAATGATCAATGTCTCCATAAAACCCGGCGAAAAACCCCTTTTTACTGCCGATAGTAAATATGGTCGGAGCTTTTAATAAAAACAGCTGACTATCACCGTCAAATTCACAGACTGGAAAAGTATCGTCGGCGTCGTAACGTTTTTTTATACGCCCAATTTGTTATGTTCTTCGACGCAACCTTAAAGCGAATTTCATTTCGTACGATTTACTTAGATTCAAAAAAATATTAGTTGAAATGTTAAGGGTCATTGCGACCATTGTGCCATAATGATACTGACTTTAAGCCGGGTGGTATTCACGTTATCTCCACAACCACTATATAGTTTGTCCAAAAGTAACTGTGAAAATAAACATTAAGGGTCATTGGGACCATTGAGTCTTAATGATTCCGGCTTTGAGTTGGGTGTAATTCAACCAGATTAGTAGTATTTTAAATAGTATTCACATATTCTCCAGATTAATATAGTTATTTTGATATTAAGGCAGGTCATCCCCGGCAGCGTCGAATGCGCGGAGCACCGTTCGCTCTCGGGCGAGAAGAAGCTTTTCCGTAACAGGACGGGATTGATTAATCGCCGTAATTACCGATCAGCTTTCGGCGCTAATTAGATTTTCGTTCCCCGCCGCCGCCGCCGCCGCCTCCCACCGACGGGAAAGCTATCGCGGAGAGGCGGCGAGCGGGGCCGCGCCGGCGGTACCGGGGCGCAGCGCAAATGAGATTACGGCTGAAAATGGCGTTTCGCCGCAACGCGGGGCGGCCGAGGGGACGCACGCGTTAATTGTCATCGATTTTTATGTAATGCCATTATGTCTGTACACAATTTATCACGTTACAAGACTGGATTGCAGGCCTGGGAATCCATTAGGGGCCGCGGAACGGTCCCCGCTCGATGGGACCATTTACGCGACCTTCTCTTGATTTTAACCCTAAGGATTTTATCCGAGCAAACGGTTAGAAGTACGAGTTAATGTATCTTTAACCCAATTTTCTTAAAGCTCGTTTCCGAACGTCCGAAAAAAAGCTTCCTCCACCAACACTCTCGCACCCCTATTCATTTCCTAATCCACTAGTTTTTTTTTAATAAATAAGCTTCAGTAACTGAACTTATTTTTGATGCACGGCGTTAATCAATCAGCAAAAGAAGACGAAAAAATAAACGAAAACAGAAAAGAGAAGGAGCGATTTGGACTTTTCAATCAAACCACCCCCTTGTAGCAATCGTTCTTTGAACGGCGCGGTAAGTGCTGACCCCTGTCGGGTAATTACGTCGTTAGCAAATCGTCGGGGGCGGCATCTGGCGGGTGGTCGGTGACCCTCGACCCTCGGACTACATCGGCGGCGGCGTCAGCTTGCGCTCAAGGGTGCCGCGCTCCCCCGTTTTTCGGCTCTCGAGATATTAAAGTCGAAATTTATCGCCGGCCCCGTCCATAAAGACGCGGCTCGAGATCCGCGATTGCTGTTTTCTTTATTTTCGGGGCCGCATGTGTATGTGTGCGTACGTGTGTGCACGTCTGTCTGGTCAGAGGCGCCCCGAAACCCGGGGATTTATTGCACGAGAGGGCGATTCGAGGAGATTTATAGCTTGATTATGTCGCGCTAAGGGCCTGTTAGGTTGCGACCCGAGATTATCATAGCGTTTATTAAAGGAGCAATTGTAAACCGACACTTCCTAATAGAGGACGACGTGAAATATACTGGAAGATACTCGAGAAAGATACAGCGCAAGAACAATGAAATCGACGGGATTTTACGATGCAAAATGTACTTGAAATTTTATTACTGTTTTTTTTTGCGGAAAAAATCGCATACTCCACGGTGTCATTTTACAAACTCACTTCCCTATGCGATTTCAAAATGAAAAAATTATACACCTACAAGCCGTAAAAGTAACCGAGCATCGGAACAACTAGTCAAGGATATAAATAAATAAACCCAAACGTATTAATAACGCGTCTGAAGTTGTATCACAAGAAATTTTTATTATCGCCGCGAGCGAGCAGCGATCGATTTAATAATAATTGTTATTGGACTCCCAAGAAAAGGAACAGTTTGATAATGATACCTTTATGAAAATCAATACATCTATGTATACATTTCTTCTTTTTATTTCGTTTTTTTTTTAATTAGAAACGTGAAGATCAAAGCATTAGTTTTACTGTAATTTAATACAAAATAGCCTAATTAAAATCTACCAATTTAAATTCTCTCACACTGAAATTATTAATTCTGCACAATATTACTATTATTGAATTTATTATTATTCAATAAACTAGAACGGTTCGACCACCACCCGATTTTTAATTTTCATTTCGCTTGGAAAGCCGCCAGGAAACGTCGAGTGTTCGTTCATTCCCAATAAAAAATCGTTAGGAAAGTAGGAAAATCGATTTTTCCGCTTCGCTTTTTATGGGGATGAATGATATCGAGGGTGACAAGTGTGTCTAGCTATAACCTTAGAGGGATGGATTTTTTTCTAATCATTTTTATGACCGATATCAGGAAGGGGAGTACCGTATGGGAAAGGTGTTTTATATAAATAACCCGCGCGTCACCCCCTCGTGAATGCGACGCAAATTGAACAGGCTAATTATTTGCTAAGCATTTTCGAAATTCGAGAAAATTTCGACTATATCAGTAAGTAAAAATTTTCCCATTGTTATACAACATACGAGTAGGTACATGACCGCCTAGATTCTCTAGATGGTATCTCTTAATGGATCAGGTGGCTTTGACTCGCCCGTTTCATGTAAGCGCAATTACAGAAAAAAAAAGAAGACGATTGGGGAGGACTTCCACTGCCTGCTAAGATCAAAGTATCACTCACTTCGAAAAAGCGCTTATTCATCCGTATGGGGCCGGAGATGTTCGCTCGAAAGGGCGATTTTATTCGGCGGTTTGTTCATGTTAATTGACTTAATCCATTCGCGAGTCGTGCATTCGACGAAAACGCCTTTTGATTTAGCGCCCAATTATGATATCTCGAAAACTCACGCCTGCATTTTCGCCTTTACCTAATGCTATAAATTTAGGCATGTGCAAGCGTGTTAGTAAGACTCATAGGCATCGCACCTAATCAAAGCAAGCGTGGCAAGAAGCGAAAATACGATGAAAA